GATCCCTTCAAAGTGAGATATATTCCTCATTTTCTTCAAATATTAATTTTGAAGTTGAAATATGATCTTTTTTGATGACCGGCAGCAAGAAGTTCTTCAATCACACAAGCTCCAATCAATCGTAGTACAACAACCTAAATCATTCAAGTGTATAGTTGTGTGCTCTCAAAAACAGAAAAATAATACTCTCTTAAAAACTCAAAAAGGCGGCTATCTAGAGTTTTGAAATCTCTAATCAAAAGCCCTAATGATTTGTGTATAAAAACTTTACGATTTCATGCTAAAACATCTATCTAAATCAGACTTTAAAAATGTAATTGAAGTTGACAAACAAGGTTTTTTTTTTTGACCGACAAGTTTAGTAGGTTCTATTTGAAAGTTCAACCGGTTGGACTTTTCTAAAGTGTAATTTTTATGCAGAGAATTCAACTAATTTATTTTGAGATTCAACGGGTGGATTTTTATCCCGATAGTGATTCGCATGCAGAAAGTTCAACCGATTATAATATGATTTTTAATAAGTCGGACTTCAGTGTTAGCTTATGTATTCTTATCCAATTTTAAATATATTACAAGTGCTCCTCTACATTACCTATATGTTATTCTTTGATGAATCTAAAAAAGTGTAAGTAACTTCACTTGAATTTTTCCTTTCTGAAATCGTGACTCAAATATAAATGAAAAATTACAACTTAATTCGAACTCTGTTTTAATTACCGAAATATTTTCTTTGGTTGGACAGTTGGAAGGCATAGCATGGAAGCTGTCATTCTGATGGCAGCCGTTTCTGGAAAGAGGAGGGGGTTGTTACACTCCACAACCCATTCAATCTATTCAATCAGGAGACAACAGGGAAGATGTTTTCATTGCTCTGTTCTGTTCTCTCTCCCTCACCCTCATACTCCATCTTCAATTTTTTGCTCTGCTCCGGTTCACTCTCACACTCCATCCCCAATTTTCTTACATTAATTTGTAACCTTTAACTTCAATCTCTTACTCCAACCCCTTTTCTCAAACCTAAGGTTAAAAATTCAAGATCTGAATCAATTAGGGCTAAAAAACTCAAATCTGGGAGAAAAAAAAAAAAAGAAAAGAAAACAAGAGAAGATCCATTTTGTTTCACATATCAAACAAAATCCATTCAAAAAAAATCATAAAATATATTACATAAACTTAAATTCATATCAAAGCAAGAGGGAAAAAAACAGATGTTTGTTTTTGTTTGCTGTAAATTCCTTATTTTGTTAATTTATAGTTTCCCTGTCAAAACTTTCAGTTGTTGTGTTATTCAAGCTACAGAGCAGCAAGTTTTCATATTTACTTTTTGTCAAAAAAAAAAAAAAAAAAAAAACATAATAATGTGGGTGCTTATTTACACATTTTTAAAATTTTATGAACTCAAAAGCACCTTTAAAAAAAAAAAAAAAATTACATAATTTTCCAAAAAAAAATATAAGGCATCAAAAATATTAATCAAGGACATGGAAGAGTTACACAATGGCCAAAAATCAGATAGGTGTCTAACAAGAGAAAAAAAATGAGCCATTTTAAATGTGCTATATCAAGGGCGGATTCAGCATTTTTGAATGGAGTGGACTAACTTTGGATTGGGCTAACTTTGGGGTGGACTACCATTTATTATTATTATTATTTATTTTTGGGGATTGGGCTTAAGGTAGTGTGGTAAAACAAATTTTTTTTTTGGTCGGCTGAAGCTCACTTTTGCCCACCCCTGAATCTACCTTTGGCTATAGAGGTATGAAGGCAATATCTTCTTTAATAACAATCATATAATTTTCTTGTTTATTCAATTTAATTTTATTATTATATATATTTTTTGTCATGGCTTAGTTGTTAACTTGTGGCATTACTTTTGAAAACCTTAAAATATGATATGTAAAGTGGAGAGAAAAAAAACTTACTTGTTGCATTCGATGAGAGACTTGTTTCGATTTCCTTATTATTTTTTTCAAAAATCACTTGATTATTTTTTTTTTATTTTTTGTCAAATAATTATTATTATTGATATAAAAATAATTGGATCAATTGATGATAAGGAAAAAATTGAATAATTAATGACTCAAATAAAAATTTTAATTTTAATTTAAAAATACTTTTAAAAGTCATACACCAAAAATATTTTCAATATCTTTGCCAAACACTAAAAATAAAAATATAAAGAAAACATTATACCAAAAAAAATACAAAATGTTACTTAAAAAACTTGTAACAAGGGAAATGTTTTGGAACATTGATGGGTGGCATAATGACAATTTTATTTATTTATTTTATTTTTAGCATGAAGTAATTGTGGACTTCCATCGCCTGAATAGGTGACTGATGTGAAGTAACCCATGATGACAATTGAATACACAACAGTTGCCCAATTTGTTAAAAGATTGAAGGGTAAAGTACACTAACACCCCTTGAGGTTTGTCAAAAGAACAGCCAGATGAAACTTGCTCTGTTTTGGGACAATGACACCCCCTCATAATATTTACAAGCCAAACAGAGCCTTAAAACATATGAAAAGTCAACATTACCCTTCACTATTTTATTAATTTTAATTATAAAATATTAAAATAATTAAATGACCAAATTACCCTCAACACCCCATCAATCCTACAACCGAATTCTGCAGCAACCACACCAAAACTCCACAACCACCAACACCCACCCCCAAACCACCGTGCCCAAACCACCGTGCCTTCAAGCTCTCCAATGGAAGGGAAGGATCAAGCTTTTGGTCTATCACCATGGCAATGTCAACAACTTCAAAAACAACATGGCAACGTCAACAACTTCACCACATCCTCTCTTCCTGAAAAACCCTAACCTTCACCTTCTCAAAAGCCCCAACACAATCACCACCACCCACTTCAATGGCTTCCCCCTCAACCTATCTTCGTGCCTCAACAAACCTATATCGATCACCTATTCAACAACCCAAGTCCAAGATCGCCCAACCTCCACCTCCCAATCCCAAGATCGGGTCTTCAATTTCGCCACCAGTCCGGCCACTCTACCTGAAAACGTGCCCAAGATGGCCAAATCCGAGCTCTAAAATTGGCGTGGAACCAGAATGAGCGTGATGGAAATGAGCCACAAAGGGAAAGAGTTCCTCTCAATCATCCAGAAAGCAGAGTCAGATCTGCGTACCCTTCTCAGCATACCCTCCGATTACGCAAGGCGGCGCAACCACCCAGTTCTCTGCGATCCCTCTCAATCTGTTGAAACCTCATTCTCTTCTTCTGGGTCGCGGGAACTGTTCGTGCTTGGGGTTCGTCGATCTGAACTAGGCTTCACCGGATTTGGGGCTCGCTGGACAGAATCGGGTCTTGTAGTTTGAAGCTTCGTCAGACTGATGGCTCCAATTTTGTGCTCTGCCGAGCGAGAGCACTCACCGTCGCCCTCGTCGAACAACTATTGCCACCGCCGCGGGATATATCAAGACCTGACAGAGAGAATCAACCGAGCGAGAGCACTCACCGTCGCCCTCGTCGAACAACTATTGCCATCACCACCATTAAGCCCAACTCATGACTTGCGTACTCCGGCATTGGGTAAGCTCACCGATGGAATCGAAGGATAAAGGCCCGCATCCATTCACCATCGCCACCTGTATATACATACATATATGTGTGTGCATATATATATATATGTATTTGTATATACATATATATATATATATATATGTATGTGTCTGTGTATATATGTATGTGTGCGCGTTGGTGTTGGGGCGGCGAAAGAGAGAACAGAGGAGAGAGAGAGAAATTGGAACGGGTATCTGAGGATAGAAATGTCATTTCATGGTCAATATAAAAGTCAAAGGGCAGAAATGTCAACTCATTACCATTGGGGTGTCTTTGGTTATTATATCAAACTTGAGGGGGTGTGTTTGTCCCAAAATAGGCTAAGTTTCATCTAGCTGTCCTTATCCCAAACCTCAGGGGGTGTCAGTGTACTTTACCCTCCTATGTTATAATGTATAACATACTGATAATTGAAGGGAACCAATAATAAATAGATATGTTATTTTTAATTATTAAATTAAAAATGGTGAGTAGATACTCACTTAGTAAATAAGAGATAGCAATTGAATAACCATCTATAATTTGATAATTAAAATAAGATGTGTCTATTTATTACTGATCCAGATCAATGGTCAATAATAATAGATCCTCGTTGATGAAGACCTAAGTATTGTCCTTCATATTATGAAATCCTCTTATGACTCTCTGCAAAAGAAGCTTGATTTTTACATAAAAGATTATAACTCGGCTATTTTTATTGAGCTTCTGCAAGAAAATGATGACATAATATATTTTTTAGTGGATAAATGTTTAGAGATAACATCTCACATTGTGTAAGAAACTGGTTATACCCTATTATGTAACTGTGTAAATATGTTTAATTTTTTTTTTAACACCTTGAATAAGAATAGATATTCGATATATCAAGTTAACCAGAACTGTTTGTACACAATACACACAGACGCATATACATCATATACAATTTTAATTACTCCAGCACACCACACCAAATATATATTCTTTAAATAAATAGAGCATGCAAAACAATATCTACAAAATAATATAGAGCTAATCCCAAGTAATTCTGATGTGTCTCACATTGTTGTTGTGAAGACGCGTTTTTGGAAAAAAGGTATAAGATTTAGCCGGTCAAAAAAACAAAAAAACACATATGGAGTATGAGAAAATCAAAACTCGCGACATTAGAGGCCAAAATTATTTGTTGACAGTTATAGCCTTAGATATTTTCATTCTCTCTTTTTCTGTCCGCTTTTGTGGTTGAATATGTGGGTCAACTGTGTATGACTGTTGGCGATGTCACACTGTCACTTTTGATAAACACCCAATTATAAAGGGTACTTCAATAATATATCAAACATTATTTAGACCTCTGTGGTATTTGAAAAATTCAAAAGGGTATAAATGTCCGTTTGAAACATAGCTAAACAAGTACACAGAAGCATACGTTCCCCTTCTTTAATTCAACCATCCCCCCCTTCTCTCTCTCTACAGCATCACCACCACCACCATCAAAGAGGACATAATGAGAGAAGAAATAAAACAAAAGGTGGTAGATGCATGAAAGACAACCTCTCTCTTTCCCTCTCTACCCTTATCACCTTCCATTCGTAATCTATTCCCCATCTGCCAGATTTCGATCAAACCGAGTTAATTTTTATTTATTTCTTCTACGCTCCACCAACCACCTTCTATTCTTTGTCTCCAGGTTTGAACTCGAGACTCTCTGCTTATAATGGTTGTTTTTTTCTGTCTTTCTTTGAGTTTATTTACTCTGTTTTGCTTCTTGTTTTTGGGCATTTGTTTTGATGGGTCTGAAGGCAGACAGATGACCATTGTCTTTGTTCCTCAGGTCCATTGGATATATGGGTTTCTCTCAATTGATGTGTTCTCGCCTTAAGAAGTGTGTATTTCACTTATAGTTCTCTTATTGGGCTTGTTTTCGTTCCTATCCCTCCGAAAAAGGTGGTAGGTTGGTGGGTTGACTTATTTTTGAAGAAGAGAGATTAGGAATTCTTTAAACTGAAAGATTTGGATGTACTGGGTTGATTTGTTTGATTTCTAATTCTGTTTATCAGGGTAAGTATTTGGGGTTTACTTCTTGAAAGTCATTAATGGCATGTTAGTAAACAAAGTTGGGTGATGTGTGTAATGTTTCGTCACCTTATTCCTTGAAACCAAAAAATCTTCAATTTTCTTTTTCCATGAAATTATTTGAGTGAGAGTTCACCAAAATTGTGGTGATTGGAAACTGTTTCAAAGGATTTCAGTGTTTCTACTAGGTTTTGTCTTTATAATAATCTACGTAATGCAAGCATCAATGCCTTTGTTTAATTATTTACTCTCTTCTGTTAAACTGCACATGTATAATCTAAGCTGCACATGAATTTCAAAGAACTTTCAAAGGGAATTGTTAAGAATGTTGATCAATGTTTTCACGAAATATTTGTTTACCCTCTTTGGGCTAGAAAATTAGTCCACAGTTTTGTACTGTAGTTATCTGTCGGTCTTTGTTTTTATCTTTTAATGATATTAGGTGGTATGACTTGAAGTTGAAAATTTTATATTGGAGATAGATCAAATGTCACAATTTCATGTCACTAATGAAACTCAATTAGGGATACATGTTATGTTAAAGGTTTGGGGAGGTGTTTTAAATACAATTGATGACATAGTGATTATTGAAGGTTGAGAAATGCCAACAGTGAATACCTTTCTATTATTTAAGCCCAATTAGTTATAGGGAGGGTGAAATTGGGAATATGTTGTTCATAGAACAATGAACGGAGCCATGTAGGGCTGGCGGGGGTGGCTGCCCCGACTCAAATTTCATTTATTTATTTTACATACCAATCTTTTTTTCTTTTTCTTCTCCCCCACCCCCCCAACACCAAAATCCTTAAATATTTATGTGTGTATTTATATATGTACGTCGAGATTAGGGATTGTAGCTTGCTAAATCTCTCTTTAAACTTGTTTATTGAATGTCTAATCTATTAATCTTTTTATTGATATTCCGGGCTTCTTGAGGAAGGGATGACCAAAACTAAGGTGGGTTGAGATTGTAAGGAAAAACTCAATAGCACGTAGTTTAACAAAAGTTATGGCTCTAGACATTTTGGCTTGACAAAATAGGATTTAAGTAGGACCCCAGATAGCTGGGACAAGAGTTTGTTGATTGAGAATGTACTGCACTATGAGTTATGGTAGTTTGAGAGTTATTCTTGGGCCAAGTTGCATGATGTTCCATGTTATTTCCTCATCTCTGTGTAACATTTAAAATCAGCTCGGTTACTGTATCCTGATACTTTTTTTGTCATCTAATTATGTGGCGGCATTTTGTTTTTCTTTTACCTATTTTTTTGGTTGAAGTAGGCTCCAGTATTAGTATTAGTAACTGATTTTGTTATATTTCATTTTAGACTCTTCCTCTCCACCCCATTTTTTGAAACTTGGTTTCACATGTATCTCTTTTAACTGTCTGCTTTCTGTAGAAATTCAAGGCCATCGACTGAACCATTGTGCTATTACTAGGATTACTGGAATCAGCCATGGTGAGCATACGGAGGCGCAAACTCTTGGGACTTTGCTCTGGTATCTCCCATGTTGAAAACTGCTTTAGTCATGTAAAGTGCTTCACTTAAAATAGACATAACATTGACTAATATTTAGTGAAACTTTCATGGAGGGTTTTGTGTATCACAGGTTGTGTACATTATTGTTTCATTGGCTTATTTTATTTTATTTTTCAAATAAAGGGCACCCAATGTGGTCCCTGATAATCGAGGGTGTTGGGAGGGGTGGACTGGTTACAGATCTAACCTTTGGTGTTATTTGCACAAAGGCTTATATATTTACTTTCTAAATAAATAACAAGTTTAATGATCGAGAACGTAGTGTATTGAATCTCACATTGTGTTTATTGCAACAAAATTCATACTAATATTTGGGCCTTCGTAGGGCGAAGTTCTTTCTTTGCTCCATTTCCTAGGTATTTTGACAGTGCTACTGCTCCTGAAAATCTTGTCCAGAACACAAAACCAGCCAGTGTTCATCAGATGCCTTCAGTTGATGCTTACCAGCCAAAGGATGTAAGATGGAGTTCTTATATTTTTGTTTGTCATCTTGTGCTTTTTCTTATCATATCTACTATCTTCTTCTGGACAATCTAATATGTAAATGATTGACATGCATCAGTACCATAATCTTTGAAGTTTTTACTAGATTTCTTCTTGGTCTGCCATGAATTGCTACATTTTATCGGGACTATGTTGTGGAATCTTTAGGTGCCATAAGAACTTAGTATCATTAATTATCTGAATAGAGATATCTTATATTCGCAAAGCAGCATGAATTTGGACAGACAACATGAAGGAGTGAACGAAAGAGAAGCTATCTTGTGTCAATCCTTTTCCCATTACAACACATATGGACATTGATACACTGACATTTATCAGGCTGGTTGGACTTGAAACTTTATCTCAGGGGCTGGGTTAGACATTGTTGAGAAGAAGGTACAAGAGGAAGCAAGTTTTTGACACAACACATCTTCTTGCATCATTATGAGCAATATCCTTGTATATTTCAGTCAACTCAATCAATGTTTGAGTATTAGGTTTTTGGCGAGTGCGTTATATTTCGTGGCCCCTAACCTGGTGTAAGGGTATAAAACCGTATAACCACATAAAAGCTAATTAATTAGTTTACCTTGTCAATAATGTTTTTAAATTTAGTATTAGTATTAAGCCTTTCCATTTTTACATTTATGGGGTAAGCCTCTCATCAACATCACATGACATAATTTATATATCCTTATTGTTTTACTGTTATCTGTGTATAATTCCCTGCCCTTTGGAATGATCCCTATGCTTCCTCACATTTTACAAATTTTGGTGAAGTTCACATGGTTAAGTAACAAGGTAAAAACATTGCTTCATATGTGAAATTTTCTTTACCCTAATTTCTTGTTTTTGTTTCATGGAAAATTCAGAATGTGTTTTTCCGACACTTTTTGCTTATTGTTCAATGGAGTACTTTCACTCATATCTGTTGTTAATTTTAAAATTTGCATTAAATTGATAATTAAAATAGAATCATTGTATATTTGCACATATCTATGTTTTTATCTTCGTCTTTTTGTTTAAATTAATGAGTGTTTTTAGATTATAAGGTGGGAGGAATTGTAAGGTTAAAATTTTCTGTGTTCAGAAGGGTAACTGGTTGAGGATGTGGATCTTTTGGTCTGCTACCTTAACTTCTACAATTCACTTCCTGAGTTGGAAGTGATAAAAATATTGTGGCTCCTGAAGTATTTGTCTCTTGCATGTACATAAACAGGACTGTGTATGATATATATTTACGTACAAGTACAGTCTTGTTCAGTAATACAGATTGTACAGTCATTTGGGAGTTATTCTTATGTTGCTTGGACTCTTCTAAATGCGTAGAGTACCCATGTAACTTGGATACACATGTCTGGTTAGCCATGCAGCCAGGAAAATGAGTGAAATTTCCATGTTAGATGGTTTATGTTACAAAAAGCACCATTTTACATGGGAATTAACATAGGATTATCAAAAAAATATCAGTAATTATTGTGCCCCTTGTCCTGGGGTCTGGGTGCTTGATAATGGCGGACATTAGAGACATTTACACATCCGGAATGCATTACCCAAGACCATGTAACATATGTTTTGTGTCAACAATAGAAGAGAAGAATCTAATCCAGCTGTTCAGGGACGTTTTATGTGATCCAAAGATCAAGATCTTAATTGGACAAGTAAAAATGATGTAGGACAATAGCAGCAAGAAAGTCAATACAATAAAGGAAGCAAACAATGAATGTGGGATGTGGTAATAAATCAAAAGTAGTGTGTGAATGTGTAGTGGCATGTGTATGATATGTGCATGGGGATGGTGTTAGATCTAAATGGTCCATGTGTAGTGATATATACATATATATATTATATGTAGTAATTAGAGGAAACACTTGGGGTCCACATATAAAAGGTGAAACGAAAAAAAAGGGTAATTTGGTGTGTGCAGAGAGATATTTATATAGCATATGATATGTGTGTGTGTGTGTAAGAGTCAAAGTGATTGCAGGATTGCATGTGAGGCCATAAATAGTGCTCTAGAAAGCTTTAGTAATAAATGGCAGCAAAATGACTAGGAAGGTAGTTATTGCCGTAGGGTTGCATATAAATATGTATGTTGTATTGAAGAGTAATACACCCATCTTGAAATGAAAAATTGAGTAATAAATTATAACTTTTTGAATTTAAAGCTTTTGCTCTGTTATAATCTCAATGTGAGATTATTTATCTTTCTAGCTTTTGCTTTGTCAGTTGGTATGAGAGCCTTGATTTACCCTGATCTAATGGCAAATGATGGTTTCGGCAACATCTGCTTTGCCGATGATTATTGCAGAGTGCAGGCCCCTTGGGCAGCCATGCATACTCAAGAACAGTGATTTGTTCAATGATCTAAACAAATTGCTAGTCTTGGGATTGGTGTCAGGTTTGTGTTCCAGTTTGGGGGATCGTGCTGACGATGGCTTTCACAGCCAACTAAACATGGGTTATGATCCTATATATCCGCGTAGGCCTCCAGCCTATGCAGATAATTCCAATGATGAGAAGTTCGGATTAAGAGGAATTGCGATGGGTCAACGTGATCGATGTAGATGCGACAAAAATTGTAGATATCTGGACAATAGTGAGTTTCAGAGAAAGTTTAATTGACTCACTTTCAATGGAAGTTTCATGTTGACGATGTCTTGGACGGGCTTGATAAAGTTGAACACTTTCTCGAGTATTTTGACATACTTAAAAACAAGCAAGTTCTGATTGTAGCATTCAAACTTAAAAAAGGTGCTTATGCTTGGTAGGAACAGACAAAGAGCAACCACAGATGGCAAGGAAAACAACCTGTGCGGACGTGGCTTAAGATGAAGAATTTATTGATGGCAAGATTCCTAGCACTAGATTACGAACATATGTTGTATCACCAAAATCAAAATTGCAGGCAAAAGAATTGGTGTATTAAGAACCATACAAATGAGTTCAACAAATTGAATGAATGCAATGATCAGTCAAAGTGGGAGAGCCGGCAAGCAGTAAGATATATTGGAGGATTGCAGGTGGCAGTCCACTATCAAATTAAAAAGGCAGCGAGAGAAGAACTACTCAAAGCTTGTAAAGTGGAGGGGTAACCTTTTCCTACTATGGCTAAGGCACATTTCGTGGAGGCAGTATAGGAGTCAGATGAGATTATAACGTTCATTGTTACGAGCGAAGAGGTGAAGGAACAAGCACTCATTTCGGAAGCATTGCGACCTTTATTGGTAGAATATCAAGAGTTGACCTCAAATAAGTTGCCAGAAGGGTTACCTCTCATGCGAGATAATCAACCTCACAAAAATTTGGTGCTTGATGTGAGTTTACCAAACCTTCAACATTACTGCATTGGTCCAATCAGGAATAAAGAGTTGGTAAGGCAAATTAAGGAGTTGGTTTTTACACTGCGTTTCGATGATATGTTGGATATGGTGGTTGGTTAAAAAAATCTTCCCCAAGATTGACTAGAGCAATTATCATCAGATTCATATTAGACCTGGAGACAAGTGTGCTTTCAAAATGAAAGAGGGATGTGCCTATGTTGTTGATCTTCTTGGGACATTTCTTTTTCCTCAACCTTAATGTTGGTGATTTATTCGAGTATCATCCACCCGGTGAACGACTTTATCCGCCAAACTTGAGGAGGAGTTTTTGTGAAGTGGAGGGGACTGATGTAGGACAATAGTGGCAAGAAAGTGAAAACAATAAAAGAAGCAAACAATGAATGTGGGGTGTGGTAATAAATGAGAAATAATGTGTGAATGTGTAGTGGTGTGTGTATGGTGTGTGCATGGGTGTGGTATTAGATTTAAATGGTAATGCGTGTGTAGTGATATGTATGTATGTATGTGTATATGTATATATATATATATATATATAATGTAGTAATTGGAGAAAACACATGGTCCACATATAAAAGGTGAAAAGAAAGAAAAAAGGTGATTTGGTGTGTGCAAAGAGATATTTATGTAGCACATGATTGATATGTGTGTGTGTGTAAGAGTCGAAGTGATTGCAGGAGTGCCCGTGAGGCCATAAATAGTCCTTTAGGAAGCCTTCTTTATGTGAGTGCACTAAATGGCAGCAAAATGAATAGGAAGGTAGTTAGTTGGTGAAAGTCAGTGATTGCAAGCTAGTAAAATAGGCATAGGCGGGCTAAAGGTCGGGATTGCCGCAGGCTTGCATATAAATATGTACGTTATATTGAAGAGCAATACACCCATTTTGAAGTGAAAAATTGAGTAAGAAATTATAACTCTTTTGTGTTTAGAGCTTTTGCTCTGTGATAATCTGAGTGTGATATTATTTGTCTTTCTAGCTCCCCCCTTTGTCAAAAAAGGAGTTACCAAAATTGACTAATACCACTTGTTCAAAACATTGAGTTGAATAACTGAAAACATGGTACATGCTTGTTCCAAAATGTTGAATTTGGTTATTTCTGAAACTATTTGTACATATATGGAAACCAGACAAAAATCATATTTTTCTTTCTTTATTTGCATACAAATGAACTGATAAATCCTGTTGATATATGATGACTTGGTTGCGACCTTATCTTGGGAGGTTTAGTTCAAATTTGGATCTCCGTCCATGCTTAAGATCGTTCACGTTTATAGAATGGAATTTCGGAATGTGTTTTTCCCAACATCAAGTGGAGTTGCATGCAACTAACTCTCTCTTTAATAATTAGTGGCTTTAACTTGAAAGTTACAACATCTGTTTGTATTGATTGGATATAATTATTTGAATTTTAGATTCTTAAACCACCATTTTGTTTTTTAGTGGTTCTATGTAATTTGCAAGCTGTTTACAACAGATATGTTTAAATTGCAGAGATATAAAATTTTGGCACAGGATTTAATTGTTTTATGGTATAAAATATAGGTTACCAGTTGTTTATATGTTCCACCTGTACTTGAAGGTTATATTCATACTAAATATTTTATTTCCCAGAAAATTATCTCCAAAATAGGTAACGGATCATCTGACGCATCGGGGTCTAGCTCGTCAAAGGATCAACATATTCCAGGTTTGTCTTTTATTCATATTTACATATTAAAGTTCCCATTGACCTAGTGAGGGGAATGCATTTGTGTGAAAGCTAAAAAAATAATTTGTTTGATTATTATGCATGTTTCGTGCAATCTTTGTAACTATTTATGAACCTAGATGATTATTCAATTTGTGTTTGCTTGAATTATCAAGTGAAGAGTTGAGTATATAATGCAAGTCTACTTATAGAATTCACCAATGCAAAAATAATCCACAATTGTCACACTTTAAAATCTCAGATGTCATTATCTCCCATGTAGTTATGACAATGAAGACCATCAGTTCAGCAGAACAACTAAAACACCTTCTTTACACAAGACTCTTTGGTATTTATGGACAAATTGCACAAAGAACTTAGTTACAATTATTTTACTAATAACACGCAGCTTGCGGCACAGCTAATTTAATTTCTTTTGAATATTTACAAATGTTAAATGCCCGTCTTCAAGAGATCTATAAACAGAAATGCGAGTTTATTTTGAAATATGATAATGCTGGATATCAGAATGGCAATGCAAATGTCACCCTACTTGATTGTTTGTATTCTTCATTTTCTTCTTTATTTCTTGAGACCTTCCTTCTGATTTTGGAATTCCACCTTTCTTACAGGATATTTTATTTATTTATTTATTATTTTTTATGTATAGAAGACAAAGAGATGCTAAACCTTCCCCTTTCTCCTCTGTCATGTTTTTCTGCAGTGCAAGAAGTCAAACGCAGAAAGCGACACAGGAGAAAGCACGTTGAAAACCAAGAACCATGTGTAATGAGGGGTGTCTATTTCAAAAATATGAAATGGCAGGCAGCCATAAAAGTAGACAAGAAGCAAATCCACTTGGGGACTGTTGGATCTCAAGAAGAAGCTGCTCGTTTATATGACAGGTATCAATATTGAGTTTCACCTTTATAGTGCTAGCAAATGTTAGAAAGGACTGTAGTTAGCAGAACTTGAGGGAATTATTACCTATTGCTCTCTGTACCTTGAGGTTCCCTTCACATGTGACTACTGACAATTTAAACACATAAATGCCTCGGTTAGTAGGGACGGAGTCAGGAATTTATTGGGGGGGGGGGGGGGGGGGGGGGGGGGGGGGGGGGCACACTGAGCATGGTCAAATATTATTTTTCTTCCAATTAACAGTGCAGCAAATCAGGAAGCCAAAAAATAGAATTTCAGTAATCAAGATTCAAATATTATGTCATTTTTCTGAAAAATATATACTAAAAATATATAAAATATGAACGTTATAGTCATAAAATTGTAGTGAAATTTAAAGAGCAAGAGGAAAAAAAAAAAAAGAATTAATAAGCGAGAAAAAGGTTATTCACATACATAGTATATGAGTGCAAGAATAAAAATAAATAAAAAGAAAAAGAAAAGAAAAATGAAAGAACTTTGAAGAAGAAAAATATATACCAATGGGTCGGTGGCCTAGCTGTATCAGGCCCTTACTTCCCAAAGGGAGGTCAAGGGTTCAAGCCTCTGGAGGCATGTGTGTGTGTGTACCAACTATGCAAAAATTATGGTTTGATTGAAGAAAGTGAATGCAATTTTTTTTGAAGGGATCAAAAAACTTGAAAAGCCAAAAAAGTAAAAGAGAATTAAAAAAGAGTTACAGAGATTTATAGAAAGGGATAATTTTATATGGACATTTTGTAAATTTTTAAAAAATTACATACATCAATGTGGCTCTATCCCTGTTGGTCATTCAGATGTCTTATTTTTCACCATTTTACCCACTTTAGTTCCTATCCTGTGTATCTGCTCAGGAAAGAAAGGAAAAGGAAAATTCACCCTATATCAAGTGGTAGACCGTTTTGCCTATTATTAGCGCTTTGTATCAAATCACAATACCACTCCACGCTTCTTACTGGTACAGCTGTAACCATTGGTCTTTCGTTGCAAATGATATATTGATTTTGTTTAATTGGTTAATTGCATTTCCATTTTAATTTGGAAAGGAATATTACCCGTATAGAAGGTGTGCAGTGTTTCATTTTGGGTTGTATTCTTTTTTGTTATTTTTATATAAGTTAATTATCTTGGGTTAACCATACATGATCAAAGCTACGAAATTGTAAGTAGTATTTTTTACAAAAATTGAGATGAAAGCTTCGAAGTGTCAAAATCTCGAGAATTGTTAGATAACTGTTCGAAAACCAAAATGGGTGGAATTTGACCAGAAGGATGTGAAATGAATTGGAATGGAGACCTCTGAGTTTCGGTGTTCCGCTAGTATGGACTGTATGGTATAAAACAGAACAAAAATGAGTAAACTCTAATAATCCATAACTTGGAACTCTATCCTATTCCTACCAAGCTCTTAAATAATAATTTTTATCAAATAAGTCAATCTAATTGAGAGTTCCATTGATGCAATAGTATATAAAATGTAAACTGAATGAATATTTGAATCACTTAAAAAAAGTAAAATCTCTTTGTTAAGATGCAGTCCGTTTTCATATTCTTTCCAAGTTAGGAAAAATGAATTTGACCTTTGCTAGTAAATCTCTTAACGAAGTCAAAATTAAATAAACAGATTGGGGAAAAAAAAAGGAGAAGGTAAAAACACATGGAAAATGACACACATTTAACCTTGGGAAATTGTTAGAAATAAAACTTTAATTATTTATTATTTAATGTGCCGGCTCACTAATTCCCCTGTCCTAACTAGTTTGAAGTTTTGATTGGTTGCTGGACCACAATAACCGTATTACTGGGGTTCAGGTTCTGTTGAAAGAACATTTAACAATCTTTATTGTTCTGTAAGATAAGCATTGATTTAATTGTGATGTTGAAAATGAGTTTGGTATTTATGAGCTGCCTTACCCGAAGTAAATTTGCCTAGATAGCTTGCCCGCAACAATGTGTTGACTGAGGTGCTCTCTTCATCCATTTGACCCTATAATTCATTTTATTTTAGAAATAAATGTAATTATCACTGAATTGATAAGATTGACATGGCATGAGCTTATGGGCAGTCTCTCCCTCTAAGATTTTGAAATGAAAATCTCTAATTCCTTTATTTATTTATTTTCTCCATATTTCACATTCCTAGCTTACCAGATGCCCTTACTTCTGTTTCCCTCTTCATATTAACTTGTGAATGGTAGGGACTAGGGATAGAGATATGGCAGGAAATCCTTAGAAGCAAGAGAAGGAAATAATATGAAAATCTCTAAGTAGCTGCCAGATATTGACATGAAATTATTTCTAATTTTCCTTGATTCCTCTGGGCTTCCCATGATGGTGAACTATTGCGTGCAGAGTTGAATTCTCAATAGTTAATTATTCTCAGATATTCAATATTCAGACAAGTAGTTCACACTGCAATATGTATATTACAGAAATCCATTTCTGTTGTGTAGCATGTGCAGTGAATGTAAGGGATAAGAAGATTAGGTAGTGGGATTACAGACAAGATACCTATTTGCTCTTACTCCCAGCTGAAGAGATGCCACTGGACTTGAAATGCCAGGGAAATAATCGAGAAAAGAGATATTTGTAAAGATTAAATGCATACACTGTTTTTGATTGTGTGGAGGAACATGCTCTTTATGGTAATAGAATTGACTTATTGTCATCTCGGTGTGGAAATGGACTTGAACATTTTAAAAACTCTGGGTAATAGGTAATAGTAATCATCGAGTAAAACTAGATCCAATTGGGTACTAGTATTATGAACTATAGTACGTTTTGGTTAATAAGATACACAGTAATGAGTAGCTTAGATAGTTAAAGACTAAAAGGTTTTCAGAACAGTCATGGCAAACATAGAGTTATTTAAACTTCAGAAATGTCTCCTTTTCTTAATATGGGAAAATTTCTCATTTATTTGACGTATTTAGAATCCTGGCAAACTATTTCTGGCTTACGAGCCAATTGTCTTCTCTGTCCTTTCCTATACTCAATAAATTGGATATTATTACCCCTCGTGTGTCGAAGTCAGGTATATTGTGTAACCACATAATTATTGCTATCTCGTTTATTCTTGAGTAACTATTTAATTTTTCTTCCATTATTGGATCATGTACTTTTAATACACATTTGGTTACTTGTAGCCTGTTGTATAACTCTCTGCATGATAGAAGTGCTAGAATTATACGTTTGGATAACTCATTAGTACTTTTTCCATGTTTGTAGGGCTGCTTTTATGTGTGGGAGGGAACCGAACTTTGAACTCGCAGAGGAAGAGAAGCAAGAACTCAGGAAATTTAAGTGGGTGGAATTCCTCGCAATGACTCGTTCTGCAATTACTAGCAAAAGTAAAGTTGTCTCATTCTTCTTTAACCCACTTGTGTCATTTATCCTCTGGTATTTCAATTGTTGCCATACATGAAATTTTCAGAGCACCAGAGAAGAAGTGGGGCAGGTATGCAAAGAAAGGTCGAGCCTTCAATGCAGAACAGTGACTTGGAGGGGGAGCAAGGAGTCGATGGCTTCTCAGCTTTGGAAGAAGCAGAGCCAGACACATCTGTCTCTTGAAATCTTGATTTTCAGAAAGAAGGCTGAACAACCTGGTTCTAACAGTTGTATTAGCCATTAAGACTCTTATTTATTTAGTTTTAAATGGTGTATAAATGGCCCTAACAAGGTGGTTCATGGTGGACTTTTATCTCTGTTAGTAGCTGGTTTCTGTCTCCAACAAAACAAGGAGTTCAATTTTACATGTCTCTTAATCCATTTCATGGGTAAAGCTTCAGTTTTAGTTTTAGGTAAGTTAATAAACCCTATTCAATTAGTTGCTAGAATGTAATTATTCGACCCAACCTCAACTTCTGTTATTATTGTTTTTCTTTCAAATTGAACATTCGGAATTTTTAGTTTTTGTGGAAAGAAAAATCTTCATATTCCTTCTATCTTCACACACAGTTTGACACGCAAGCAAAAATTTGAATAAAATTGACATATTTACTTGCGTGTCAAGTTGTGAATGGTCGAGATCACGTGCTTCTGGATCATGTAATACTTGATTGTCTCAAAAATATTGATTGGTTGGTTCCATATTTCAAGGTACTTCTGCAAATTGTTGTTGTTGGACTAATAGAAATTTAGTCCCACACAGAACTAAACCGTAACAAGAAAAGTACCAAATGACGTGAGTGAGAGAGAGTGCGAGTACTTCACATAGGTTTTTACTACTCTTGTCCAAGCATATGTGGTTTTCAATTTGGCGTTGATTGATGATTTGAAGTTGGGACAATGTAGTTTAGAACAAAAATATATACGGAAAATGTCAATTGAGTGATTTCTAATCCTTGGAAATATTTGATAAGATTAAAATTTTGGACTTGTGCAATTGCCTGTAAGGTATGAAAATTTCTTCGTTAGTTCCTTAGAAGTTTCAGAGCCAAACAATCTCTATCAGAAATATTCACAATAAATTATCGTAGTTTATCCTTCAGGATAGTAGAACCCCGCAAACAAACACCACTTAAAGGCCGGCTAATTTTATTCTCCAATTATCATTCAGCAAGATGTGACCCGAGTGACCAAAGTACCATCAACGAATTACATATTTGCACCATCATACTTTTAAACTAGATTCACCATCATTTTAAACTAGATTCACCATCATCTATCCAAATTCCAATGAAAGCATCAAACGAGGGTGTTTACGTCCTTTCGCTTCCCCATTTTAAAGTAGGTATCAACTATCAACCATCAACGTTGTTTACAGGGAAAAGTGCAAAAAAAAAACTCTTGTACTATTGAAAAATTTGTAATTGACCCTTTAAAATATTAAAATTGTAGAAAACTTCCTGAACTATGTAAAAAAATTGCAGATTGCCTCATCAGCCTAACCGCCGGTTGAATATGACCGTAAAAAATAGCACATGCTATCACGTGATGCAAAATTTACAATTTAAAGACTATTATACCCTTATTCATAGGAAAGGACAAAAATGTCCCTTGATGCTTCAAACTTCACAAAATTATCCACTAAACCTCTCTCTTCCCTATCCACAAATCTGTTGCAATTATCCACTCTTCCAGCGACGGCGAAGAGAAACGGACCGGACGACGGTGACGATGAGCAAACTGTCCGGTGAGGACCAGCCACGCCACAGCCGTCCTCTCCGCCGCCGGCAGCTATCATCCGAAGCCAAGCTCGCAGCCGTTCAGTCCCGCCGGTCGCCATCAAACCCAATCACGGCCCATCACCGGAATCGCGACTTCTTTAATCGCTGATTCGCTGCCGTCCGGAACCAGCCGTCTCCACCGGCCGAGCACACCGCCGTCAGTGTTCCGAGCACCGCCGCAAGCTAACCGCCGAGCTTCGCCTCATCCACCGACCTCCCCGTTCTGAGCTCGCCGCCTCCTCCATCACAGCCGACACCATCAAAGCCGAGCTAGCCACCGCGAGTTCACCATCACAGCCCACTGCTCACCGCCCCAAGCTCTCCACGACCGAGCCAACAGCCAAGCAAACCCATCGCAAAATTCCGGTGAACCTTGACCCATTGACCCCGGCGAAAGCTCCGAACAGAAACTCCCATTGAAGACCCAATTCCGTCTTGCGTGACAGTGTGTTAAAGAGAAGAGGTCGGTCACACTGTGGTATACGACACCTTTTTTAAAGAAAAAGAGTGAACGAAGAGATCGCCGACGCGCAATTTATCTCTCTGGACTCCACGCACAGGTGAACTAACGTAACTTCGAAGTATTAAGCCTTAATCATATAGGATTAACTTTATTGTTAAATTTTAATCTGGGAGGTTAATCTGATTATGTAGTGGCAATTTGTGTGGCTTGTTTGGTTGATTTGTGATCAATTTTGTGGTTTTAACTTTTATTTTATCGGTGAATCTGCGTGTTTGGTGCAGAGAGCAGAGAACGAACTGAAAGACTTTTAGGTATTTGAGGTTTGGATATATGTGCCTCAATCAAGGGCCGAGAAGAGCGAGTCGACACAGTAAGAGGAGATTGAGTCGATCAGCGAGATGGTGTTGAAAACTTGAAACTACGTCGTTTATTTTAAGGGTATACTTGTCTTTTAGAATTGCCGGCACCAGCCATTAACCTGGTGGATTTTTTTTTTTTTGTAGTGTAGGGGGTAACTTGCAAAATCCCCATAGTTCCGGGGGGTTTTATGCACTTTTCTCTTGTTTATATATATTTCGGTCCCAAAATCCAACTTGATTGGCAAATTCATACTCTCGCAAAGTCGGTGGCCAGATCGCAGGCAGCGAACGAATAAGTAAGGTATGTGAAAAATCAAAACCCTAAATTTCTTTTTCTCTTTGAAAAATATAGTACGTATGCGATGTACTGGTTTAATTGTGGTTTTCCATAAAAAATTGTGATTTTAATGATCATATGATTGGAACATGAAAACCCTAGATTCAAGTTTTTTTTTTTTTTTTTTTTGGGTTCATTAGATGGATTGGTGGTTAGGTTTCTTTTGGAATTCTGTAATATACATACAATTGTTTTATTGTATATAAATGATCGTAACATTGATTCTCGTCAACTTGATGCCTTTGAATATATATATATATATATATATATATATATATATATGAAAAGCTAAATTATATTTGATTTGTAACATCTTATAAATACTTCTTGGCATTCACAATGTTCTTTGCCGGTAGCATATAGGTTTTAATTATTTTTTAGAGAATAGTGATTTGAGTTCAAGCTGCCATATGATGTTTGGGAAATTGCGCAAGGGCTTTGAGTTCCATTTAGCAAATGTTCCAAAAATGGAACGTTGAGAAAATTTCAACTACATATCCCTTCTGATGGCTCTAATATTGATTGATTTTTAAGCAACACACAGAATTTTACCAATCTGCATGTTTCAGAGGACACTGTTTGATTTATTCCTTTAATTGATGCCCTTAAATGAAGAATCATAGGACTGAAGCAACTTTACTTATCTGATACAACACGTTTTTTTCCTATTATTATCATTCTTTTATATATTTTTTGGGGTGTCGTAATGCTTATAAATATTGAGAATTGAGAACTTGGGAGTTGCAAACAGTGGGATATTTCTAACAGATTTTATTTTTATTTTTATTTTTTTATTTTTAAAATATATTGGCCTGTGTGGTATGCTTGTGTTGAGAGGAATGCGTGCACATCAAATGTCAAATGTTGTCATTCGGGCCTTTTACCGCTCCATGCAGTAGTAATTTAAGCCATGGCTTAACTGAATTTTCCTTGTTTTTCTATATATGATTATAACAGCTCCAAGTTGTTGGGACTTGGGATTAGGCTTATTAGTTGAGCATGTGTATGCTTATTCATGATTTGAAATTTACTTCATTTCGGAAGTCTTTTTTTGTTGATTTTTTCTACTCTACAATTCATGGATCAAATATTAATGAAAAAAACCATGGTTAATAGCATGTCAGGTTTGTGGTGCTTTATGGGTGTGCATAAGTTGTATATGTTTTATGGTTGTTTTACTGGCAATTAACGCATGTGCTTTGAAGAACCATGGTTAATAGCTGTGGTGCTTTATGGGTGTGCATAAGTTGCATATATTTTATGGTTGTTTTACTGGCAATTAAGGCTTGTGCTTTGAGGTTTTGTTTAGTGCATGCTTTAGGTGAATCATTTTAAAATTCTTGTGATGTAAATTCAAAGTATTTGAACAAACATTAAGGGACAAATATAGTTAGTTCTGAGTACTGGACTTATTTTTCTACACTTCAATGTGTGCATGAGGACGGTAGTCTTTTAGCGGGCATTGCACTTTTGTAGCATGCTCATTACCATAGGATAATTATGTATGCATTAAATATTCCCAGGGGTGCAGGGAGAGTTCACATGGGGCTATCTGAGTTATTATTGTTCAATCGCTAAATTTATGTTGTAAGATTTCATGTTTTCTAAAAACAATCAGGATTGAAGAGTGAGGAGGCATCTTTTCATTGCTCCGATGAAGCATATTGTGAAGATTATGACATTGCTGGTGGCAATATCTGCCTTTTGGATTGGCCTCTTGCAGACATCAATTATTTCTCATAGCTATGCTTGGTTGGTGAGTTCCTTCTTCTAGCTTTTACATCATTTATATATTTACAATTTGTTTCTTATAGTTTATAGCTTACCGGTGTTACCTTCTTTTTCCCAGCTTCCTCTTTACTTTATTGTGTCATTAGGATGCTATGGCCTATTAATGGTTGGGGTTGGTTTGATGCGATTTCCAACTTGTCCCCATGAGGCAGTGCTGCTGCAACAGGTATTTCACTTTACCATTTTCTGTTCACCTCAATGAGCAAGTTTACTTATGTTGTGGAGTTCTATTTAAAAGATGTGTTTTGGAAGTACTTCCATTCAAGTGGAGAAGTTCATTTAACAAGCTGCTGGACTACGAACTACACCCCTAACCTACCCCCTTAAGTTCCTCGGGGTTCAATTTCTTTTAGTGTTATTCTTGGGCATTATGACTTCTATACTTAATTTGATTGTTCTTATCGTTGTGATTTTCTTTTTCATTGGTTATTTTGCTGTTGAAGCAGTGTGGGCTAGGCTAAGTGTCTGTTTGGACTTTATATATAGATTCTAAAAATGCAATTTTTTTATAGAGCTGTCAAAAAAATAAAAAAAATTTCGATATTTATTATGCAGTACTTGAAGCAGTAAAATAATATACAAATTACCCAGGAAAAAAAAAAATACAAATTCCATGAAATATAAATAAATTCCTCCCCTATGTGCCAATGCAACTCAGAAGGTACCAAATTTTGTTCTGGCTGTGGGGCTAAAATCTCTACAGCAAAAAAGCAATGGCTTGAGACTGCCTAATGGTGCATGTAAGACATAGCTAAACTGAAAATACTTTTGGACTGTCAAACCGCAAACCTAGATGAGCTTTAAGAATTGTTGTTATTGTACAATGTGACATTTTCTTTTCTCTAGTAATTATTTTGCTGTCGGTATTCTTCTACTATTATTATTATTATTATTATTATTATTATTTATTTATTATTATTTTTTTTTCTGGGTTGGTTTGTTCTGGCAGATTCAATTTGGGCTAGATTATCATATACTTATTATTTCCTGTATTTTCACCATTGTACTGATAAATCAAAATTTTTAGTTTTCTTCTGATAGAATTGTGGCTGATTTCTCATTCATTTGGTCATAATTTAATTTGTTGAATGATTTATGGATGCATAATTGATAGCTTTGTTTTTGTAGGACGTTATCGAGGCCAAGGAATTTCTAAAGCAAAGAGGGGTTGACGTGGGTTCTGAATGATTTGACCGGCAAAGGATTTTTATTTATTTTGTCTCGTCACTGAAGCTGGAAAAGAATTAACATGGATGTCTCTTGAATTTCACCATCTACAACTGGGCCTGTGCATAGGAGTTGTCTTTGACAGAGAATTGCTTCATCTGGAAGAAAAATCAGGAAATGTTATCAAATTAGTTGATTAACGGGTCTACAATTTCATTTAATTCAACTGAATTTGAAGTTGGAATCAAAATCCAATTAACAGGAAGCAAAATTTTGTATACCTTTGATTTGTATGGGGCCACTGATCATGGAATCAGCATGGAGTCATAGACTTTTTGTGCCTTGTTAACATTTTTACAGCAGTGTACGCATTGGCTTTGAGAAGATATAAGAACCACAAATAACAGATGATGACAATGAGCACTTCATTTACTGAACTCTTTTGACACTCATTTGATACTTTCGGAAGGAATATAAAAACATCTCCGAGGGTTATGTTCAGCTTTTGATAGTCTAATAGTTGAAGCTAATGAGAGCATTTAATCAATAACGGTACTGTACAAATGCAATTCATATACTGATTTCTCATGGCAAATGATGTTAAAATTTTCCTATCATTATAATCATTTTATTGTTTTCAATGGAGTTCTCGTTTATATATTTTATTTCTGGGCACTGTATGCACTGGTTTCCATATTACCAAAGATAACCAAAGATCTGATTCGCATGTTTAGAAGAAAGATCTGATTCGCATGTTTAGAAGAATTGTGTAAGTCAAATTTGTTGTGACTATCTCCATAAACTATGTGGTCTATTCATGAAATTGAGATTTCAAGTATGCCAATTGGTTTTAAATCGGATCCAATTATGCAAATACATTTTTGTTAACTGATTTAATTTTTGTTCTTAATTTGACAGCATTGTGACGGCATGAAGGTATTTTCAACATTTTCAAGAATCCAAAAGTGTATTTCTAACATGAAACTTTTTCTAAAGAGCAAAATTTTTCTATGGCTTTAGTTGGTTTGGAATTTTTTTGAACACTTTGAAACCACTTAACTTTTCCATAAAGTTTTCCGGAAAAATTTGATTTCTTAAAAAAAAAAATTATGTACTTATAATAATGTAATTTCTTTTATACGGTAAGTTTAACGCTACTCAAACTATAAAATGATTTTCTCACAAATTTTTTTAAAAATTTTTCATGCTAAACAAATACACATATGGAAAACTTTATTTGATTGGATCGAAAAGTTATCGAACTCAGGCAGCCATATGGGTTAAGGGTGGTATTCGGTTATGGTAAGTCTCCATAGTCGTTCAGTAGATATGATATCCAATTTTAGCCCAAAACTTTTGGTCATGACGGTGGACCGGTGGTCCAAGTCCAAGGCTTGATTCCATTGGGCTCCAATAGCAGAGCCACGATGCAAATCAGGACCATATATATATACAACATATGCATAAATATAAATTAGAAGCAGAGAGACAGGAAGAACGAAAACTAGGGCAAGCGAAGATGATCATACCAGTCCGTTGCTTCACTTGCGGGAAGGTACATCACTGTATTATAACTTTTTGTCTCCGATAGATAATCTTTTGTTCTTCAAGCGATTGATTAACATTTTCCCCCCTCATCGTTATTACACTTGTTTTTGTAATTGTTCGTAAGGTTGTTCTTCAAATGCGTTTGTTTCTCTTAGGTCATTGGAAACAAATGGGACACTTATCTTGATTTTCTTCAGGCGGATTACACCGAAGGGTGAGAAACATTCACTCGCTTTTTTATTTATTTTTATTTTTTTAAGTAGCTTCTTTTGACTTATATTTCATTAATTTTCTTGTTGTTTATCAAGATTCTTTAAGAATACGCTTTATTGGTTGTCAATTGCTAGAATTCGATGAATGAAAACATGGTTTTCTTGATGGAAATCCCTATACATATGATGTCTGAGTGCCCATTTCAAGTTTGCCATTTTGTTCCTTTATATCTAATTTTTTGTTGCTCTATGTATAATACACCATAATTTACGCACACACGCACCAACACACATATATTGGTAAGATAAATTAACAAGAATCTACTTGCTATGAAACATTTTTCTTTTTGCAGAAAATCAGAGCTTCAACTATATCTTGGAGTTCCGTATTGAGTACCTAAAGATAATAATGCATTGATAACGGTGATTCTTCATAAAGAATTTTTTGAAGTAATCATCTAGTATCGTATTTGACCTTTTATAGTCTTAGTAAGAACTTATACTATAACCCCAAGTTTCTTTGTGAGTACCTAGAGCAACTAATGTTTTGATTATATTGATTTCTCAATTAAGAATATTTTTAAAATCTAACCTCTTTGATTCTATCAGATTTTGGTTTGCATCTTAACATCGGCATATGATTACACCAAAAAGTGGCCGATTGCTTTCCAAGTGTTCAATAATTGTTGCTACTGATTACTTATAAAAATATATATATAATTGTTAATACTGAGACTGTCCCTTCCATTGTTATTATCGTCTTTTTTTCTTGCTTCACTTTATAGAAATCCTTTTAGGACCACTAAATTGGACTTCTCCTTCTTACCTGAATCTTTTGAATCATTATATTATTATGCATTTCAGTGGTTTTCAGATCATGTCTATAAAATTACTAAACCTATGAGGTATTTGACAGTGAGATTATTTTAATTGAGCCCTCTCTTATATAGTTATGTCATATAAGAAGACATGCATCACAGTCCACCGGATGGTACTTGGGCACCCCTGCATTGGATAAAATCCATAACATGTGGGCTAAGGAAAGGATAGGATTTGTTATATTTGCTCGCCCATTTCTTATTGTTGGGCTTGCAAACTTTCTTTATCAAGTATTATTCTTGGAGTAGGACAGAAATTCATTGTGGAAGTTTCTAATTATGTAAAATAACTGCATATGCAAACTGGAGGTAGCGGAATTTGAGAAATCAAAATTTGAATATACTGGGCGCGGAGGTTTAGTTAGTATAGTTAGAACTAGAAGTGATATATGGTCCTAAAAAGCATGTGTGATTCTCGCTAGGTGTTGATCAAATGAACGATTAAAGACCCTTCTCTACGAGCACTTAATACAGGCTGCTTACACTAGCTAAATCCTGACAGAAGACTGTCAATTTTTATTTTTGTTTTTGAATTTCCAGAGTTTAAACTCAGTATATTGGAGAACTTAAATTATTATTCATTGTTTTTCTTTTCTTTACTTTGCTATTTCATTTAGATCATCTTTTTGAGGATTCTTGCTGAAAAATACAAGATCAAAAATCATTCAACGGAAGCCATCCGACACAAAGAAATGTGCTTGCCTTGCATTTTGCACCACTTAAGTTTTTTTAAAAAACAACATAACATATGCATCCATAATGTTAATGACTATAATTTACATTATCCAGATATTATTCTTTTTTGAATAAGTTAGAAGGTTTTATTAATTTCTTTTGTTTAGCATACTGATGTTTTCTAAATGCCACATTTATTTGCTTGGTATACACTTTGCAGAGATGCTCTTGATGCACTGGGGTTGGTTCGATATTGCTGTAGACGAATGCTCATGACTCATGTTGACCTCATTGAGAAGCTTTTGAACTACAACAGTACACACTCTCTCTCTCTCTCTCTCTCCCTCTCTCCCTCTCTCTCTCTCTATGTTGATTTGGATATTTTTCTTCTTCTTTATTATTATTATTATTATTGGTGGGGTTGGGGAGGAGGAGCTCTTTGCTGGGAATTTTCTACTATCCACCTTTAACATCTAAAATTGTGTCATCTTTTCTTGTATAGAAGGATGAGAGGCTATTGTTAAATGGATGCCATTTGGTGGACTAACATGCACGAAAAATTATTTTGTACCTCTGAGTTGTTATATGTGATTCAAGGACAATTTCTTCAATAAATACATCATCAGAAATTTTCTACTGTTCTTAAGAATTTGATCAGAACTGATACTGAAGATTAAAACAAGGTCATTTCACCAATTGTGATTTCTGTAATATTAAGCATGCAGTTGTGTTTCTTTTTTAAAGTTAATGTGAATAACATGGATTTTGGTCAATGGATGATAGTGGAGAAAATTCACTAGAGAGGAGCTACACAGTTGTATGCGAGTTCCATATTTAAATTTATTTATTATTGGAGGACTAACTTGGCCTTTTTTTGCAGCTCTGGAGAAATCTGAGGGCAGCTGAGAAGGCTTATGGAATTCAAAAATCTGTTACCATGAAAATCTAGTAGTTTAAGTTTCTCTTCTGAGATTTCTGTTAGATTATTCGTATTTGGAATAGATGAAGCGAACAATAGTGTAAAAAATAAGAAAGCAATGTGCTTGTAATGTAACCGGTTGTTGTAACTGTTTGAGCTTATCTAACCTTTCTTCTAAATTGACCAACCGAGGTACCAGTAATTTGAATTCTGTTTGTCGTTTGATGTTGTTAATTCTCTTCTTAAAAAGCGACTTCTTAGATGCGACCACTGGAGCCTCACAGCAGATTATGCCGATCATTTATGTGATTTATAGTGAATAGCCATTCCTTTGTTTTTTTTTGGTAAATATGGACAAAATTTGGCAATTATGTCAACTGTTATTCATGTTTGTGCTTATGAATTGTTTTCTTCTGTGTGAAACTTTTCGACTAGATTGAATACCGGTGGATTAGACATGATTGGTAATTTTCTTAAAGATGGCTTTATTGATGATGATAAAGCAGAGCAGCTGCTGTGAGCTAGCAGCCGCCTGCTGGGAACCATTGGATCCTCCCAAAGCTGTGATGCTGAAAATTGATGTGATTTATAATGGTGGGTATTATTACAATTTAATAGGAATTGTTACAGATGGATGCTAATTTATATTGACGAAACTGTAAATTAATCCTTGGTGTGTTTGTGTTTGTGTGTGTATTATAAACTGTAAATAATCATCAATTGTTAGATTTCTGATATTGGAAATTTTTCTATTGTTTTGTCTCCTCTCCAAAATTTAATTTAGTTTTTTTGCAAACCAACTGTTGTTGTGAAAACCAAGTGAATGCTTTAGGTGGTCCTACTTGAATTGATTGTGTGTGACTTTAAGATTCTCAAAAAAACCGTTATAGTTTGTTGTGATAAAATTAATTTTCTTGATTTGGTTTTTATCTCATGCTTAGAAGAAGTTTGTCGCCTTTTGTTTAGTATAATAAATGTAACATAATTTGGAGAAAAGAATAAATGCTTTAATGATTTGTGTATGTATATATATATATATAGATACACATTACTTTTCTACACTTGCACTTTTTTTTTTTTTTCTTTAAAGTAAATGACAAAAAAATTCCTAAATTAATTAATACATCATTTCTTATTTCGTTATACCCAAACTACTCTTTGCATTATAAACTATCCTTTTTTTACCCTTTTTTATTTTATTTTATTTTATTTTAAAGGGAGCCTAAAACCAACACTAATCCATTACCCCTCTCTCTCTCTCCACTCTCTACCCAATTTGCAGGTAACACAAGCTCTCTTTTCCTCCCTTATTATTTTTAATTAAATTTTTGAAGGAGATGATATGATTTCATTGGTCTAAAGCATTTCTTTTTTCTTTTTTTTTTTTTTTTTGTTCTCAAATACACATCTACTGGGCTTTTGTTTTCAAATATTTCCTCATTTCCAATTTTTTTTTTTTTTTTTCAATTTCCGCAACATATTAATTACGCTTTAAATAAGGCGGCTTATGTGAAAAGAGGAGAATATGAAGTGGAAATTGAAAAAAAATATTATAAATCTCTAAAGGACATTCTTGAACTTTAGTGGCCCACTTTTTAGCAACCAAAGGTAAGAGCAAGAGTCTCCAAGCTTTTTTTGAAAATGGACATCTGAAACCTTTCAACCTCGTCCTCCACCTAAGTTGCTTCCTCTTAATTTCTAGGAGGGTCAGGTGAAGTAAAGCCTTGTTGAGATCCTCAAGGCTTGATGAGTACTTAGTTAAAGCACTTTGAGCATCCTCCTTAATTTCATGAGGAGAGAATTTACACAACTAAAATTATTAAAATGATGGATTAATGCTAAATTCAGTGACAAAATGGTGAAAATTATTGACAAAAAAATAAAATAAAATAAAATAGTAAGACATTGTGCATGTGTGGAGGAGACTAATAATAGAGGAAAATGAAAAAAGAAGAGACATGGACACACAACTCCAATTCAATGGCAGTGAGTGTAACATCAATTTCTTTCACATATCATATGCATTTTATTAACTGCAACTTATTTTTTCTCATTTAGTTTGCTATTATAAGTTTTATTTTTATTTTTATTTTTTTTCATTTTTTCTTTCTGAAATTGATATTTAATCCGTAACTATGTGACTACATAATTTTACTATGCCTAAATTAAATGAAGAATATAGAAACGTTAATTGGGGGGAGAGAGAGAGGGGAGAAATATTTTTTTATAACTAAAAAGGTAATTGTGGTACTCTAAAAAAAATATTTATTTATAAAATTAAGATAGAAATATTATTTCTTTTAAGAATATACTGTAAATGTAAAAAAGTGAAGTACAAATAAATAACCTCTCCCTCAAAGAATAGGTTTCGGGGGAGATTAGTGTTTCCCTTGGGCGATATGTTTGTCACAACGATTCCAAGTTTATGGCTCTAATCACAAAAGCAAGAGGTTGGGTTCCATCATTTAGAATAGATGGGTTAGTATGGAACGAACTATCAATCGGTTTCAAATGAGCTAAATAAAGGTCCCTTACACACGTGACATGTCTGTCCCGTGTCATGCATTTTGTTACCAGGTAGACTGTCATTATTCGTATCTGTAGCTATCAATGCCAGAAGTTCAGATTCTTCTGCAATTTTCACACAGATAAGGGTTTTAATAAAATAAAATAAAAAAAGAGTAAAAACTAAAAAAATAAAAAAAGAGGAAGAGTGAGAGAGAGAAAGTGGAATACTATTGCCTCCTGCTTTTAAGATATTTAAATTTATGTTATTCACGACATGTAATTTGTTGAAAAATATATGTAATATGTTAAAAATGTTAAAGTTTTTACTTGTATAAAGTTTTTAAAATGTTAAACTTCATTTTACGATTAAATTAAAGAGGTGTCAGTAAATATGAAAATGTGTTTGTGTTTATTGGCTAGAGACATAAGGTAGCCTGTAAATATGAACTTATATCCTTATACGTCCCTTCTTTATTCTCTTCCTGCAGCCCATATATATTATTATATTATATTCTTATGCTTTGAGTTTTTTAGGGCAACATGATACTACCAAACTTGGTGATCGTTACTCTGTGAACGTGTTTACAGAGGACATTAAAATTATATCTTGGAGTTTTTCATAATCGTCATAACCTGCACGTAGGGAAGTTGTAAAGACTTTACGACAGTGCAGTATTGCGTGTCTCTCCATTAAACAGGTCAGAAATTTCTTACTCTCTACTATTTTTTTTTTTTTAATTTTAATTTTAATTTTTATTAATCCAGGGTGTCCGAGATGGCACAAACCCTTATTGCCCCTCAACAACCCGATTAATCTCCAAGAACTCGAAAGGGCACCTCCCCACTCAGGCCGGATAAGTCACTGCAGGGACAGCGGAGGCTACCTAGCGGAACTCGTACTCTCTATTACTTTATTATACGTTTGTTGTTATTCTACTTGCCGATTACTTTAGTATATTGTTTTATTTATACTACATATTGTGTTATTTTTACATTGTCATATGAATATAGAAATGTTTTGATCAAAGTGCATTTTGATATGGTTACGTGAAGACACTTAAGAATGTATAAAAATATTAAAAATCCCCAACAAAAAATTACCGTGTGCATAACAGCAAATGATCCCTTTTGCATGAGTGTGGTTTGACTGTTATAGCCATGAAGATAATGCTCTTAGGTTGATGGTTTGTGCCTGCCCTTTAGAATTGAGTTTGATTACTAAACCCTTTGGAGATGCTACTCTTAATTTGCCGGTTCGAGTCCCAACGAAGGCAAGACTTGAATTGTATCCATTTAGAAATAAACACGCGCATATATATATATATATATATATATTCAATTATTTTCATGTAGTTATAAATATCACATGATCCCTCGGCTTCTCTTTCATAGTTAAACATAAGATAATAACTTGCCCAATATTAATAAACAAATATTCCTCTCTTCTCCATGTTTAATCATAAAAATTGTTCATCCAACCAAGAATTGGTTTTACTTAATTTTCTGTGTAATGTAGTGAGTACATGAAAATACTTCAAGTCTCTCCATGGAATGCTCCAAAAGTTGACAACTTTGGCACCAATGTGGTACCATATGAATCCGATGCTCGAGGTACTAAAGAAAAAAGAAAGAGAGAGAGAAAAAGAAAAGAAAAGAAAAAAGGAAACATAAGATGCAACATAAGACGTGACAATCACGAATTTAAATTTTATCCTACCTAGTTCTAATGTTTCTTTAGGAAAAATATTGTAATTAACTAATAATTTTTTTAAAAAATTGTTTTTATAAAATTGATGTCTTGAAATTTATTTCTCATCTCCTCAATATAAAATAGACATAACGCTAATGAATTTCTTATATAAGTTAAAAGAAAATATCACGTGATCTTTATTTACATTTTAATCATTTAATACTACTACTATTATCAAAGCAATTTGCAACCATCATTGAATTTTCTAGGTCATTACTCAATTTGGTTTTTAATAACACAAAACAAAAGTATAAGAAGATGACCAAATACCAACTTGAATTTTAAAATTTAATATTATTTGTGTAAAATAATTTTTATCAACTTAATATGTGTTTTTTATAATTATCAACTTAATATGTGTTTTTTATAATTATAGGTTTAATATATGATTTTTTTTTTGGTTTAATATACGAGACTCTTTGTAAAAAGTAACCATTTTTTTTTTTTTTTTTAGTATAAACCGACACTAGATAGACAACTATGAAATTTGCACTATTTATTGAACTAGGGACTATCAGAACAAAATAATCTTTCAAATGCTATAAAATGTCAAGCTAATTCAATCCCAACAGCTAACCCAAAACGAAATAATCAATAAATACATCCTAAATACATTCACACATGTTTCATATGATGTCGGTTATTTTAATTTTTAAATTTTTTTTTTTATTTATTTAAAAAGAGTATTTCTTTTTGAAATTCACTACATTGCTTACTGGTTTGCTTTACTCAGTAATGTCTCTCGTTTTCTAACAAACTTATCACTACTTATTAGCCCCAAAAATTTCATATTAAAAATACCCCATCTTTTACGCATTTCATGAGCATTTCGTTCCCCTTCTGTCTCTATCTCTGAAGTAATCTCACACTTTCTCTCTCTACATCTATCATCGCAGAAGAACATTTTGACACTCTACAGCAAAGCCACAGATAGGAGAGAAAGAGAAAATGCATTACAAGCTCTGATAGTGGATCTGAAATTCTGAGCTGAGCACTCATACATTCATTCAAGATATGGGGGTTTTGGGCGAATCTTGGTGTTTCTGCAATGGCGGAGGCAAGTCTGAGAGAATGAAAGCCGCCATTTTCTCCGGCAAAGGTCCAGCAATGGCCACAATCGCCGGTGGCGGCGCAGTGTCCGGCACCGGTTTCCTGATCCACCGGAATTTACTCCTCACCACTCACGTCAATCTCCCGTCGGTGGCCGCCGCTGAGGCGGCGGAGATCCGGCTGCAAAATGGTCTCGCCGCTAGCCTTTTTCCTCACAGGTTAGGTTTCATTTACATACACACGAATGTACATACTTATATTATCTATGTCAGTGTTATTGTGCTTTTTCTTCTTGATGTTTGAATTTTTGGATTGAATTGTTTACAATGGGTGTAGAGAGATGATTTGGATTGTTCACAAACATTGGGGACTGAATGTGATTTATTTGTAAAATATATGAAATATCTTAATGGTTGTTATAGTGTTGGATCTGACCAAGTTCTTACTTTTTTCTGAGCGATAAATCGTTGTTTTGCATAAAATTAGCGTGATACAAGTGGTGCTTATTTGGTTTTATTTCTTTCTTGTTTTGGTCTGGTTAAACCTGGGTAAAAAAGGGATTTCTATTAAAGAAATTCATTACTGCTTTATTTATTTATTTATTATTATTATTAAAAAAGTTATTTATGCGTTTTCCCCCCTTTATTTTAAGCTTTTAAATATTTAAGTACATTGATTATTTTCCAATTTCAATACCATCTAGAGAAATAGGGAATTATTGATTAACTCCTAAGTGTCCTGTGATAGCATTGGGAATTAAGGCACTTTATGCCTTGTCACTTGGTTGAATGATGGAGAAGGTTTAACTTTATTAGTCTTTTGGTGGTCATGGTTCTGGCCCTTAACCTAATCAAATTAAAAGGCTTTTTGGTGACCCAAAGTGAACACCTTGAAATACATTTACATTCTGTTTTGAGATATTTCTGGTAGTAAATAGTGAACCAAGCTCCCATTGGATTGGATTATTTGTGCTTGTGTAGGATTTAGTTAAGAGTAGTCGGTAGGAAGGTCTCACCATTTTAAAGATCACAAATTTTTGGAAGTCACCATTATGGTCCTTAACCCAATCAATCTGAAAGATGGTTAGTGGCTCAAAATGAACACCATTGAAATGCATTTATACGATGGGCGCATATGGTATTGCTGATATCATGTTTATTATGCATCTTCAACCTATTGACTTCTTTATTCTGGAGATCTTGTGCGTGAAATATATCGCCAACAGATCAGTTACGATCTGAAGAAACTATGATGTGGTAGGGGCATGTTTTGGTAACAATGGATTGTGGAAACGCATTACCTTCGTTTTCTATTGAGGAATGGATGATCTAAAAAACGGTCATTAGAAGATACGCTCTTAGCCTCTCATAGAATGTGATATCCATGACCCATGGGTTCAATCATCACGCGGCATTTAATTCCTCCTTAGACAGTGGAAATTAAATACATAAGAATTTGAAGATTAATATTTAACTTTTCCCACCATTTTTATATTCTTTTAGAGGACACATGTCCATATACTACATGTTGAGTTTTGTTATCCATTGGGAAAGTCAAAACCCAAATCCATGTAACATGGCCAACTACACTGTACTTTCTACACCATTGCCCCTTAACCACCTTTTTCTAGCACCACCAACCCTATTAACACAATTTTTACTACTACTTGCCACTCATACCCTCTAATTGTAGTTTCTCAACACTGTTATGAAATCTTTGACGGCTACTGTGTCCATTGTATTGTGTATTCGCATGCCTAGTCCAATTATATGCAGCCATTCTGAGGTTCGATTACTATTTTGGATTTAGGAAGTAGGTTTGGACTTGGGGTTTTGATTAGAAGATTCCGAACCGTGTAAAAACCTAGGTGGAAAAGTTGGATGTTTATAGTGTAACCTTTGTCCTTTCACAAAGTTATGATGTATTTCAGCACACTGTTTAGAAAATCAAAAACCTTCACCATACAATCTTGTATCATGCTTATAGGCTTGCATTCTTCTGCTTTATGACAGTGTTTGTTTGTATTCATTTTTCGACTTTCTGTTTAAATAGGTCACAACATTTAATTTATACATTTCTGATTGATTGTTCTGCATTTATTATTTCTTGTGTATATTAATCTCCTTTGTGTAGCAAATGAAAGTTACTTATTCTGATATCAATCATATGATTCCTGGAGTTGTCATAAAAGACACAAATTATTTTCACCAGAGTCAGAATTTACATGCTTTATTTGGTGGTAATTTGGATTTGTTTGCTTTAGTTTTAATTGTGGAAAATTGCAGATTGAGATAATAACAAAATACCTTTTTTTAAAAAAAGTCAACCTACAGAGATTCGACTTAATTGAGAATACTAAAGGAAAAATTCTTTCAAGAACTGAACTTGGCACATCTCTGTGTAAAAGCCATTTTCAAATTCAGCCTCGCATTGTCCCTCCATTCTATTAAACCATCTTAACAAATATTCCTACAATGTCATCTATGTGTAAAAGCCATTTTGATGCATCAAGGAATTCCTTGCTGCCTTTGACCTTTTAATGCTGTTCTCAGTTTTAGATAAAATTGAGTCTGCCTTAGTATGAGTAAAGCTGCTTTAATCCCGCTTGAAAATGGCTCGGAATGCAACGTGTCAGAATCTCTCTTATAATATGATGAGGTCAAACATTATTTATAGTGCTCATACCAACAGGCAGTCCAATACGGCACATCCACGTCTTTTGGCATGGTCCAATGAGATGCTTACTTGCGTTCGGACAAAATTAGAAAGCATGATGGAACACAATCGGATGGTCCTATAGGATGCTGCTACGTTGAGAGGGTACACGTTGATGGACCTTAGGGTTCAACAACACTCATTGTACGACTCCATATTTTGGAGTTTCATGGAGATGCAACATGTGTTATGTCTAGAGGGACCACGTCTTGTAAAGATGTATCTCTTTTCAATTGGAGATTGAAAAATCATTTCTTTTGAAGGTGTCACGTGTTGAGTTGCAGGAGCTATGCAAGGGCCTTTTTGGATGAAGATGTCATGAAGATTTAGTCAGCTCAGGAATATGTAAAATGGTGGAGTAGATACTTACAGGTTATGGTCCGTTGTCCATGTACTTCTCTGGCATTCTGAGTAGAATAAGATGGATGTGGTGGCTATTCTTAGAAACTTCATGATGCTTTCTGTTATCATTGTTACCTTGAAGTGGTTTTAGTGGTAAGATAAGATGCACAAAATGATTCTTGAGAACTTCTTGAGGGTACTGATGAAAATTAGTAACACTTGCACGGTTACACCTGCCAAAACTGGCCCTAACCTCTCCATTTCCAATTGTCAAGCTTACACATTTATCATTGCTCTGCTATTGCTTTGATAGTTAATAGTATTTCCTTTTTTCTGAATGACGTTTTATAGGGAACAAAATGGCTATTGCTGAAATCTCTAAAAATTTGCAGTATTTAATAAAAATGCAGTCATAATGAGACATGCCTAATGCAACATTTCTGTCCCACCAAGTGGAGCTATGCTTAGATTTTTAGAATGTGGTGACATAATCCCAAAATAAATTGTGCTTGATTGAGGTTGTATTAAGGAATTCATATTTATTTTATTGTACTTGCATTTAATTGTAGGTTTTTCATCACCAGCTCTGTTCTTGATCTTACTATAGTGGGTCTAGATGCCCTGGATGGAGACTCAAATATGCAGGGGCAGCAGCCACACTACTTGAAAACCTCTGCTAAGCCAAATCTAGATTTGGGTAGTGTAGTTTACCTTCTAGGTTACACGGAGAAAAAAGAATTGACAGTTGCTGAAGGGAAGGTAGTGATAGCCACTGACAATCTGATAAAGCTGTCAACTGATGGCATAACTTGGAGCCCTGGGTCAGCTGGTTTTGATGTACAAGGCAATCTTGCATTCATTGTCTGTGATCCTATGAAGCTAGCCACATCTCCAAACACAAAATCTTCTTCAACTTCAACGTCTTCTTCATCATCTTGGAAGAAGGATCTACCTATGCAATTTGGTATACCCATTCCCATAATCTGTGATTGGTTAAACCAGCATTGGGAGGGTAACCTCGATGAACTCAACAAGCCCAAGTTGCCAATCATGAGGTTGATGTCTGCCGGCCAGAAGAGTGACCATTCTTGTGCTTCCTTCACAATGCGGCAGGTTTTCAAGTCAACAGAGCCTGAAAATGAAGGAACACCATCATCATCAAATGTAATTTCGAAACCCAGGAATTGGGCAGGACCAAGCTGTTCTGCTGTGGTAAATACTCTTGAAGATGAAACCCAAATTACCGATCAACATGCTGCTACCCATGTGCAGGGGATTCCAACTCCAGAAATTTATGAATCACCAAAATTAACCTCAATCCCTATAGGGAAGAAGGAAAATGCGCAAATCCAGCTTTTGGATATTAATTTCCCTCCAAGGGTTGCCAAAGGTACAGTCTTGCCACAGCATGCCAAGAGACTGGTTCCATACTCAGATGAGAATTGTGTCAAGGAATTTCCCTTACTGCCCCAGTCGAGAGAAGAAGAAGAATTCAGCGACAGAGTACAAACTGGTCCCATGGCAGATGTTGAGATTGCCTCATCAGGTTCTGTAAATGGAGCCCGGAGCGAGGTCCAGTCAAGTTCGTCGCTGATTGAGGTTTCAGAGGCACATAATGGGTATGTCAGTGAGGGAGAGACTACTATGTACTCAGCAGAAACTGCTGAAAGTCGTAATTATCCAAGCCCAAGGGAGAAAAGGTTTCAGCAAGTAGGTAGGAGTCAGAGCTGTGTAAATTATAACAGATGGGGGCCTGTTCAAAGGAACGCCACGGCATCCACAGCATTGCTGGAAAAGAAGAGCTTCGCCCAAGGAAGGAAAATCTATTCACAAGGGGCAACTTCTCAGAGGAGTAACGACTACTTCAGCCCAACTGTTTCTTCAATCATGAAGAAGCGGAACAACTCAGAGCAGCAGCAGCCGATCAGGCCCCGCCAAACTGCAGTTCACTCATCTCCAAGATGGATGTTCTAACTTCTAACAAGTGTGATGCAACTGGTCTCTTTTTTGGTTGAATGCACATCCATTTAATCTCCATGTGCCTATACTGTAATTTTGTCGTGACTAAATGTGCAGAACAATTAAAAATTAATAAGAAAATTCAGCAAGAATGTTGTTTTCACTCGAAACTTTTTTGTCATTGGAGCTCCTTCAACCTGTATTATTCCTTGGTGTGGCAACCACTGGTTTTTTCGTAAATAACCAATCATCTCAGCGTGCTAGGTGAGCTATATCTGATCTGCATGCTCGTTGTTTTGCTAATTTCATTTGACACATGTATGATGTGTGGATATATGAATATATTCATGTTAATAATAGCGACCTTGTGTGTGTTGATACTTGATACATCGGGGACTAAATAATAATCTGAATAAAATTGAAACATTTATTTACCGGACCATGTAAATATTTATCGGAGGTGAAAGTCTCCGTTCAAATGTATTTACCTGAAGAAAAGTTTCCATTGGCCTTTTTGTTTTGCTGTGTCAACTTAGTATGGAAAAAGATAGAAAAAGGTTGCTGAAGGAAACAAATATATATATAATATACACACACATAGTATAGACAGTCTCATCATCGCTCATTTTTTGAAGAAAAGTATTTTTTATTAATTTTTTTTATTATTATTATTTTCCCGATATATATCTCAAAAAGAGAAGTTAGCTGCCAAGAACAATAGCGTGTGGGTTTGTTCTTTGGCCATGTTGGATTGTTGGAGTTACGATTTTCAAATTAATTAGCCATTAATTTACTAAAACTCTAACTAATGTCTTAATGATATTTTAGTAAACTATTGTAGACAATAAAATTTAAAGGACTTTTGTTTGGACAAATTGACCTATCAAATATGGGTTTAATGTTTAATTAAGTTATTTAATTGGCCCAAATTTGGTCCACTTAAATTATTTAATTAGCCCAGCTCAAATGATTAAATGGAAAGATCATTATTTCTAATAAAATATATTTAGAATAATTATTTTTAAGGATAATTATCATAATATAACCAGCCCGGCCCAGTTATGATTTTTTTCCTTATCAGGAGAGGACATGGGTGCACAAATTCAGAGTTCAGAAATTCAGAGACTCAGAAATCCAGAAGGTCCAGAAATTGAGAGAATCACAAATCCAGAGGGCAAACCTAAAGGAGAAAAATACCAAGCACATCCAAAGTTGTATCATTCTTCACCAAATTCAACAAATTCTCTCCTCTCTGAAGACGAAGAACAACAAGCACATCCAAAGACATGCCGTTTTTCCTCAAATTCAACAAAAGACACAAATTCAAAATTCAGAAGTTCAGAAATTCAGAAACAAATTCAGAATTCAGAAGTTTATAAATTCAAACACAAATTCAGAATTTAGAAATCCAGAATTCCAGAGAGAAATACAGAAACTCTGCCTCAACATCCAAACCCAAAGATGAAGAACACCAAACACATCAAATCGTGCCGTTCTTCATCAAATTCCACGGTGATCAACAACAAGCACATCAAATCGTGCCATTCTTCATCAAATTCTACGGTGATTAACAACAAGCACATCAAATTGTGTCGTTCTTCATCCAAATTCCAAATGATTCAAGCTCAAGCTCGTGCAGCCCTTGGATCCAACCAACCAAAAAAAGGAGATCGAATCAGAGGACCGTCTTCTTTGTAAAGAATATTATTACAGAGGATTGTACTCAAATTTTCTAAATTAATAAAATATTCTATTTGCTCCCAATTTTGTTTCTATTTGCAAACTTACAAAATTTGTGTGTATAAATTGGGATTAAATAGAATATTTTATTAATTTGGAAAATTTGAGTACAATCCTATGTAATAATATTATTTACAAAGAAGATAGTCCTCTGATTCGATCTCATTTTTTTGGTTGGTTGGATCCAAGGGCTGCACGAGCTTGAGCTTGAATCACTTGGAATTTGGATGAAGAACGGCACGATTTGATGTGCTTGGTGTTCTTCGTCTTTGGGTTTGGATGTTGGGGCAAAGTTTCTGTATTTCTCTCTAAAATTCTGGATTTCTGAATTCTGAATTTATGGACTTCTGAATTCTGAATTTGTGTCTGAATTTCTGAATTTCTGAACTTCTGAATTCTGAATTTGTGTCCTTTGTTGAATTTGAGGAAGAACAGCACGTCTTTTGATGTGTTTGTTATTCTTCGTCTTCAGAGAAGAGAGAATTTGTTGAATTTGGTGACGAATGGCACGACTTTTGATGTATTTGGTATTCTTCGCCTTCAGGTTTGCTCTCTGAATTTCTAGTCCTCTGGATTTCTAATTCTCTCAATTTCTGAACCTTCTGGATTTCTGAGTCTCTAGATTTATGGACTCTGAATTTATATACCCTTTCCTCCTTCATTCAGACCTCTATTTATAGGTTTCTTGGATTAATAGGATGATGACACGTGTCCTCTCCCGATAAGAAAAAAATCATAACTGGGCCGGTCGGTTATATTAGGATAATTATCCTTAAAAATAATTATTCCAAATATATTTTATTAGGAATAATGATCTTTCCATTTAATCATTTGGACTAGGCTAATTAAATAATTTAAGTGGACCAAATTTGGGCCAATTAAATAACTTAATTAAACATTAGACCCATATTTGATAAGTCAATTTGTCCAAACAAAAGTCCTTAAAATTTTACTGTCTACAACTATAAATAAAGTTTTATATACATGATATATTAACTTACCTTAACTTTTAACTTATGTGTTATTTAAGAGAAAAATTAAATATAACTTCATTAATACTAATTTATTATATCCCAACTTATGCTAATATAAATTTACATAGCCTAAGGACATATTCTCAATACAAGTAAGAGAAAAAAAGAGATTTGAAAAAATGTTTTCAAACTATTGAGTTTGAGTGTGTGAGTTTTATATTTTCAGTTGTTTATGAAGAGAAGTGCAACCTTCGTAAACATATAAATTTGATATTTGGGCTTAGTTGAATCTCGGAGATAGTGTTGTCATTTGGCTTCTAATGCAGGTGAGAGAGACTTCAACTATATTCAAAAAGCGATTACGCACCTCTAAACTCCGATACTTACTATTTTATTATATCGGTTCAATAATAGTAAGCCTTTTCTAACAAGTTCCGTCCGGTCTTCCTTATTGGTTATTACCTTGGAAACGTCAGATACCATATGACAGCTTGCAGTGTCTGTGATATGTTCTTGGCTTGTGGATTTGTAATACCATTAAGATTTTGTTACGTCGACGGATCTAGAATAAGACAATGGAAAAAGCTGGAGATGGAGCAATCAACGGGTAATATTCATGGATTGGCATTGTTTGCATTGGTAACAATTAATAGCAATTAATAGTTTTGAGCTGGGCTTGACCATGATGCATCTGGGGTTCAAAGTGAGCTATGTATATATATATTTTTTTCAGTTGGGACTCACACACACTGTTTTTATTGGAGTTCGAACTCCTGACCTCCCTTTAAAAAGTAAGAGTCTTGTAGTGCTATGCCACATGCCTGTTGTACAGAGTGAGCTATATTTGACTTGCATGGTGATACAATCTATGTGTGGGTGTATAAATATATTCATGTTAATTTAGTGACCTTTTGTATGTATATCCAATATATATATATGTGTGTGTGTGTGTGTTGAGGTAAAAGTTTCCATACGAGTGGCCTCTTTGTTTTTCCTCAAGTTGGTAGGGAAAAGATGGAAAAGCAATGCAGAAAGAATCCAAAAAAAAATAATAATATTAATAATATTAGTCCAAATGGTATAATTCTGATTCCTATTATGTACTGTGATTTATCTAAAATTTATAAAGAACAAAAAGATATTTCATGTCTAGATCCAAATGAATATGAAAAGACAGTAGCAAACAAGTGTAATGGGGCTCATCGCATTCCATTTAACCAATTTATACACCGGCTTCATGTGAGTGGTTCGGACAGCCTAGGTGGGTGGGGGAACAGAAGGTTGTGAAAACTGATGGAACGCCTAAATTCCATTAATTGGCGGTGTTGATATAGCGGCTTGTACTGCCAGCATGGGTAGGTAGGAGGAAGAAATTATGGTGGAGGAAATTAACGAGAGAGAAGAATAATGGAATGGTAGTATGTCATGCAAGTATTGCTTAGTTTGTAATTATGAAAATAATTTTTTATTATCAAAAAAGTAAAAATAAAAAATTATTCAAAAAATTAATTTAGTTCAATTTTCTGAAAATTAAGTTTTACAAATATCTATTTTCAGATAACGTTTTTTATAATTCTTTAAAAATTATTCTCTATTTTTTTAATTTTAAAAAATTATTTTCAAAATTACAAATTAAAACCTTTAATGAGAAATGATAGATAATATAAATCCATTTTCATTTACTCAAATTACTAATTTCATATTTTAAAAGATAGAACGTCGTATACAATAAAATATATATATATACACACACATATTAAAAACAAGAAAATTGCAGCTATTGCATTCAGCCACGTCACTATCACATCACTTCCACACAGATTAAAGGTGATTTCTATTTTGACAACTGATGTTGATGAAGACCAGAGAGAATGAAAGCATTTCCTTCCTAGTTCGTCAACTTCGTCCACTACTCTTTTACTTTTATGTCTGCCATTCAATCCCATATTCATTCAATGCCACCAGATGTATTAGCCTAAATCCTAAACTTTAAGGTAGCAAAATCACCACTAATATTTGTTATACTCCCTCCTCTGTCAAAAGAAAAAAGTGATCGGATTAAAGTAGTGTATGAATCGTACAAATGAAAGGTAAAAAAACTCACTAACACACGTCCCCTTTGCTAAGGCTGGAAGGAAAGTTGAATTTGATACCGTCGGTTCACTAATTCGTTAATTATTCTGATAAAATTAAAATTCAAAATAAATTAACAAGACACATCATAAAATTTCTTTTTAAATGTTTTTCTCTCACACACACAAATAATAAGAGATATGTGGTAAGAAATTTTAAACATAATTATTTACCTTAATATACTATAAATTAAAGTTTTGACAAGGACTCTCAACTAATTTTGAGGCAATGAATGGAAATTAATTGGTCCACTAGCACCACAAATATCTTCTTTTTTTTTTCAAAAAAAATAATAATAATAATAATGGGAAAAGGAGAACAAGAAAAGTCGGTAATTAAAGTTGTTCATTGCCACGTTAACAGAGGTCAGACTCCACTTGGATTCGTAGTCCGGACGTGTTACGTGATGGTCTTCCCCACGCAATATAGTCAACATCTAAAACTAACTAGAAATGGCAAGATCGCAAATACTGTGCAAAAGAGGTGGCAACTTCGTTGTTGTTCACACCCTCGGTCCCATCGACTCAGAAAGTGTTCGTTGATAGAAGGGGGGGCTTTCTTTACAAACACAGATTTCTCTTCTCTGTGTGGTTGTAGAGAGAGAGAGTAGAGAGAGAAACAGAGAAGAAGAAGGAGAAGATGTTGAGGGGACCTTCACCTTGTAATGCGGCGAGAGATCACATTCGAGCCCTAAACCACTCCCGCTTTGTTGGCACTTGTAACCCCCTCTCAATTCGCCGACCAAAGGTCGTCGTGTCCTGCCGTTCCTCCTCTTCTTCTTCTTCTTCTTCTCACAGCAGAGCTCCGATTCTCGCCGTCGGGACCGAACGGCCGATCGTTCTGGAGAAGAGCCTGGCGGACCGGCTCCGGTTGGGGAGCTTGACGGAGGACGGCCTTTCTTATAAGGAGAGGTTCATAGTGAGGTGTTATGAGGTTGGGATTAACAAAACTGCCACTGTTGAAACCATTGCCAATCTTTTGCAGGTAATCTCTCCTTTGGCATTTCTGTCTCTCTCTTTCTAGCAATTGCAAGTGTTTGAACTTCAATTTTTCTTTTTTTAATTATAAAATGTTCGCCAGATTTATTGGCGTTCTTTTTCTCAATCGCATTGCATGTGTTAATTTGAATTATGTGGTATGTGTTCTTAATAAAGATATTTTTCTTCGGCAAATTGTTGTTTTTTAGCAAATTCTCATCCTTTAGGTCATGTGGTTTTGCTGTTTGTTGGCTTAACAAACCTTTTTTGTTTCTTTTGGTATTGTTGATTCACTTTGAAATTTTGTTTGTTTTCTATTACTCTGTCAGATGCGGTTTTGTTGTTTACTGGAGGTTATTTGTCTCATTCTGATAATTTCTTGGTTTCTTGCATGTTTATAATGACAAATTCTGCTGCAATCGCTATCGATTGTAAATTTAGAGTTTTCTTCAGTGTGCTACTGTTGATTTTGGGCAAATCGTTTATTGGATCTTTTGCACCATTCATGCCCCTTTTTCATTTTTTTTGCTTCAGTCATTAACTTTTGTGGGAAATTCAAAATGTAGGAGGTAGGATGCAACCATGCTCAGAGTGTTGGATTTTCAACAGATGGTTTTGCAACAACTCACACGATGAGAAAACTGCATCTCATATGGGTGACTGCTCGCATGCACATCGAAATCTACAAATATCCAGCTTGGTGAAATTTTTGATTCCTGATATGACATTGATAATAAAAAATTTTGGGTTTGAAATTCTTATTTACCTTTCATACATTGATATTCGGACAGGAGTGATGTGGTTGAAATAGAGACATGGTGCCAAGGTGAAGGAAGGATTGGGACCAGACGTGATTGGATTCTCAAAGATTATGCCACTGGTGAGGTCATTGGGAGGGCTACAAGGTGTGTTTTATCTATTCTTGTGTTCTGTTCCTCACAGTTAAACTCGAAGAAGAAGAAGATTTTGCAGACTTAGAACTGATTTTAATATATATTGTGTCTTGTAGACGTCCATATGTATCAAAATTGAACCAGATTTCATATGTGGTATGAGTGGCATTTAATAATTAGGGGTGTACAAAGATCGGATTGGTTTGGTTTACCTATAGAACCATAACCAGAACCACTCTGCCCAAACGGTTCCATAAAAAATGAACCGAACCAAACCGAACCGATGTGAGCATCAAAACCGAACCAATCCGATGTGTCAAAACCAAACCAATCCGAACTATATAATACCGGGTTGGATAGGATTGGTGGGACGGGGGCTTCTCAGAAATTAGCCCAATCAAAGAATAGATTACATGTTCAATTTCCATTGTTTGCCAATTTAAACTTCAAATTTTTTCCCCTAACCAAAAGAATTAATACCACACTTGGTATTAACAATTTGTCAACAGCAAGTATATAATTATTGTCAAATTGTCAACAAGTATATGATTATTGTCCCCAAGTAATTGATTATCACAGCAAATTAGCATGTTCATGATAATAAATGACCTGAACTTCATTGACAGGACTTAGTTTACCCAAGACAACTTTCTGCCAATGTTTGCAAAGCTGTATATCACTTCAGAAAAGCCCTGGGAACATACTCCAACGGCTACACGCCACACTGAACTCTCCTTAAGAATGATGTTAAAAAATCTGCGCAAATTCATTGCCAAATGGTCTTCCTATTGAGGCTTGGACGTATATAAAGGACGATACCATGAAGGGATTTTTGGTTATGTAGGCTTTGTTATGTTAAGATAATAGGAAGAGAAAAGGTAATATGGGTTCTGAAAGCAAGGAAAAGACTTGATAATATGTGGTTTAATAGGAGTTGTGGTACTTAACATAGTCCGAACTACGAGTATATTATTGAAGTGGGGATATTTAGTTATGCAGCACAAAGACAACTGGCTTACATTATTGAGGAAGAGTCACAGACATTGAGAATCATCTTAGAAAAATAGGAAGACTGAAAAAAGACGGGTTCAAATAGTAAGAAAAGTTATGATTGTATGGGGTTTGATAAAACCCTCAACAAATTCGATGGTGATTGAGAATTCCAGACTAGGTGATCACGTAGGCCTGAGGAAGGATGTGTTTCTAGAAACATGAAGTCAGAAAACATTTACTTATTAAAAAAAAATGAAGAAGCCATTTTCGGATAGGGGTTAATTGACTTGGCAAGGAAATGCTCAAGTTTATTCTTTCTTTTAATCGTTTGAAAAAAAAAAAGTTGAAAGGGGCTGTGAGAGAGTGGATCTAGTTTTTGTAAAAAAAGATGTTGGAATTAAGCATTCAACGAGGGAACTGATTTTGAAAGAAATTGAAACTCAGCAACCAGTTCTACATAGCAGCGGCAAGATTTAATAAACTGGGAACGCATTACTCTTTCGCTTTGTTGAACTAGCCATCGAGGATGATTATATTGCCAAAGAAACATTTGGGACCTGTTTTCATGAATCTGATTTTGGGTCTTCTTCTTAAGAACAATTTTCAGAAAAATGTCAATAAACAAACTTTTGAACTTTTTTTGCTTTTCAAGTTGTCTGAGAACATAAAACTATTGTAAAAAAAAACTGAACTTCCAGGTTGATTTTTCTATGGCATCTTTAAAGCTTAAAATTTGAAAAGACTTATGTGCCCCCTTGAAATCAAAAGAATTTATTCAAAAAGTAGCTTCCATTTCTCACTAATCCTTCCTTGCTGGTGGACTTAAGAACGCCATCTTTACGCCATTGTGTGGGCACTGCAACTGTTATCTCTCTCACTCCCCTCTTCCAATAACTTCGTTAGTAACATCTCAACTCCTCCATAGGCACCTTTACTTTCTATATTCATTCTACAAATACACCAATAGCATCACCTCAGTAAAGTATGACTTCTCATGTATATAGTGATTTGATGATCCAGGATGAGCATGATATGAACAGTGTGTGCAATACTCTTTATCAGTTAGGTGGTGTACAATGGCAATGATGGAGGAATTGGTAGGTCATCAGTGAGTGGAATAATGGTGATGGTTGTTGTCTTCCCCTCATCCTCATCCTGATCAGGCAATATTCATAATGGTGTTATGTAAAGGATAGGAAATAGAGAATGATATAGACATTCGCTGGTGATGTCACTATTGCTGGAATAGTTGTTGGCAGTGGTGACAAGTCAACAGCGGCATGGAGTTGAGGATGAGAGGAAGATTGTGGAAATGGGAGGGGAAAAGATTTTTTTCGGGCTCTGTTTTCTGCAAGGGGCATTTTGTCTTCTTAAACCATAGAGTTTAAGAAGTTGTAGAAGCATCATTTTTTTTTTTTTTTGGGGTGGGGTATACTTTCAACTGCGGTTAAATGCAATTATTTATAAAGACTAGACAATATAAGTGTACAATATAAGTGCTATTCAGTTACTTTCTTCTAAAAAATCTGGAGGAAATCCATATAACTGTACAATATAAGTTTGTGAATTGTGGTGGTTTTCTATGTTTCTCCTACAAAGCCTTCCACCCCCACCCCCTCCTTCTCCCTTTATCATACTTATTTGATTTGAACATAGTCCTTTCCAAATTTCAATACAATGATTTGAAATTCCTTCCTTGTGTCAATAACCATCTTGAAGCAATCTATGTTGGCTGCAGCTTCTTTCCTATGTTTCAGATTAACTGCACATATTTTACTTTACATCTAATTTTCTTTTTTCCTTAGTTTATCTGTGTATACAAATTAAACCATTTATAATTTTTAATCGCAGCAAGTGGGTGATGATGAATGAAGATACTAGACGACTTCAGAGAGTCAATGATGATGTCCGAGATGAATATTTAATATTCTGTCCAATAGAACCCAGGTAAGCTGTTTTTCCCTGTAGCCCTCACTATCTAGTTCATTATTCTTTGGATGCCTTTGTATATGTTTGAAGTGTCAAGCATAAGTGAAACTGAGTTGGTTATGATTAAATTCTACGAGATAATAAAATTATAGTCATTCTTAGCCCCTCCCTTGACCTACTTATTCAAGGCCTTGTGCTCGCCACTTCAATATTTAGGGGATTGAATATGGACAGCATAAAGTAGCATAAAATTATTGAGAATACCTTGATGATGTACTCCATGTTGAGGTTTAGGAAAAATTAAGCTACTTACTGATCATTTTAGCCATGGATAGATTCACGGTCTTTTCTAGGCATGGCAAGATTTAGATTCACAATCTTTACAGGGTATAGCAAGCTTGTAGCTGTACATCTTCAACTTCAAATGAAACATTAAACTCCAATTATGTGTGTTCTTCTGGTTAATAAGAACTGAAATGTTGCATAACATAAAAGAATCAACTCAAAAGTCCCCCTCCCCTGGTGAATAGAATCTCAAACATTGAAATTGTAGGATAGTGGTTTTAAATACGAGGCAAGACCAAATGAACCTAGTAAATGATTAGTTGTTATCAAATGGATTACTTAACTGTGAAAATAAAAATTTGTCTAGATAATAATCTAAATTTCTCTGTAATATATGTTTGTAGATGATATATTGAAAAAACAATTGTGCTGCACTGGTGAATTGTAATGAAATGTAAACAAACATTACACATATACAGACAGTTAAGGTACTCCATGTTATCGATACTTCTATTTGGCTTCTAGTCGGAGTCTCGCCTTGTGGGATTATCTTGGAATTTGGGGAGTGTGTACAGAAATTTTCAAACTGATGGGAACTCAATCTAGTGTCTATTGCCTACAATAAACCTGATTATTTAAGCTCTTTAGCTCATCTCAATATACAGAAAGTCCTTCACTCATCTAGGTATATGGTGGAAATGGTTTTCTGGTTAAGAATCACTGGCTATGTTTTCTGTTCCGGTTCGTTGCTATTCCAATCTTGTACAGTAATTTTCAAACTGATGGGAACTCAATCGAGTGTTTACCTGCCTACAATAAACCTGATTATTTAAGCTGCTTAGCTCATCTCAATATACAGAAAGTCCTTCGCTCATCTAGGTATATGGTGGAAATGGTTTGTGGTTAAGAATCACTGGCTGTGTTTTCTGTTCCGGTTCGTTGCTATTCCAATCTTGATAACTCTCCTTGCCATTTTATGCATTTAGAAGAAGTTTAAAATCTTCTAATAACACTGACCTTGTACTTCTAAAGTTGTAGTAATGTTATTATCGTTATTCCCATGGGCTTGGTTAGGTGCCAGTAGCTCTTAGAGAGGATTTCCCTTTTCAGATTTTATTGGTCAGTCCATAGAATAGGGGTTCCCTTTTTCAATTTGAAAATATTTCTAATTGTTCAATGAAGCAGCTATCCGTCATTACTACATATCAACTTTGGAAATATCTAAAATATAATATGTGATTGTACTTGAATATTATTTTTAGAATTTTCAAATTGTAGAATTATTTCAGGCCCACTCAACTCAAGAAAGACCTCTGTCCCAACTACTTGGAACTAACTGCATAATTTCCTTGCCCCAGCTTGACCAAGAGTGTTTCTTCCTACTGATCAAATTGTTCTTCTTCATGGCACACATCTGAATTTTCTTGGATGACACGTCATTTTTCCTCGGTGCTACCTCATTCTTCTTGCTGCATGCCTCCATATAATACTACTCTGTAATGCTATATTTCCCAAAAATCCCATTCCATTTCATTATCTTTAACAATGTTACAGAATCTTCTTTTATTTTTCCCCAACAACAATGCAATACATGATATCTTCTTTAAGGGGCAGACAATTTAGAATTGGAATTTTTATGCCTGATGAAGTTCTTGTGACTGAATTTTTCTTCAGTATGAAACACAATGCTAGATGGGATTCCTCAAGGTTTGTAATGATGGTAAATAAACCTAGTTTATAGGGTATACACTTTACAGGTTACAGGATCCACTAAAAAATCACTTGAAATTGTAAAATATGGAAAGTGGATTATCGCCAACTTCCTACTGTCAGAAGTCCAAACTATCTAATTATTCATGTTCTCTCTGAAACAATGATTTGGATGAATATAGCTTTGTGTATTTGATCGGTTTTGTTTTTGCTTCTAGATTAGCATTTCCTGAGGCGAACAATAGCAGTGTGAGGAAGATATCAAAGCTGGAGGATCCAGCTCAGTATTCCAGGCTGGGACTGGTGGTACGATCATTTGGTTTTATCTATATTCCACGGTTTCCACCCAAGTTCTTTAAATTCTCAGCACGCTTTTAAATTTACAGCCAAGAAGAGCTGATCTGGACATGAACCAGCACGTCAACAACGTCACGTACATTGGATGGGTTCTGGAGGTTGGTAGAAATGCACTTCCCCTTCATTTTAGTATGTGTTGATCTCATTGTTTTAATACAGAATCTCCCTTTCCTGATTAAATATAATTTGACACTTTTAGAAAGGGGTTAAGCACTATAAAGTATAAACACGTCATCAACCATCATCCAGAATTATCAAATTAGGAAATGATCATTTCATGGTCAAAGATTAGGAGATCACGTAAACCTAAATATTGGTCATCTTTCTCCAGAGTGTCTAATGTCTGCATTTTTGCAGACAAAAGATAAAAAATTGCTCACACAGCCACGTAAGTTCATGGATGGAAGCTGGTTCTTCTGTCAAGGACTAAAATTTTCCCTTTCGGGGGCATGAAAACTGGAAAGCATGTTTAACACTTTCTTAGGTTTATTAAAAACTGACTTGAATTTTTTTATTTTTTGGTTGGACCCACTATGGAGCTCGAACCCCTCACCTCCCCTTTGGGGGAGGAGTGGTTAACCATTTGGCTAATGGCCTATTGGCAAACGAACTGTCTTGATTGTTACTTCAGGAGAAGGAACGTTTTCGGGTTTATAACGTCCTGCTATTCATTAAAGGAATAAAAACCCAAAAATGAGAAATCATATATTATCTAGTGTCTATCAAGCCTTCTCCCGTTGGGTGATATAGACATGACATTTGGTATAATTTGGCGCAAAGTAATCTGAAGACTCAAAAAACCATGAATGGAATAACTGTAGGGTACTCTCTTTCTCTCTCAAACTGTGACAGCAGGTTGCATCATATGGAGGAAATAGACTAGGGTTGGAATATACCACCCTAGTTTACTGCTCATAAATATCCGATTGTGGCTCTTAGTTTCAGTTTTCCATCTAACAGTAATGAATTCTCTCTTGACAGAGTATGCCTCAAGAAATCATCGACACCCATGAACTACAAACTATCACCTTAGATTACAGGCGTGAATGCCAACATGATGATGTAGTTGACTCCCTTACAAATCCAGAACTAGATGCTGCAGTTTTACAGCTTCAAGGAACTAATGGATCTCCCCGTGCAACTAAAGACAAACAAGACTGCTGTGAGTTCTTGCACTTGTTGAGATTGTCTCATGATGGTCAAGAAATAAACAGGGGTCGCACCGAGTGGAGAAAGAAACCACAAAGATGAGCAATTTATTCCGTCTGCTGTACCTTCCTCTTGGTTTCACCAGGCTTTACAATGAGTTTTGAGTTACCTTTTTTCGCTTTTGCCTATTCTAGTGGTCTTTTATGCCCTTTTATCTTTTTTTGATGCTTTTGTCCTTTTTTAATGTGCTTCCTTATAAAGGGCTTTTGCTTCGGGTTTTATGCGGAAGTTAGGACAGATTTTTCGATTTTGTCTTCTATTTTGTCTGTAGATTGATCAACAGATTTTATATAAATTAATAAACTGAGCAAAGATGAAGTGTATCTAGGTACGAGTCATTCACTGCAAACTCAGTTGATCCAACTTCATCTCACCATGTCAGTTCGATACTGGAGATCTGAATTTCTAGCTCCGCTTGTGTTAATCAAAACTGACTATGAACATAAACGGAAGCACCCTATAGTATGATGATCTAATCTCATAAACCAAAGTTTTCCATTTTGGTTTTCCATTTTGGCCTTGGGGAGTTTGGTGATTCTCTCTCCAATGAAAAATTGTTATGTTTGATGGCCTTGAATTGGACTCTAGATTTGTAGATTTGAGATTGTAAATTTTTACTAAATTTCTTTCAGTCTCAAATCAATGTGAATGAATTTAAAAATTAAAAACTATTTTCCTAACAAATTCTAAGGAGTGAATAAGAATTTATGCTGAAAGAGATTCATATTGAACAATGATTGTAATAAAACATTTCTCCTAATCTAATCTCACTTTGCAACTTCAAAACCTGTGATTTTGAACATCCTCAATACGCTGGCATTATAGGAGCTGCAAGAGACAATTATGCACATCCAACACTATCAGCATAAGTTCGTACACCAAAACAACCTCAGATGTAAAATACAAATGAACTCCTCCAATATTTTTGGTTGTTACATCAACCAACAGGTTCAAACTCGACCGGTCGCCAAACTTCAGCTGCATCAGAATTGTCAAAAGCATATAGGGTTTCACTAACTGGTTACCATTTGGCACCTACAAAATCCAACTGTTCACAATCTCAAAGGATTCGAGTCAGTTCACCATAATTGAACCCTTAGATTAACCCATCAAGATGATCTCCCTGTAAAGCCCCAATTTACAAAATTCTAACTCTTCACAGCTGAATTCAACAACTAGAATACCATGGACATCAAAAAGCGGGAGAGGGCAACCTTTTTTGAGCCACGCAATCATTCGACTAGGACAAGTAAATAATAAAATTAGAATTTTACGCCAACAATAAAAAATGTTTATTCCTAGACCAGGAGTCCAAGACAAAATACTGCCTACAGGTACAAACTTTTAAAAGATAACTAAATCTTTCACTGAAGAACAATGTAAAAAATATTGCCAATAGGAACTCTCTCTCTCTCTCTCTCTCTCTCTCTAAAAAGGGAAAAAGAGGTAAATGAACACATAATCACTCCTTGGTTCCAAAGTTGAAGATAGAGTTCAGCAACCATTGTTTAGTTCTCACAAAAGGGCAAAGCAGTCTCTGTAAATATTAGCTTCTTGCATCCACAAAAGAGCCAAATCCTGTTAATTAAAATATTTTATTAGACATATTGATACAAATTATATATACAAAACGGAAATCGCTTTTCTTTATATTCACAGAGCAATGGAACATTTAATAATTTGACACAAAAGGTCACAAAACTGCATTAAATTAACTCCCAGCTATGCACATGTTAAGATCAAAATTCTCAAGATTCACCAGGAAGAATATAAATCATGTAGTGTTTGGCCAAAAATGGTGCATCAAGAATCCCAGACAAAACATGGAAATAATCAGCAAGTTGAAAACGTTATAAAAGTAAAAAGGACAACAAAAACCAACATGTTCTGTTTTGATTAAATCTAAATGGTACCACGGTAATCCTTTTTTCCCCTCCCAAATGCTTCGTTTGGTTGGAGGGATGGAAAAATGGATGGAAGAGATAGGAGGAGGGATGGATGAGATATCCCTAGGGAAGGGAGGGTGTCTTTCCCATTTTATGTTTGGTTAAATGGAATGGATAGTATAAATGATGAATGGAGTGATACTTTTTTCTTGTTTGGTTGGAAGGAAGGGAAGGAGAGTTCTTCTATTATTTTTACCAATATACCATTTTATATAAAATTATAAAAGGTAGATATTTATTTAAAATTTTTTGAAAAGGTTAAAAATGTAAATTACCAATTCATAGGTAGTTATGCCTTCTTTCTCTCCTCCCTTCCCCCCAAAAGTGGGCGGATAGAAAAACATAAAGGAAGGAGGGATGAAGCATCCCTCCTTGTTTCCTCCCTCTCTTCCCGTCCCTCCAACCAAACACGAAAATATTTATCCATCCCTCCTCTCATCCATCCCCCCTCAATCCTTCCCTCCAACCAAACATAGCATAAGTTTCCGTACAATAATCATTAACATCCAAAATCTGACCATGTAGAAACTTGTTTTTGTTATGATTTTGATTACATATGTTGCAGTCGGTAGTCTCAGAAATAAAACAAGCTTCGAAATAATTACTTTTTCTCCATCTAATCGATGCGATGAACATATAGGCAATCTTACAATCACTTTTAGGGTCATTCATTTAATTTCATGCAAATAAATAAATAAAATAAAATAAAATAAAATAATTAGTAAAAAATAAAATAAAAATCCACCAAACTGCATACTAAAATTCTTAGAACCAACTTAGAGAACTTTTACCTGAATTTAATAATATGGCCAACACATCAACCAGTCAGTAGATGAATATTAAACTAATTTGTGTTAGTTTTGTATGGATATTGCATTTCATTTCATTATTTTCACAAATTATTCAGTCAGTATATAATTGTACACCTTTACAATTTAAAATTAACAATAGCACATAATACTTTCATTTCGACTTAGCTTGATTAGAAGATACTATGGGAACAAAAGAGCAAAACTACATAATAACGCACCTTGCATTCAGCTGGTTGCAGGAAGATAGACCCTAATGGTATCTTTCATGGTGACTTTTTTCCTACAGGTGGGGCATTTACTCTGAGCAGAAATTGCAGCTTTGATACACGCCTTACAGAAAATGTGACCACATTTTGTTGACATCTCCTCAACTAATGGGCCCATGCAAATTGGACAACTAAAGGTGGGTTCCTTGGGCGGAGGTGGCCGTGACTGCGGGGGCGGAACCATACTACAAACATTCTCTCTCTGTCATTGAATATAAACAACAAATCTTACTGAGCAGAGTAAACAACATACAAATGCCCATGCATGGTTATAAATGCACATGAAGCAGGTCCCACCAGCACATTTCACTTTTACTAATCATATCCACAGATTCTTTTTCTGTTAATTTTTATGCAAATGGTGACTCCAATTAACAACATTTATTCAAAAAAGGAAGAGTCCAAAGTAAATAGAACATCTTAAATTTTGTGATACAGAGCACAAGTATACCACAGCACAAGCATCAAGTATCACAATGAACAGACGTGCTATGGGTGCATTGTGTCTACATTGTCTGTTGCAACACACAGGTATAAAGGAGTATTTAAGTGCCAAACAGTCCAGTCCCCACGGTGTGTGTTTAAGTGCCAAACAGTCCAGCTCCCGGGTGTGTTTAAGTGCCAAATGGTCTAGTCCCCAAGGTGTATATTTGAAGTGCCAAACAGTCCAGTTCCCAAGGTGTATGTTTAAGTGCCAATCGGTCCATACCCTAGGGGAACTGAAGTGTATATGAAATCCGGTATTTACTGGATTGTTGCTTCGGAGTTCAAACTATACATGCAACAAAGCTAAGGTGAGAAAGGAATTTATAGTGCGATTAAAATATGACGACCTCCTAAATAAACACGTCAATCCATATATGACAGCACAGTGAAGTTTTAACTCCTCCAGAACTGTCCATGCAACATGCCTCAACTGACATATAGAACTTAAGGCAGGAAAAAAAAGCATATAAAGAAAGGAAATTGATTATTACCATAGAGTTGCTACTGCCTTCCAAGTTTATGTAAAGGTCACAATTTATAATAGTTTGGTTTGAAGAAACTCTTCTGCGCTTGTTATGACTATTAGGAGGGAACCTCGATGACCGTTCTTCTGCATTGATTATGAATCGATTCAGTATTAAAACACAGAGAGAGAGAGAGAGAGAGAGAGAGAGAGAGAAAGAGAGAGAGAGATAACATAAGTTACACCAATTAATGGAGTATTAGGTAAATTAAATGTATGGATATGACCAGTAGCCCGCTCTGTTGGAAGCATGACACAAGAAAAAGGAAGGTTAACAAATAACCAGTAAGGTCGCTCTTTGCTCCCCATGCTTCATCCGCATGGTCAAAAAAAGGAAAATATGTAAGACACCTATCTTTAGAATTGAGGAATAAATATAAAATGCCTATCACATTCGCTGTAAGGCAAAAATTAGTTCTATGGTACTCTCTTATGGACTGTTCCAAAATTTAGTTCTACGTAACTCTCTCATTGACTGTTCTATTTCTTTTCTCAGTATTTAATCAAGCAGCTGGCTTTTTATTTTAAAACCCAGACCTCAAAAAGATCATCCATCCAAAATAAAGAAAGAAAAGATAATAGGCGTGCAGTTCAAATCTGAAGTGAGTTCAGACAAATTTATACACATCAGTTTGAAATCCAAGAAAACAACTTTCATCCAACCACAACTAGTATGCAATGTGGACAACAAAAAAATAACCAGCAACATTACCGTATGCAACCAGAACATAATAGCTAAGCATTTTCAAAAACATAACTTTTGCAATAATAGCAAGAATAATTATATAATTCAAAGGCTTCAAGTTTTCAAACAAACTACAAAGTAAAATACAAAAGAAAAATCAACAAAAGAAAATACAAAAGAAAACCAAAAAGAAACACACAAAGTTACTTGCAGCTATCAATAAAAACACCAGCGGAAAACTTGAATTACCTGAATCTACATCAAGTACAACAGTCCTTCCACGATTCCTTCTGGAATTGTTTTTAGCCTGATCAAAAATTTAAAAAACAAATAACAAGAATGTAAGTAAACCTTTTTAACCAATTTAATTGTTTAACTTACCAAAACAAAAACAAAAAAAATAAAATAAAATAAAAAACAAGAATGTGAGTAAACCCATATAGATATAAGTGTGATGTCTATGACTACAATTTTGAAGAAAAAAAAAATATATTACTTCTGCAAAAGCCCTGGGGGACGATATAATAACATCATCATCAAACGCCTCTACGTCAATAGTTGCAGGTTGCGCAGATCCTCCTTGTTGGCCAGCTTGCACATCTTGAGAATTAGTATGAGTTGAAGTTCCTTCCTCATACCTGTTCTGCGCAGGTGGTGCATTAAGGTCCACATCTAGTATTGTTCTCTTACGCCGAGAGTTCCTCACATACCCTTTTAGAGGAGGACCCCTTAACCCTCTGGTGCTCATTCTTTTTAGTTATGGATTTCCTGTAAAGGTAACACAATCCTTAACAACTAAATCAAATACACACACATACGCACACTACTCTCTCATAATCCATAAATGCAAAATTCCATATTTTACCCTAAAATATCAAATTTTATCTTAGATTCATCTTGATGCTTAATTTACTTCAAGACAGATTCTTCCCTTGAAATCCCCAACCTTAAAACTTAAATTGCACAAAAGAATGAGATACTCCAACATATAATAATCTTTTAATTTTATCAGTCAGAAATGGTTTTTCTATAGAACTTCCTAATTTCAACAATAAAATGGTAAGGTAAATCTAAAAAATAATCAGATTATAGCATTAGTTTCTAATCAGATTATATATATATGATCATATTAAATTTTAATCAACTTCTTTTTCTACAATTATTACTTAAATCAAGCATCGCCAAATTTTATTGCATAAATTTCAATTACCATGAAAAAATTTAATTTTTGATCGCGAACAGTTCTAGAAAGGCACAAAATTTTAACTTTTCAACACAATCCGATAATCCATTTTGAAAATAAAAGAAAATCAGGTCACAAGTATGTGTCCGATTGATGAAGCATGCAATACAGAAGGAATATATATATATATATACACAAACACAGATAAAAGAAACTCTATGGAGTATAGACCAAAATCAAACAATCGATACAGCAATGAAAATGTAGAAGGGTCGACAAAGAACAAAGAACAAAGAAATCAATCAATTTCGAAAAAGAAAAAGAGAGATTAGGTCGAAGATCGTACCTAATATCCAAGATTTTGAAACCAATTTGTTCTGTAATATTATGGCGAGAGAGATGTAGATGGAGACAGAGATAGAGATGGAGATGGAGATGGAGATGGAGATGGAGACAGAGAGAGCACAAAGGTCTCAATGCTTCCCCGTCTAGGGCTTTTAAGCGTTAGAAAGAGGGGAATACTGTAACCAGACGTTCACTACTTTGGTTTTTCCTGAGCCGAGTCGGTTTGGTCCAAAATTGGAACACGTCTCTCAAGTCCACGCTGTTGGACCGACTGGTGCACTCAATCTGCGTCTTGAGGACCACCGATTCTAATCCCAACGGTCGATTTGGTGAGTGACCGTCCTAATTTGAATTTGAAGCCATTGATTTGACACTTCCTAACATAATTGCTTTTGTATTGCACTTTATTTTTTTTTCTGACAAGAAATTCACATTTGTGACATTCTCAACTTTCTATCATTATTTTGATTAAAAAATATGTTATTCTAAAGGAACAAATATCATGAACTTAGTAATATCAATAATGTTTTGGTCCTTGATATAATAGGTATTATATATTTTTAAAATATACCAACATTACACTTTTGAAATAATGAATTTTGATCATCTCCTTTAATTATTTCCAAGTTATCATTCAACGAGTATAAACATGTCATGCCATCATTTTATTATGATTTAGTTGTGTGCATAACTATAATATAGTAAATAATTACACTGTGACATGTTAAGTTGGACAATAGATTAGAAAAAAAAATAAAAATAAAAAATTAATGGAGAAAATTCATTTTCTAAATGTCATTCCCACATGTGTTTTCACTTCTCACATAGTCAAACATGTTCAAGTCACCATTATCCGTGTTTGAATGTTGAATTTATTTTATTATAAGTCAAATTAAACAGGCAAAAGTGTGTGCTTCAACTTCCCCGAGGCTCAAATGAGTATTACACCTTTTTTTTATAATTTTTCTTTGATTGAAATTGCATTATGAGATGTTTAGAAAATTATTATTATTTAAATGCCCAGAACCGGAATTGGAATAGAGACCCAAGTTTATATAGCCTTTTAGTCCCTGTTGCAGTTTAAGTTTTATTAATTTATGAACAAATTAGTGCTTACAAGCTTATTTGGTTTGGAGTTTATTTTTACTCTAAGCCTTTAGATAGTAGAGATTTTGGTCATTTTAAAACAATAATGTTATTTTATTTTTTAGAGTATCAATCAGCACTTCAGAATTGAAATTAGAGAAGAAAAAAAATAGTTGAATTTTTCACCGTGTCAATTGATTAGTGCTTTTTTCTTTTTTTTTTTCCCGGGAAAAAACTTGGATAGAAATAATTCGACCTTTATAAAATTTTCTCCTGGATATATACCCCTTGCAACAAAAAATTTAAGTGCTTGCTTTGGTAAAGCTGTAAAAAAAAAAAAAAAAAAAAAAAAAAAAAAAAAAAAAAAAAGTGTTTGAAAATACAAAATTAAACCACATTGTTATGCTACTCCTTCGCAACGCTAGAACAGTGAAATTGCGGAGCAGGATGTACATGAAAGAGAAGAAAGCCATGTGCTTAACAATTTGATACTTCTAAGATTGTATAGGATCCTCCAGTTGAGGAGAAAAATGTGCAGCAACTTAGTGCTATGACAAACGTAAAAGAATGTTGCATTTGGGAGCACCGATTCGATGCATTGAAATCATAATTGGAATCGGAGAACACTTAGTTCATTCAAAGTATGAAAGTAATATACACCAGTGGACAGCCAAGGAAAGAAGAATGACGAAGAGCAGCAGCAGAAATGTTTTACCCATCAAAACCTTATATTATTTATTGTCACAAAAAAAAGCACACGAACACAGAGAAAGAATGCATAATGTTTAAGAGGTTAGCTCTGCATAGACAGATAGATAGAGCCTTTAAAGCTATTTACAGGTCCCACAAACCTTTTACATAGCACAAAGTGAAAGTCTCTCATTTTCTACCCCATGGAAAGCAGCATATCTGAGGAAAGAAAGATGAGAGAAATAGAATCAGAAAAAAGCAAAACCGAAATGAGAAGAGCATAGGCAATTGAGTGTGCGTAAGGAAATTGATCAACATACCTTAGCATTATCATTCTGATTTTGCTTCCGAATGTTGTTGTAAGAATGCTCAGAATCCCTTCCCGGTGACTTTCCAGGCCCTGTGTGTCTTTCCTCTCGCACTCTGTTGAAAATGTGAGTGTAGTTATCCGCTGATGAAGGATTCTTCTCATCCCACTCACCGAATCTTGGAACTGCAGCACCTCTATCAGGCTGCCATTACATGCAAATCATTTCAGGGAAAGGGATCTTCATAAAATGCTTCACATAATAATTACCACAGTGATGCAAGTGCTTTGAATCATACTAGAGAAGTGTTCAAATAAATTGCTCCACATTTTCTTTCCTTTGATTAACTTTTATTGCAGGTTATTACATTATTTAGGAGGATTAAAACACGACAAGCATAGCAACCAATTAAAGCAACAAGTAGAGCTTGCTAAATCAAAACACAACCTCCTCATTAGGAAGTAACTTTTGTAGAATCAAGTGGAGCTACTAGAAGTCTACTGTATTATATATATATATATATGAATTGAAAGGATATTAGGAGAAAACTAACACTTTCATCTCCTTGTGTAACTGGTTTCAATCGGGACCTCCCAGGAGTACCATGGCTACCATCGTATGAGTTCCTTCCTTCCCTGGAGGGAGAACCACTACTTTTCCCAACAATCCTCGCCTGGTAATGTGGATGGAGTGGTGACCGCTCAATGCTGTGTTCAGATCCAGCACTTTGCCTTGCAGGTCGACCAGAACCCGCTCCACGGCCTCCATGACGTTGATGATCATTAGCAGTTTTGCGGGGTGTATTGCCATTACGCGCCAGAGAGTCAGTAGAATTCATAGCGTCAACATCTTCCCTGCTCACTCGACGCTCATGTGTTGGCCTAACTGCTACCTGTCCTATTGGTTCCTCCGGTGCAGTTCTGGTTCTCGAGGGAGGAGCTTGAGCTTGAGCTTGAGCTGGAGGTGCTACATCGGGAAACATATCTGGATTCTCTTGGGGGTCATTTGGATTTATCATCTTCCCACCTGTTCTACCCTTACCCTTTCGTGCCTTTTCAAAGTAGACCGTGTAAGGTACATTTTCTTCACTTTCCCAATTGCCAAACTTGGGTACATGTGCACGGTCCTACCACAAGATCAAGAGCATCATCATTCTTACAGATTCCTTTTTGATCATTAGTATCACATCCATTAAACACAAAAATATGTTTACATGGCCAATCCATTAGCAGCACAGCCATGAATTACATAGGCCACAATTGGGGTGATGAAACCCGGAAAAATGAGAAGTTCCAAATCACCAAACATGTTTGAATGAGTAGCTGTGGTAAAGGCCATTGGGCATCATGAAAACATAATTACATTTATTGGGCACAATTGCATAATGATATTGTACTATAAGGGTACTGAGTGCACAATGACATTGTAGTACATAAATATTTTTCCATTTCGTGCAAATGCTTCCTAGATAAGTTAACAATTTTCTGCAAGCAAAAAAATCAAATAATAATGCAGAGCCCAGCCATCATACAGATGTCCTCGACGAACTAGACTTTTAATAATTGAAAATCAGAAAATATATTACCAGCTATATTCAGCCCAGATCCGAGAAAGCTTCAGCCGTAGCCTCAACTATAACCAAAAAGAGAAGAACATAATCCATATCTCGAAACAACTTACTAATATCTAAATTGCTCCTTCCCAAAATTATACATACAATTGAAGAACCTCCAACAATCAACAAAAATATTATGCAAATATAGACTCAGCTCAACAATAAAGCAATTAACCAAAATTCAGATGCACAAACTCCCAAGTTGCTCTTTTTTCCCTAATTTGAAACTTACAACACCAAGGAAATGAATCAAACAAGTTATCATTCTCATCTAAAGTTCTTGGCAAAGAACTTGCGCGGACGAGCTTTATTTTAGACGGAAAAAAACAATGTTTATATTCTCAAGCAAGCATCAAGATGGTACTTACAAATGTTCAACTTACTTATGGTGGGTCATAAGTGCAAAAGAACTCAAAGAGGAGTTGCTCAAGCCCTTTGATACGAAGGACTTAGACCCGACACAGCAAATCTGCTAAGGTCTTTTGAAACAAGAAATGTAAGAGGTGATTGGCACATGTTTAGCACATTTAAGTTAGTCTAGTTAGCACACATGAAGCCAGTTATTTTAAGCTAAGTAAAAGCTTATGTCCCTCTACCAAAGAACAGAAGACAGAAGCTCCTAACTCTACTCTTCAGCAAAGGAATGTCTTATGTTTGCACATGGCATGACGCTGCTTGTGCAGTTGGTCTTGTGAGATGCAAACATGACAAATAATATTGATGGTAAACAGTCTATATCAGAATCCTTGTTACTTTTGTAGTGAAAATAATATCATAACAACTTCAACAACAATATTATGTTGCCTTGTTTACAACTGAGGTTGAACTCAGTTACAAGGATTCTCGTATTTTTCTTTATGTACACATGTCGACCCAAAATGGGTATGAATACAGGATATGTCTCCGACACACGAGCCCAAATTGGACACTGCTATTCTTCACGTCATGATTAAGAAAGAAGAAAAAAATCAAATTTAGTAGTAGTTGGAAGCCTTTTTCTATCTTATTTAATTTGAATAATAATCGAGTATATTCTTATAAAGCAACAATATTGAACTTTACACTATAATAAAACATATAATGTATTTACCAATAGGTCATTGGTAAAGATATCAAATTTCTACCAAGATAACTGGAAATCCAACCAATAAGAATCCTAAATGGTATAACCTCTCCTCCCTCAAAAGGGATGTGAGAGGTTCGAGTCCCGTAATGGGCAATTTGTGAAATGTGTTTTTGAGTACTTATCTAATTATATATATATAATGTATTTAAATTCTTAGTACATGTGCACATAATCATATCCAACTTTTGAACACATATTCTTGCATTTTGGCATTGAAGGAGGTCCAAGACGACACACACACCCGCACCCAATACAATTATCTGTTTGGGTAATGTAGGCGTTGAATATATTGTTACTACTAAAGTAGGTAAGGAATGTTGTGGATGAAACAGTTTCTCCAACAAGAACTGGATTGTGACTCAAGATGCGGAATATGTGGTATACTTATAAAATGAGAGGGGCTATTGACTTGAGTATGAATGCAACATACTAATCCCACAGTAAGTACTTTTTAGTTAGATATCACTAGAAATGTACTTCTTAGTTAGATATCACTACAAATGTAAGGTGATTAAAAAAATGTATGCATTTCGAGGAAATTCAAACTGACAAGAATCTATATATATATATATATATATATATATATATATATATATATATACTTATATGATGACTAAGGTCATTCCCATCAAATAGCACTAGCTATGAAAGCTGGCTGAATTGGAGTCTGCTGAGGGGTTAATTGATGTTTTCTCTTGTGCATCTAGCGGGTGGATTTGTGAGGTGTGTCATGGAGGTAAATGTGTTGTCATATGGCCATCAAAGGAGACATGGAGCCTTAAAGAAAATGGCTAAAACAATTCAATATATGTATGAGCAGAAGCCCCATGTCAGAACACACAAAAGAAAGAAAGAAAGAAAAAATGTTCTGGAGTGAAGTGGATTTCTCTTGGGTGCTCCATTCTTGTGATTGTGGTTGGATTCATCAGTTAAACACAGATTTTTGCTTTGTGTTCGTCCTTGTATTACCTCAACAGCTGGGACTAACAATGATTTTTACTTGATTTTTGCTTTGTGTTCGTCCTTGTATTACCTCAACAGCTGGGAATTATTTCCCCCAAAATGAGTTAATACTACCAAACAAACCAGATCAAGCCAAACCCAAATGCCAAAACACCAAAACTCAAATTAGAACACCTTCAATTAAAAATATTAAACCAAAATCAGAATTTAAGTAATCTGAAACCAACTTATATTCATAATAATGTGTTATGCTGAATTGAACAATTTTGAAACCAACCCATATCACCCAAATTTTAGATATTAACAGGAAAAATAACAGTAACACTTCCAAGGAAAAAAAAAAAACAATCAAAGAAACAAAACCATTGAAGACAATTAAACAGACAACACAACCGTCAAAATTTTGTACAGATAATTCATCAAACAATACAATACAACATAATCATTGTAATTTCTTTAAAGACAAAAGACAAAAAAATAAAATAAAATAAAAAATCAATTCATAGCAGAAAAGAATCAAAAGAAAGAAACTCACAGCCATTTCTCGGCACGGAGCTTGGAAGAAACCAGAAATGGCAAAGAAGGATGATTGTTCAAATTAATTCAATATTTGTGACCAAACCAATACAGAGATTCGGAGCTCACACACAAGGTCCTTCAACAACTAAGAAGCAAGAGGAGAGAGAGAGACCCGCACAAGAAAGAGTGGCGGAGAAAGAGATGAGAGAGAGAGGGAGAGATGGGTATATCAACCATGGACCGGCGCCACCGGTGATGTTTGACCATTCACCTTCTCTTTCTCTCTCTATATTCTCTCTCCCCTGGAAGTCTTCTCTTCAGTTTTGAAAGTCTCTCTTTCTTACTCTGCACAAGAAAGAAATTTCTTATGGTAATTGCCCAAAAAACTATGAAAATCTATATTAAAAAATAAATAAATAACTATTTTGGAAAAATAAATAAATAATTGAAAAGTTAAACAATATATATAAATGTAAAAGATTTACAGAGCTATTATTAACATACCACTGCACTAACTTTCTAGTCTTCTACGATATCTCGATTAAAAAAAAAAAAAAAAAATTTAACTGACAATCAAATCTGCGTTACCTTAAATTTATAAAAATTAATAGGATGATGCATATATGATATAAATTTGATACCAGTATTCTCATTTGTATTACTGGTGTTTATTTTGATTCTGGTTTTCAGTTTATGACCTCTTTTTTTATGTTGTGTGTTTGGATGTCATATGAAAATTAGATAAAATTCAAGTCTAAATAGTTAAAATGAATATCTATTTTACCATACAATCATAATTTAGAATCAAATTTAACCGGTTATGGATGATTCAGTTCGGTTCCATATTTTAATGATTTTAGTTCTGATTTTTTTATACAAAAAAATAAAAAATAAAAAATCGTTAAAATAGTTGATTCCTACTGCCTGTTATTATTGTAATTCTCTGTTTAAAATAATTTGTTCCTTGGAAATGGTAAGCATTAACCATGATATAATGACAAGGTGATTAGTTGGTGGTGATTCTACTATTTATTTATTTAAATTTATTATTATTATTATTATTTATCCCATTCTTGTTGGTTTATCAAATGGAAAAAGTATGATATATTATAACTTTTTTATAATAATAATAAATAAATAAATAACAGACAACTCGATTGACTTAACAGACACGACACCCCGAGACTATTATTTTCCAAATTATAATCTGTTGAGTGATGTAGAAATATTTTAATTGACTTTTATGCTATATTTCTGGGTCACCAAATTTCTCCATGATGAGTAATTTAATCTCCAAATATTGCCACCTTACCTAGAAAGAGAAGTTTGTTGTGGGATTGATTAGATAATTAATTAACTAGTAGTTAAAGTTGAATCCAGCACTTTCTCCGTTCAGACCCAATAAATAACACGGCCGGCTTCTTTATGAACCCATATACACACAGATTCATATATATATATATATATATATATATATGATATAATGCGTATATATATATGATATAATGCGTATGTTATGCACGTGTTTCTATTGTCTCTCTTTATTCCAACGTGCAATGCACTTGTACTAGTTTATACTCTACACGCGCTAAACTTCTCCTTTGTTAATTAAGCGTAGCAAACGTGTTGCTATTATAAAAATGAGAATTAGTTGAATGATTGTGGTAATTGGCATTTTTCGTAGAAATTTGAAACAATACAATGATTCTTTATTTTCCACTTGGATTGTGAATTGAAATTTGTACATTTTCTTACAATTCCCAATTTTCCATTGGACGATGCATCTTTACCTAGAAAAGGTATGGAGTGTACTAAGTGTACCGGTCTCATTGAAATAGTACGTGTCATGCATGTACGATTCGAATGAGTTTGTGCACCAGCGCACCTAATATGCAATTACTATGGACTATCCTTCATTAATTAATAGTTATAAAAAAAAATTTTAAAAAAAATGTTGAGTTTCACTGAGGGAAACATTTTTTGTTTTCTATTCCCAACCACTAAAACAAAAACAAAAATTATGTGTAATAATATGTTTTTGTTTTTCTATAATCGAAAATATTTTTCATTTATGTGAAGGAAAATGAAAACATAAAAAAAACTTTCACTGTTTTCGGTGTTGTAGTACAAAATCGTTTTCACAATTTTTTTCTATGCAAATGCTAATCATTTCAAACAAAATACACGTTATTCATGTTATATATTAAATATTAATAAAATATATATATTTAATATATAATATATTATATAATAGTGTAAATTATTTTTTGAGACAATAATATTTATGATTTATTATGTATTTTTTATTTATTTTATATTATTATATACTTATATACTTTTATTTAATTTATATTCTTACATACCATATCTATATTATATTATATGTAAATATTAAATTATAATTAATTTATAATATTATAATGCATTATATATTTTATTAATAAATGTATACCTGATCGTTTTTGTCTTGGTATTTCTTATTTTATACTTATTTATTAAGTATTATTAAGATTTGTGATTTTAAATTAAACATTGTATTTTATTATCATGTATTTGTTATTGCTAATATTTGTAAAATAATTGGATTGCATACATTCTCCGTATTTTAAGGTTTTCTAGAACTAATGAGAAAATAAAAAATATTTTAAAAACCGTTGTACATCTCGTAACAAAAAATGTATTACTAAACACTATTATTGTTTTCAGCTTTTTAAATTGTGACAGTAATAAGGTTAATAAACGTCATTTCGACTTTCTTATTTTAACTCCGGAAAGTAAAATTATGTTTTCGTTTCTTGTGACAGCAAAAATAAAAAACGTTTTAAACCCAAGTGTTATTGAAATTGTTTAATTTTATAAGCGTACGTAAAAAATGAATGAAATTATGATTCGAAAAGCCTAATTAGAAAATTAAAATCATTGTTAAGGATTTATGGTCTAATTGGTTCAATTGTTTTTTATAATTGTTCTTATAAAACTAAAAAAAATAAAGATAAAAATAAAAATTTACTTTGTTGATAGTTTTTAAATATCTCAATTAAAATATAAAAAAGTATTAATTGTATTAATTACTCTTATGTTTGTTTGAGATTATGAAATCAGTGATTTGGATTTGATATCGGAGGAAATTCAGTTCAAAGTTAGAGGAATTTCCTTTCAGAAATAGCTCATTTTCAAAGTTGTGATTGGTTTCGCTTCGAATCAATCCCAACGAGAATATTAAATTTTGTCATATTTTAAATCCAAAATATTATTTCGGTACTCTCAAAACACCATCTCCACCATAATAAACTGGTCAAAGCCTTTCTTTTTTTTTTAACAAATACATGAACAAATATTGACTATTGTACTCCTTAAAACAAACGATGGTGTATTGATCTATTATACAAGAATTCATCCTATGAGTAACCAATATACTAAAACTGTGATGTGGCAATGTTTAGATATTTTCAGTAATTTTCTATACACATAGTGATGTGGGATCAAAAAAGTATTCCCTTTATCTTATTTTAAATGTCGATTTTGACTTTAAAAAAGTCACATTTAAAATGGGACAGGGAGGGAGCTAGTAGTAAAAAACACAACACGAGGGAGAGAGACAGAGGAGGGGAGTTGATTAACCGTTGACCGGTGCTACAGGTAATGCATTCACTGTTAGGGCGGCTGTGGTTGGTTGGAAGAGTAATGAAGGGACTGTGTGTCTCGGTTTGTCTGCTTGTGTGGAAACTAATCTCCTCAATGTGCCACCAAAGCATGCCAGTTCAGCAACACGAATATTATTGACACCAACCAATTGGTACAAATAAATAATAAATAAAAAGGAAAAACAAATGACAAATAAATCGGAAGCTCATTGAAACTGCCGAAGCTCATGCTGCTTAAATTCCCTCCAGAAAGAAGCTGATAGATTATGATAGTTTGATTGTCTTCAGATAGTTTTGCCACAATACAATTCTTAGTCTTTACACAATCGAAGTTTCCAGATTTATTACATGGAGATTACTAACAACTTTGATATAAATGTGTTAATTTTTAATATAAAGTAATTTGTGTGTTTCAAAATTATATTCGGATACACTTAAAATATCCAACTTTTTCGAGTTATAAAGTAAAGATCGAAAGATTTTATGTTATTATTTTTCAATCGTTGGATGAAATAAATTATTTTATCTAATTGTAAAATTAAGTTGACGGTAACCGTGTTACATATAAGGCTGCAACTCGGGCGGGTTGGACGGGCTAGAGACTTAATTCAGGCTTAGCCCATGTACAAAATCTTTTGCCCAAGCCCAATCCTAGCCACCCAAGCCCAGCCCATAATTAACTTCTCCTATCCAAGCCCGCCCATGAGCCCACGCCCAACCCATAATTAACTTCTCCTACCCAAGCCCGCCCACGAGCCCACGCCTCTGTATTCAGAATATAAAAAATAAGAAATTTGTGCAGTTACAAGCACTCGAACAACATTTCTCTAATAAAAATTACACACACTACCAACTAAGCTATTATATATTTGTAAAATAACATAGTTTTAAAATAAATATACTTTTTTCGGGCTCGGGCTGGGTTTCGGGCTTTTATATAATATCAACCCAAGCCCAGCCCGAATTTAATTTACGCTCAGAATATCTAGTCCAAGACCAGACTTAGAACAAAAAAACACTGCCCAAGCCCTGAAAATTTTGGGCTGGCCTCGAATAAATTCGGCCTGACCCAGCCCGAGTTGCAGCTCTAGTTACACAGGAGGGGTGCAAATGGATGGATTGTGTTGGATTTGGGCCGAATCAAATATGACGGGTCAAATGTGAGTTGTGATTCATATTTAACTCATTTGTAATGGATTAAATATGAGTTGAGACAAAATAATTCGGATCAATCCGTTATGACTCACTGACCCGTATTAGGAAAAAAAAAATTACTAGCATGCTAGTATTCAGAAACAAAAGAATGAATACAGTCAAAAGATGGATACAAATATACACTACACATATACGCATATATTATATATGTATAGAGAGAGGGGGGGGGACAGAAAGAGAAAGCATCAAAAGGTTTTAGAGAGAGAGAGAGAGAGAGAGAGAGAGAGAATGAGAGGACGAGGTAGAGAGAATTAGAGATGGAGAGGATGTGACAGAGAATCTTAGAGATGGAGAGAATGTGACAGAGAGAGAGGGAGTGGGAGAGAATTTGGCTGAGAATTTTTTTTCCAAAGGTTAAGCAATATTATAATATAAAAGAACTGTACAACAAAAAAAGGCCTTGGCCAAACCCAGCCCACAAAGAAGGGAATACAAGGCAAAACCCTAATCCAGGCAAACAAATAGCCCATCCCAATACATAATTCCAAGGCCCATGCCCAAACCCTAATTCAAGCAAAAAAAAACAGAGATAACAGTCAATCATGCAAACAATCTGGTAGCGAAGCCAGCAACGGCAAACAAGCCCTAGGCTTGGAACTTAATCCGGCTGCCTCGGCGGAGGGCGAATTTGAGAGAGAGAGAGAGAGAGAGAAAGGAGGGTAAATTTCAGTTCATAGAGGATGTGAATTTGGATCTCTTGTATAATTAGTGAAATATGATGTATAATTAGTGAAATGAGTTGAATATGAATATTTTTTATTTAATCTATTTAATCCTCTATAAAAATTAAATGAATAAAATGATTCACCCATTTTCATTTTAAAGCAAATCGATAAGGATGGATTGACGAGTAATAAACCTTTTGTCATTCTATCCTTACATGTAGAGGTGGTAAATGGGTGGATTGAATATGGGTTGTGACCTATATTCAACTATCTTGTAACGGGTTAAATATGGATTGGGTGAAAACGGGTTAGGTTAACTTGTCATGACACGCCAACTCTGTTTTAGGAAGGAAAAAAAGTTATTATTTTGAATAATTTCATTATTATAGTATTATTTTTTTTAGATGAATAAAAGCATGTAAAAATATGTATGGATAATTGTAAATTCTCTAATTTATTTTTAAAATGCATGAATGTAAGATAATATATATATATATATACACACACACACATATATATTATATGAAATCATTTGTTAAGTTTTTTATAGAATAAATAATTAAATGAATAAATCAGGTCGTTCTATTTTCAAAGACAAATGTAAACATAAGTTTTTTTTTCGAACCGTAGTATTACATACATGAGGAGTCCATGAAGTAGAGAAAACTTTAGAGAGAGATAGTGAGGGAGAGGGAGAGAGAGAGAAAAAAAAAAAAAAAAAAAATGGGGATTTGGGATCGCATTAGAGAATTTATAAAGAAAAAGGTAAATTTGAGTCAAATAAAGATTGTGAAATTGGGTCTCTTATATAATGGGTGGACTATGGGTTAAAATGGACGACCCATATTTAATTTATTTAAAATAAGTAACCTATATTAAATCTTATATAAAAATAGGTTGAATATGAGTCACCTATTTTGACCCATATTTTAAAATGATTCACCTATTTTTATTTTAAAGCAAGCAGATATAAACGGATTAGTATATTATGACCCATTTTACCACCCCTAATTACATATAACTTGTCAAATAAATAACATTAGAGATTATTAAATTTAGAGTATATAAGGACGAGCAATGGGCCACATGAAGCCAACTTTGTACTTACCATGAAAATTCTCATATTTGCATTTAGAATCTGGAGTGGGAGCTTTTCACAAGTGATCTAGCTTTTCCCATGCATGGTGATTTAAGTAACCTTAATTTCTAGAGAGAGTCTAGAGGAAGTCTTTGAACTTAAAATGCTGTGGGTGACATCAATTTATATATATTCCACTTGCTTAGGTTCTTTGTTGCTAAGATGCTCATTAAGTGGGGAAACTTTTCATCCACCATAGTCACTCTCCAAACTTACCCTTACCTTAATTTTGGAGATCGGCCTTACCGATGCAAAGTATCAATTATTATTTTTATATATTTTATCCATTTGTTAAATTACAAGTATTATTTTTTTCACTTATTCAATATAATAATAAATATATCACAAGGATGCTCTTACGAAATTCTTATACTACTAAACTATTTTCCTCAGGGTCAATAAATATTGTACCCTAATGATATTTTTTCAACCTTTCAAAATATCAAGGTATAGGCTATGTGGTATTTATTCAGAAAAAGTCAATGGATCACAGGGGTATGTGGGTGTATCAATTTCTTGTCAGATAAATATAGACAAAAAGAAAAACATCCAAAATAGAATGCGATAGATCAAATAAAAAAAAACCTTCCATCCTCTCAAATTTTTTGTTTTGTTTTGTTTTTGTTTTTGTGTTTTTTTTTTTTTTTTTTTTTTTCCCCAACATTTATACCACCTCTCATAGAATTGAGTTAAATATTATATGTATAAATAATAATAACAATGAAAAATTAATGTATATATATATATATTTACAAGGCAAAAAATGTTAGAAATTAAATTAGTAGATAAGTGTCAAGGTCTACCAGAAGACACTACCCACTGAACTATGCATTGACAATAATTATCTTTATCCACTCTTTTATATCATAAACCATATCTCCTACCAAATTTAATTTTTTAAAATCATTCTTTATCACCCCATTCCAAATTAGTTTAAGTGGAGCTCTTTTCTCTCACACCAAGCGCAATTAACCATTATTATTATTTTATTAGTATTATTGTTTTTATTAGTATTATATATTAAGTATGCGTCTTTATGACTTACTATACCACAAAATATACTTGTATTAACATGGTATTTAAGTAGCCTTAATTTCTCTTTTATCTCCTATTAGAGAGAGAGCCTAGATGAAGTCTTTGAACTTTAAATGCTGTGGGTGACATCAATATATTCCACTTGCTTAAGATGCTCATTAAGGTTCTTTGTTGCTAAGATGCTCATTAAGTGGGGGAACTTTTCATCCACCGTAACTACTCTCCCATCTTTACCCTTCACCTTAATTTTGGAGATCGGCCTTACCAACGCAAAGTATCAATTATAATTTTTATATATTTTATCCATTTGTTAAATTATAACTAGTATTTTTTCACGTTGCTCTCACGAAATTCTTATACTAAACTCTTTGATTCATCCTCAAGAAATATTGTACCCTAATAATATTTTCTCAACCTTTCAAAATATCAAGAGATATGGTTACGTGGTATTTATTTGAAAAAAGTCTATTAATCACTCCTTCACAAGGCAAGTGAGTGTATCCTTGCATGAATTTATTGTCAGATCAAATAATATAAAAAAAAAAAAATCCAAAATGGAATGTGATAGTTCAAATAAAAAAAAAAACCTTCCATCCTCTCAAATCATTATTATTATTTTTTTATACCAAAAGACACATTTATACCACCTCAAATAGAATTGAGTTAAATATTATATATATAAATATAATAATAATAATAGAAAATTAATTTCACTTTTTTATTGTATATTTGATCGGTATCATCATTATTATTTTTGCTTTTATCCTATACAAAGACCAACCATATTAATTATCTTTACCCACTCTTTTATATCATAAACCAAATCTCCTACCAAATTAAATTTTTTAAAATCTTTCTTTATCTGCCCATCCCAAATTAGTTTAAGTGGAGCTCTTTGTCTCTCACACTCTGTGCAATTAACAATTATTATTATTATTATTTTCATTAGGATTATATATTAATTATGCGTGTCTATGACTTATTCTTATTATACCACAAAATATACTTGTATTAACATGGTATTGACTGTAATTAGGACTGAAACTTAAGGGCAAGTGCGGACGATCAGCTTTAAAGAAACAAAAGGTCACTCTGTGGCGGTTGCAACGTCTCTCTTTTTCCATATACAGAGCGGAGGGAGTGAAGTGAAACACCCACAGACACTCTCTCTCTCTCACTCTCACTCTCAATACACACGTTATGGAAGCAAGTCACAGCGGGATGGGAGATCAGGCCGAAGATGGACGGAAAGTTCCAAATTTACCGATTCCGGGGAAGAGGAATATACTGATCACGAGCGCTTTGCCTTATGTGAATAACGTCCCTCATCTCGGAAACATTATCGGCTGTAAATTCTCTCTCTCTCTCTCTTTCACACACATACACTGAATGCGATCTAATTCTTCGAATTTTCCCCAACATTTCCGTTTGGTTGCCAAGAAAGTGTAGGAAAATAAAAGAAATACGAGTTTTGAACTAGAATAATCATTGACTGAATTTTTCTATTATTTTCTTTTCCTTTTAGCCCTCTTTTCCTTAGTAACCGTCCATAGAGCAAGATTATTACCAGCAATCTTTGTTCTCTCTCTTGAATTGTTGATTTTCAAGAATAACTTTTATTCTTCACTGTTTTTCAAGAATGATTTTTAAGAATAATTTTCAAGAATAATTATCGAGAATAATTATAATTATTAAGAATAAGCAACCTTTCTTATTTTTAATTATTGTTCTTAAATCACCTGTGTTTACACATTCGTTCTTATTTTTACTTTTTCTAATTGCATTTTGGGGGAATCAAAGCGATCAGTTCTAATATACTTTCAACGATAGACGAAGGAAAAAGATAAGAGTTATATTATTTCATAAGAAGTTCTTAGAACTTTCTTTTCTCACGAAACATTAGCCGTAAAAACACCACTACTGAATAACCAATTATAAAGGACTAAATACATATTCGACCTTCTTATATCTTTCCAAAACTATACCTTATTTTTATTCTGGTTACGGACTATGGATTGGAGATCATTTGAAAGTTTTTAGAAAGTTGTATCTATTTATCACTATTTAAATTCAGAAACGTATAAAATCCGCCAAGAGTACCATTCTTTGATTGCACTGTACAATTTCTTTCTCACTGTTTTTTTTTTTTTTTTTTTTTTTTTAAATCTAGTTTGTAAATTCTTTTAATTCAGCTGTTTTGAGTGCGGATGTATTTGCTCGCTATTGTCGTCTACGCGGCTACAATACATTATACATATGCGGGACTGACGAGTACGGGACAGCAACTGAGACAAAGGCGATGGAGGAGAATTGTACTCCACAGCAGATTTGTGACAAGTAAATTGTTTATCTCACCTTCTATCTTATCTTGTTTTGCAACTAAGTTTTGCCATTTAAAGGTTTCTATACATACATACATACATACATATATATATATATATATATATATATATATATATATATATATTGGTGATTTGATGAATGAAAATTTTCTTTATTCAAAGGTCGGAGAAATGTGATGCAAATGCTTGTAAAAAATAATAAAAATGTGCCAAAAGTCTCTGTTTTCCTGTAATAGGTGTATTTGGCCAAAAGATTCTAAGTTGGATGAAATGGAAAATCATTTAGTGAAATAAATAGTTCAAGTTCTAATTTCTGCTTAGGCACTTCAGCTACCATTATAACAAAATTTTGATTTTCTTTTTGCCTTGGTGATTTTTTTGTCCAGCGGTGGAGCTCAAAACCAATATTTAAATTTTGTTGGTTTATTATAATAAAATAGTTTGTCTTATAATCTCTGCCTAGTCACTTGCTCATTAATCATTTTGGTCCCATATAGAACATGTAATATTCTCATGTGGCTCTTTATCAGGAATCATGTCAAGGATTGTCCTGTCCTATCATTCAACTATTCTTGATGTGAATTGATTTCATATTTTGCTATGTAATACAGTTGTCTTCATCTTTGAGGTCCCCTGAGGTTGCTATACTTCAAGTTCATGCTATTCTTGTCAAACCATTTCAATTTCCCCCCTTCGGAATAAACCATTTCAAATTCATTGCCTTAGTTTTTATACATGTTCTAATGATGTAATTTCTGTAATTTTGTAATAACCATCCCAAGTTCCATACCAAGTAGGATAATTTGCTTCTAAAACTTTTTTAATCCTGATTCAGATATCGGAATCCCTTTTGTTGTACAAGACTTTTTTCCATTTTTTTACAAATTTCTAGTCTAGTAAGTTGCAAATCAGAACTCCGGGTCTCAATTATTGAGCATGTAAATGGTTAGAAGCAATATTGGGAGGGTAAGCCGTGTTATTATTGATAGAGAAAGATAAATCCTTAAGCTGATTTTCTTTTCTTTCTCATGCATGTCATCCTCCTCTCTTATATGGCAATAATTCAGGCTCCACAGGATCCAATTCTTTGCTAATTGGCTCTGACTTGGCTTTCACTACCCGATAGTCAGATTGATCATTGGAGGAGAATTTATATCTTATTGAATGTGTATATACTTTGTGATGCAGAGTGTTGTTTCTTTAATCGGAATTCTTTTAAGAGGTTATAGAGTTGACTGGTCAGATGTCTGAATTTTACATAATTTCAAGCATATTAGAGTTGTATCCTTTAGCTGATTTCATATTCTATAGAGGGCATTTCCTCATGGAACACGTGCTTCGTTGTCATTGAGTTGACTTGTCTGTGCATAAATTGCATATATGCTCATTTAATTCATGTCTCCTGCATTTGTAGATACCATGCAATTCATAAAGAGGTATACAATTGGTTCAATATAAGTTTTGATGAATTTGGACGTACATCAACGCCCCAGCAAACTGAGGTCTGCCAAGGAATTTTCAGGAAATTGATGGAGAACAACTGGCTTTCTGAAAATACAATGCAGCAGGTACACAGTTAGTTATATTATGTTTAGATAGTATATTTTCTGTGATGGTGAGGTAACGTCCGACCTTTTAATTGGATTAATGCTTCATTGTTAAGTTGCAGAAATATTTACTCTTAATTTATCAAAAAAAAAGAAGAAGAAATATTTACTCTTAATGTGAACGGTGACACAGCTTTATTGCGATACTTGCGAACGTTTTCTAGCTGATCGGCTTGTGGAGGGCACCTGTCCAACGTTAAATTGTAATTATGATTTTGCTCGTGGAGATCAATGTGAAAAGTGTGGGAAGTTGTTGAACCCTACAGAATTGAAAGATCCTAGATGCAGGGTACTTCTTATCTTCATGAATGTCAATATTTTTTCTTCATATGTCATGAATTTGCCAAAAGGTTTGATTGAAATCACAGTATTGTTTAAATTCTGGCTACTGGAATTTAGAGGCGTTCACATTCTTCTGCACTTCTCTGCTATTTCATACGCAAGCGTGTAATGTGAACAGGTATGTCAAACAACTCCTCAAATCCGCGACACTGAACACTTGTTTCTAGAGCTGCCACTGCTGAAGGATAAATTGGAAGAGTATATCAACAAAATGTCAGTTGCAGGGTCTTGGAGCCAGAATGCCATACAAGCTACATATGCTTGGCTTAAAGAAGGACTAAATCCCCGTTGTATTACTAGAGATCTTAAGTGGGGGGTTCCTGTTCCACATGAAAAATTTAAGGATAAGGTGGGTTAAGATGCAATTATTGCTGTTGAGCAATGTTCTTTTACTTAGTAATTTTTTGTAGAAGCAGCATAATTTTGAGCACGCATTTGAATTTTCTTTGACCAATTTTCTCTCTGACGACATGAAACTCAGGTGTTCTATGTGTGGTTTGATGCACCTATTGGATATGTGTCCATTACTGCATGCCATACGCCTCATTGGGAGAAGTGGTGGAAAGACCCTAATAACGTGGAGCTGTATCAGTTTATGGGCAAGGATAATATACCATTCCACACTGTAAGAGTTCATTTCTCATAATGTCATTGATTTTTTGAAGTAAAGGCTACATGGTTCCTGCTTTTACTTTTTGTGCCCCCTCCTTTCGTGTACCAGACTTGCCGATTGGATGGTTACACGTTTCTTGTAATCATCTTTATGTTGGAATTTATTATTTTACTAAAAAGGGCTCATCATTAAGAGTCATTATTTAGATAAGAAAAGAAGAAAAGGAAAAACCCTAACATGGCCATGGCTCTTATTAACTATTATAATTTACAAATGATAACTGACAGTGTGTTATGATGCAACTTACAATAATAAGTAATCTTAATTTCTTACCTGGCAATTTCACATTTTCCAATCTCACACCTTTTAAGAGCTTCCAGCTGTCAAATTTGTGATATTATAGCTAATAACCAAATCATCGTTCCTTTTTTGCACATACAGTTAACTAAATTTTTATGTTCTGAGAAAGAATTTCATTTTTAAAGTCTATGATGAATCTGTATGATGGTTGGTGTTTCTGATTTAGGATTAGGGATTTATTCTTGGATTTACAATTCCAACAATGGTTATAGCTTGCTGAAGTTTGGTTAGTGGCTGTGTTGACAGTTTGTTGGAGATCATTGTGGTCGACAATGGTGATGGAGATGATGGAGTGCTAAAAGTTAGTGGGAGGCGGTTCTGGCAGTGTCAATGGTGACTAGTTATCAGTTTTGATGGTGATGATAGTAATTAGCAGTTGTTGGAGGTATTGGTGGTGGTAGACTTGCAAGGTACCGAAGATGGAGATGGTAGTAGAGGTGATTTGTTGTTGAAATAAGCATTGTGTGATGGCGATTGCTGGCATGGCATTAGAGAGGGCATGTGGCGGTAATCTTATGGATGGTCTTAGAAGACTTAGATGGTAATTCTGACAGTGGTACCATAATAGTGTGGTAGCAATGGATGCATAGACTTGGCAGCAGTTCCCGTGATATAGCACTGACGGGGATATTATGGTGATATTAATGGATGGTTGCATTAGTGGGGACAGCGGTGGTAGTACTTATGCATGAGCAGGGGTATTAAATAGAGCAATATAGTGGCAATAGTGATGGCACTAGGGTACTGGTAGCTCATTTTTCCTTTTTTTCTTTGTTGTGGAATGCTTGTTAGTAGGATCTGCATTTGACAATGCCTTCCCCTGAGAATAAAAAAATTCATTTTTTGGGCTAATATTCAATTCTTAGATTTGGCGTGGTAGTCCGATTATGAAAGATTGAACTGTACAAGAACTGGAAATAGGGACTGCTGATCCCATTCGCATCCTCAATTCTGCTGCCAATTCCTGAAAACAGAAAGACCCAAAAGTAAATATGTATGAGGTTATCAATAATATTTGACTATTTTTATGATCATTGGTGGAGTTAAATTTGTTGCAGAATATGCCTATATTAATTGTTATTTTGTTTCAGGTAATGTTTCCTTCTACACTTCTTGGAACTGGAGAAAATTGGACATTGATGAATAGCATCAGCGTTACAGAATATTTGAACTATGAAGCAGGCATATATTAGCTCTCTTAAATGGTTGTCATTATGTTAATATGGTTATTTGACTTGACCTCATGATACATGAGCTTTTCATGATATTATGATGCTTGGGTTCTTAAATATATATATATATTCAAATTATCAGACAGAAAGTTAATATATGCTTGATGATGCAGGAAAATTCTCCAAGAGCAAGGGAGTAGGAGTTTTTGGAAATGATGCAAAAGATACAAACATTCCTGCAGAAGTGTGGCGATATTACTTGCTAATTAACAGGCCGGAGGTGAATTCTGTTGATAACTTGATATAGAATTTAAAGGTCATCTATAATTGTTTTCTACTTGTCAACTTCGATATCCTTTTCTTTTAATAGGTATCAGACACATTATTTACATGGGTAGACTTGCAAGCGAAACTAAATACTGAGTTGCTGAATAATTTGGGCAATTTTATCAATCGAGTCTTGAGCTTCATTGCCAAACCTCCAGGTCAGTCGGTGCCATGTAATTAAGTTCCTGAAATACAGCTAGTTTTGTGAGAGTGAATTTTCACTGTAGAATGCAATTAATCTCACTGGGGCTTCCCTTTTTCTTTTTCTTTTTCGATAAGTCTCACTGGGGCTTTTTTATATTAAACTTGATGCTTGCTGAGTTGTCATGGTTTCTTCATTGTGTTTTTTTTGGGATATTATATATATACCATGGTTCGGATTGTAGGAGAACGGATTGGATTGGTTTGGCCCTTTATGAAACAACTAATTTTCGGAAAATTCAAGAAATAATTTCTATACTTTCCGTGGCGGGGTGGGCATCTAGCAAAACATATATCAAAAGACAGAATGTCTTGCATATTTGTGTCCTAAAGGCTCAATGCACAAACAGATCCCCAAGTTTTGCATGCTAATACTAAAAAAAGTCAACAAAATTTCGACCCTTAAAAACCTAAGCCAAAACGTTGAAATGCATATATCAGAAATCAAAATCCAAATTTCATTTGATTAAATAAAAAGAAAAGAAAAAAGAACTAGGATGAGAGAACTGAGTGCGTGTGTGTGAGAGAGAGGGAGAGACTGTGTGTGTGCATGCGATTTAGACCAGCCAAACACAACGGGCTCACTGGAGTGAGCACTTGAGGGTGACGGAAAAGAGGGGCGGCAGGGAGCGGTCAAGGGAGGGGATGGGTGTGGCTGTGTCACTGTGTAGACAACCAATCATATGAAGTCCTATTGTGTGTGTATATATAAATATCTACATAATGCACGGATTGGTTTGGAATGGACTGTATTTTTCTACCCTCAATCTGTGAACCATTCCGTCTTGGACGGTTCCAAAAAAATTTAAACCAAACAAACCAGTAGCCCTTCAGAAATGAACCAATCCGCACAGATTGGATTGGATTGGATTGGATCAGTCCAATGGTTTTCCTTGTGCATCCCTAGTTTTTGATGGTATGGATATGACATTAGGCACTTTAGGTTTAGTTCCACAAAATTATGATTTGTTGGTAAAATTTTATGTCTTGCCAATTTTTTTTATAGTTTTAATTCCCTATTCTGTGTGGGTACTTAATTGAATTTCCATGCTCTTTATTTTGCACAGTGAACATATAGGGATTTGTTTGTACATAAATGGGCTTTTAAAAGTTTATTAATGAGGAATGGAACCATTGAAATAATAAGATTCTTAGAAATTGATACATTTTTCTGAAAAAAAAAATAATATAAACAAACTAAATAAAGTAAAATAAGACTTATCATGTGACAATATTGAAGTTTTAGGGATCTCATTTGAACTGTTTATGCTTTATTTATATACTATTGAAGGAATTTGCATTTTTTTTCATGGTATTTTTAGCAAGATCTCTAGATTTGTGTGCCTATAATATTAAATTCCACACTTGGGTATTCTGAAATGTCTTTTCAGTTGTATCTCCCTGCATGAGGAGTCTTCCATCCTGTATCAATACTTGGCCCTTCAGGTGTTTTTGTTTTTTGTTTTTTACTTTTTTTGGTAGGTAAACAACACACACACACACACACCACTCACCACAATGGACCATGTGGGACTCGAACCACTCACCTTTCCTTTGGGGAGGAGAGTTCCTACCCCGTGGTCCAATGGCCCGGTGGTCCTTCAGGGTGATATCTTAATTGTGTTTTACGTACTTCATTGTGTATTTTCACTTTGAAGGATCGCCCTAGAAATTGGCATATTATTGAAACTTCGTGCTAGACTTGAGGAATTTCATCCTAGACTTCTGTCACTGCACTGCCTATATCAACCTGAGTAATATTCCTATGCATTCTCTGATAATTCCTTTTTGCAGGAGAAGGATATGGGTGTGTCATTCCTGATGCTCCAGCTGCAGAATCACATCTATTGACAAAGACATTGGCGGAAAAAGTTGGTAAATATGTTGAGGAATATGTAGAATCCATGGAAAAGGTGATAAATTGAAACTGTCTAACGTTGTTGTGCTGTATTACAATTCTTACCTATGATTTATTAACTTAATCATTCAATGTTGCATTCTTAACGGGGAATATTAATGCATAATGTTAAGTAGGTTAAACTAAAGCAAGGACTTAAAATTGGAATGAGCATCTCTAGTGAAGGGAACGCGTATCTGCAAGTAAGCTGTTAAGCTGTATATGTTCTTTATTTCACATGGTATGTTACAATTATATTGATCACTTTAATGTGATACGTAGGAGAGCCAATTTTGGAAGCTTTACAAGGAAAATAGAGCTTCCTGTTCAATAGTTGTAAAAACTTCAGTGGGCTTGGTTTATCTACTTGCATGTTTGCTAGAACCTTTCATGCCATCATTTTCTCTTGAGGTATGTATCAGGCCCGCACTCTGTAAGAAATAGGTTGAAAAATATTTTCCTAATGTTCGTCACTACCCTTTTTATTTTCAAAAGTTTCCTAATATGATGCTTTTGTAATTTTGGCAATCAAGGTACTAAAGCAACTTAATTTGCCTCCTGAAACACGACTTTCACTTTGTGATGAAAATGGAGATTTTGGAAGGGCAAGAAAACCTTGGGAGATTATATCCACTGGTCACAAAATTGGGAAACCAGAACCTTTGTTTAAGGAATTGGTATATATCTTACTGTTTAAGAATATATATATATATATATATATAATTTTATTTTTTTTTTCATTATTTGCTTTTCAACATGGTGATATTTCCATTTGTCTGCTAATACTCATTTAGCTTTTCTTTTTTCTCCTTTTTTAATCCTTTTACATTTTGGTACAGAAAGATGGAGATATTGAGTTTTTTAGGAAGAAGTTCGCTGGAAGTCAAGCTGATAGGATTCTAAAGGCAGAAGCTGAAGGAAAAAGTACAGGTGAGCCTCCAGAGAAAACGAAAATTTCAGGTTAGTGAATCTTCCTTACAATGTGACTGCCACTTCTAATGGCTGTTAAACCAAATCTCACGTCTTCCTGAATTCACTTTGTCAAAAACAACATGTCAGTGAGTATGGGTAACTTCCATCTTGTTCCAAAACAATAATGCCTTTAATCTATGTATTTTTTAGTATTGGATCACATTGTAGCCTGTTGGAAGCCGCATTTGGTTTGTCGTTAATGACTGTTAAATAAAAAAGCAAAGAAAAATGAATTCATCAATTTTTGGCAAGCTATTCTACATGCCCCACCCGATGGACTTGACCTCAACCTCGATCTAGACCTTTGCCAAACACCGAAAAATAAAAATAAAAGAAAATATTTTACCTGAAAAAAGAAAATATTTTACGAGGAAAATATTTTGCGTCGAAACAAACAGAGCCTAAGAATATGACACTTTCTTTTATATAGGGCTGGCTTACTTTCATTCTGAATTCTTGTAGTAGGTGAGATAGGCACCCGTTCTTGATGTTGTTAAATACTATTCCTACATGCTAAGATGTAACGAGTCCCAAGAAAGTTTGTTTGTTGAGTTTTGGGTTTTATAATCTATTTTTTAGCTGGCCTGTACATGCTGCTTTGTTGCAAGGGTCATATATGAAATTTGGACCCTCCTCAACAGGAGTTGGTTTTTTCCTGGGTGCACCCATTGATTTCCTTAAGATTGAAGTTGAGTCAGCTAATCATCAACCTTCTCAACAATAGGGGACAAAAACCTTCTGTATCGTCAATAATTAATTTTCTTTTATGCAACCCTTTGTAGCTTCTTTGATTGTCCACCGTCATTTTTACAACTTGCAAATTTTTAAATTTTTCAGTTTCTGAATTTATACATTTTTAATTGGTAAACCTGAGTAAAAAATCTGCATAAAAATGAACAAGAATGGATGCATTGTACAATACAAAAACCAAAGTGACTTGCTCGATTGTGGTAGACAGCTACCAAAAAAGAGGAAGTGTGATGTTTTCCTCAGTTTCCACGTTGGATGTTGCCAGGACGAGAGGAACACTAAGCTGTCTAATGAGGTGATAAGGAAAAGAATGGTAATTTATTTTTTCTACAGAAGTTTTTGCGTTGGATAGTTTGATGCCCCATATCTATTAGCTGGACAAGGAAAAGTGAGCATTATGTAGTCCTAGTTTTTGGTTGTTAGGTAATTTTTAATTTTTTCAATTATATTTGCTGGCCTTTATTTAATTATAGGTCTTACTTTTCTTTAAGTAGGAATTTTTTGTAGCATATTATGGTGGTTCTATTGTAATAGAAGAAAGGATGGAAATTAAATTCATGTAGCCAGCCCATTCATATGGGACAAAGGCAATGATGGTCATGATGGTACTGTACTATTCATGCTACTGCAGCAGTTAGTAGTAAGTCATCTATATTTTAATTACGGAAGAGATGAGTGTGCTTTAGGGGTTTCATTAAATTGTTCTTAGCATTTAAAGTTTTTATATCCTAACCATCTGTTTTGAAGTCATTGAATATTGAATTTAGAATCATAGCCTTATTGCTTGCTTTGAAAGATTGAGATTGCTTTCTTTCTCTCCTTACTCTTCTCTCTTTATACTTCCTCTTATTTGTCTCGTTATCTTTCTTCTCTACCACTTCTACTATAACACAACTTGCTGTCTTTTTACTTTTTGCTTGGACCAAACTTGAACCATCTAAAACAATCTATAAACTCTGATTCTCTTTGCAGCGCTTTCACACATTTTATTAGTTTGATATTGGAACTGAAGGATCATATTTTACTCCCATTAGCTATTTGATACAAATTGTTAAACAGACACTAGTAAGAAACACAGCATGTTCAACATGTGTGTCACTGAAGTGAGGATATTGATATATATAATTTTCAACTTTTTCCCAAGAGGATATTGATATGGATGAGTGGCATTACAAGAAAAGGAGATATAAACAAAAAGTTGAAGGTATCAGGAAGAGAAGAGACCGAAAAGGACGTGATTTAAGGCTGTGAGAAAGGGTACAATTGCCTTGAATTTAACAAAGCCTAACTTAGGTGATGGATCCATGTACATGCCCCCAATTAATGACACAAGTTTCATGAATAGACTGATCAAGACTAAAAATCAAGAGAAGAAAATATTGAAAATAAATCCATTTGTGTTGTGTTGTATATGGAACATTTTTTTAGTTTATTACAGTCTTGGCCTGAGGTGAGCAGAAGCTTATTATGTTTAGTTTTGTACAGACATGAAAGGCTGATGATATTAAACCAAAACCTGAATGCTGATTGAAGTTTTCATAAATTGGTGCACTTTCAGGTTGACAGTTGGTTGATCCTCCCCATTCTGCTGTAGTAGGAAGAGGGTTGCTGGTAGCATTATATAACTCTAAATAATACGGAACATTGCAACTGGACCTGCGCTATAGAAATGTGGGTGTGTCTGCAAGGTTTCATCAATGTCTAATGGATCAGTAAAGTATTAAGATTCAAGGTGTTGTGATTTACTCTACTTTATACTGTAAGAGACATCCTTCCCTGAAAGGAATGTGTGTAAATAATACTTTTTAAGACATAATAATTAATATAATAAAACATGTATCAGTTCTAATTACCTTGGTGATTATTGTTTTTATAAATACTGCTAAAAATGAATCATTCCTTGTTTATCTTGGTTTATGTATACTTAAGAAAGTAAAGGGTGAATGCTCTTGGAAATGATTAGAATTGATAGTTTACTCTCATAATTTTCTGCATAAATATTGAGTATTTTAAGATGGTTAAGGAAGTTCAAGCCGTTTGACTTCGAGAAATTAAGCTCGTTTCATCACCTGGCATGACCTATCTACTAATTTGGTTTCGGTTTTGAATTCTTGAAAAAAAAATTAAAAAACGAACGCATTTGCTTCCCATGTGAAGTTAATAAGTATTTTGCATTTTATATTTAAGCTTATGAATCAATTTTGGACTTTCATTTTATATATATTGGTTTTCATTGGCCACTCAGTTCCCATTAGTATAATTTTATAAATCATTAAATTCTTTTTTTTTTTCATATTGCTTTTACATCTTATTCTGAATATTCACTAGGGAAAAAAAAAGAAACAAAAAAAAAAAGAAAGAAAGAAGAAGGTTCTCTTGCATTTATGACATCTTAATATAATGTATCAACTATTGAAATAATAACTTAACATAATTTTTGTTAAGACAGTCAACCACATTCATTATTTCAGGAGTTAATGAATTTATAGGTACAGTTCAATAAAACTCAAATTCATGAATTTGAAACAATTGAAACATAAACATTTAATCATTATTTTCACAGATTGAACCAAAAAAAAATGTTATTTTTAAAAAATGGTGAAGGTGTAATAACAGTTTTAATATTCTTTTATTTTTAAAAATGATAAAATTATAAATTACTGTAACAATTTAAAAAAAAAAAAAAAAAACTCATAGAGATTGGATTTCCAAATGACACATCGACAATACTTGGCCAATGAATACCAATTAACACGTCCCCAGGGCATAGCGGCGTTTGTAAGGATTTGAGAGGTAAGTTCTTGAGGTCTCGTTTTGAATAATGTGTGTGTTGTAGGGCCATCGAAGAAAAAAAAAAAAAAAAACAAAAACAAAAAAAACCAGTTAACACTGTAGTGGTACAAGGGCATTGTGACATGGAGAGTTTCTGTTTCTAAAGTATTATAATGGGTGTGTAAGTTCCTCGTCAATTGAAAATAAAAATAAAAAAAACACTGTGGGGGTAAAAAGCCTGATTCTCCTGAAGCAACCCCAGTATCGCCACACTCGCGTTGGCGCGTGCAGTTCCGCTACTACTCTGCTTCTGGCAAATCATCAGATCCAAAAGCTCGAGTATAGAGAATTATAACTTGTGACGAAAGAGAACTCGCAATACCATCACTAGTCCTCAATCTAGGGTTTACTATTTATATCCGACAAGATCAGAATTGACGTCGCTGTTCTCTGGTTATCGACTCCAATCCCAATGAGGAGGTAAAACCCTAACACCATTTCAACTCTTGCACGTCTTTCTCTTTCTACTTCTTACAGAAAAGCCCTTTTCTCTCTCTCTCTCTCTCTATATATATATATATATACACATCTATATGTATTGGCAGAACTGGGGATGCATTAGGAAGGAGATATGGAAATCGTCAACTGAAGCAACTGGGTTGGGGTATGAAAGGACTGTTAGGTCGATTGTCGGTGGCCGTGATTGTCCTATTGATCTGCACAGTCTCGTTGCTCTTCACAAGGAAAGCAAGCAACCGCCAAGTCGAAAATTTGCAGGTTTGTTGCTTTTGTTCTGCTCTGTTAGAGGCTTTTTATTTGTCAATTTTCTCTCTTTATCGTGCAGTGATGGAAACAAAATTTGGATATGATTTAAAAAATGAAAGCTATTGTTTTAAAACAATCTTCATTAACATTAGTGGTAATTCTGTTGTGTAATGGGCAAATTCAGTTGATGAGTTGAATTTAGTGCATTTCAATTTCTTCAATGCAGTGACTAAAGACTAATTATATACATATTGGATCTATGATAAATTATTTCTTTCAAAATTTGATTGGATCATTCTAGTGAACTTTAATCATGATCTCTTCCTGGTCACTCAAAAGAACTTCACACTGTTTTTTGTTTTGTTTTATAGCATATCGGTGTAGATAAACTTTGGGAGACTGCTGATTCTGGTGGATGGAGGCCATCATCTGCTCCGCGATCTGATTGGCCCCGTATGTAGTTTCTCATAGTCCCTCTAAATTAGTAAATGAGCGTGTTGATCTCATATATTAAATCATAAGCAAAGTTTGTTTCTGATTGTAAATATATTGTTTCAATTTTGGCAGCACCTCCAGTTGAGAGCAATGGTTATTTGCGTGTTCGTTGTAATGGTGGCCTAAATCAGCAGCGTACTGCGGTGCGTATCATCTTCTTGCTTGAATAAGATAACGCAAGACATTTTGATTTTCTTGATATGAGTTCATTTTTGCCATCAGTTTGTTAGGTGAAAACTATACAAAGTCTTAACTTTTCATAATTTCATGCTTGATTTTGTGAAAAAGATGCAAGTTAGGTCTTGGAATTAAATAGGTTGTTCAGCTGTCACCATGATCATTTAGTTGAATCGAGTTTATTTTGGCTAATATCATTATAAAGAATTATGCATCTATAATTATTCGACTGCATACAACTAAATGCCAGTTGGAGCATCACTGTACTGACCTTATGACCATTCCCATGAATTGATAAACATGTCCTGGAGAGCAACCAGTCAATAAGGCACATGTTTGAACAGAAACCGTTCCTTGCTTTTATACGTATATTATTTTTTTAAGAAGTACTTTTATTATTACGTATCAAAAAGAGGAATAATACATTCTAGTTGTGTTGTTTTAGATATGTAATGCTGTTCTTGCTGCCCGAATCATGAATGCTACCCTCGTGTTGCCCGAGTTAGATGCAAACTCCTTCTGGCATGATGACAGGTACTGAATGTATGTATACATGTGTGTTTTAACTTCCATTGTAAATTTAGTTCTAGCAATCAGATTCAGATAACAAACTGCACACGTCCAACTTTAGATGATGTGTTGACTGGTTAATACTGCATGCAACTCTTCATGTTGAATGTTCGTTTAGCTTATACTTCTATAAGAATGGTTAAGCTCATAATTTGGAAAAATGGATGATCGATAAGATTTTTTTATTTTTTTTATAAAGTAAATGAGTGCAATGCAATCATATTCCTGCAATAGTGAACGACATTTCTGCCACCATTAACCATAATACCACACATCCTGACTTCTTTCTTATGCCCTCAGAATATTGGACCTAAATCTTTATTGATCCTATAGAGGAATCTCCTTCCCCAAATCGTGGATTGTATGCTCCACCCGCTAGGGCATAAAAAATTTTAGTACCTTCTTTTAACATTGTGCATGTATTATTTGCCCCTATTATTTTCTTTCATTTTGTGAAAAATTTGCAAACCAGAAAGAAAAGAAAATTGTTGAACTCTATCTAATTGAATTGAATTCCAAACCTGTATACAGTGGCTTTGATGGTATCTATGACGTTGAACATTTCATCGAGGCATTGAGGTATGATGTGCGGATTGTAGAAAAACTTCCTGAAATTCAAAAAAATGGGAGGACCAAGAAAATGAAAGCACATCAGGTTAGATACTATAGTTTGATGTTTTCTTGTCAATGAAAATTTAAAAACTTCTATCTCGGTATCTAGTATGATTGATTAAATGTTTGCAACTTTTTGTTTAGCTTCGGCCTCCACGAGATGCTCAAATTAGTTGGTATACGACAGATGCACTGGAGAAGATGAAGGAACATGGTGCAATTTATCTCACTCCTTTTTCACATCGATTAGCAGAAGAGATAGACAATCCTGAATATCAGCGGTTGAGATGCAGAGTTAATTACCATGCCCTTCGGTTTAAACCACATATCATGAAATTAAGTAACTCTATTGTCAGGAAACTCCGTGCCCAAGGTCATTTCATGTCAATACACCTTCGATTTGAGATGGATATGCTTGCATTTGCTGGGTATGTTCTCATCCCTAACTATCTTGTGTCCCCGGTGGAGGGTATATAATCCAATTTTTGTCTTTTGGGGTTATAATAGAACAACCTTTTTTTTTTTTTTTCAGTTAGTACTCACACTCACATGCCTCCATTGAGGCTTGAACCCTTGACCTCCCTTTGGGAAGTAAGGGTCTGTTACCACTAGGCTACTAGCCCGTTGGTAGAACAACATTTTTTTTAAATACAGGATTTTCAGAAGAACAAATATATTCTTAATTGTATTCATCTAAATATTTTCTGTCGGTTTACATGATGTATTGATTTTGTTTAAAGATTGACAATTTTTTGCATAGGTTCTTACAAAATTTTAATCAAAAGATTAGTCGAGTATTCCATGTTAGTCGTTGTCGTCGTCATCATCATCTATTATTCTCTTTGATTCCAAACATGCTATTATTCCACTAATATCCAAATGAAATTGTCTGGTTGGGCATATATTATGTCTATTTTTTTTGCCATGACTCTTTTCATTCTGTTGCAGTACATGGTGAATCTTAGTGCAAATGTTCATGCCATATTTTTGAGCTTCTGAAGTAGTAGGTCTCTTCAAAAGTTGTTAGTTGTATGTGATAGACTTATCAAATATTTGGCTCCGCAATTTTTTAAAGAAAAGTTCAGGCAATTTAGATCTCTAAATTCCTTATACCTGTAAAAATTTCAATATTTAGTCTCGCTGTCTGCATCCAACACATCTTGGTATGATAGTTTGGCATTATTTTCTTTTACTTTTACACTAATTAATTTCATAAAATTATGTTAACTATCATTTTTTTTTTAAACACTTCAACCTAATTTATTATGGTGGTTTGATTTCCATATAGAGCAGAACTATTTTGGAATTCTACCTCTTTGGATTGGTATGACTGTTTTATGTTTTCATTTGTCTTCACCTTCTCCAATTTCTCAGCAACTTACCACTCATGTCTTCCTAACTTTATTCAGATTTGTAGTCATGAAGTTTGATTGTGTGAGAGATGTTCTGTATGTATTACAACCTCCCATCTCTGTATTAAAATATGAATATCCATATCATATCTGTAACCTTGTCATGCGTATCTTGTCAACCATTTCCATGCCTTAAAGAAATTCTGGACTTGAGCATGTGTTTGTGTGGTCATGACTTCCTAGCCGCACCCACAGTTATTAATTATGCTTGATAGTTCCTTTGAAAACTATTTAGTTTCAAACCAAATTTAATCTTCTACAGAATCTCACAGGTGTCTAGATATTTTTACCCCTGAAGAACAGCGTATATTAAAGAAGTATCGTGAAGAAAATTTTGCAGAGAAGAAACTGAATTATAATGAAAGACGAGCGATTGGGAAATGTCCATTAACTCCAGAAGAGGTAAAATTCTCTCTGTTTTTACTGTGTTACCTATTTTTCTCATATTCAGCCAAGTGAGAAATCCCTTAGTGTGGCCTGCTTGCTGATATTCTCCTGTCAGTCCACCCAATTTTTGTGCTTAGATTAGTGTGGCAAGGGATGTTAGTATCCTTAGAACTATTTTTTTTTTCATTACCATTATGCTACTCCAAGCATCTTGTTTACAAGTGTAAAATGTTCATTTTGTTTAGAATTGTGTTTCACATAGTTTATACATATAATATTTAGCCATATACAAAGGGCTAACCCAGTGCACGAGGCTTCCGCCATTGTGGGGTTTGTAGATGCTCATATTATATGTAGGCAGCCTTACATGCAAAGAAGCTGTTTCACATTTCAAACCCGTCACCTTTAGGCCACAATGGAGTAACATTACTGTTGCGCCAAGGCCCGCCCTCTTGCTATCTGGTTTTTGCCTTTTGTGTTTCATATTGTGACTTAAATATCTATAATGGCAACATGTTGCTGCAACAAGAAAAGGACATGTCTTTCCCTCTAGTCATTTAAAGACACAACCTTTCACATATTGTAGCATATATTATCATCATTACTGACCAAGTGTAGTGATGATTTACACTGTTTCTTGTTCAACGTTATGTGTGGCCTTTTTACAGTGTTATGCCAAACTCCTGTCATTTTTCCTCGGTTTTATTTGTCGTTGGGACTTTACAAGTACTGCCTTTTGCAGGTTGGTCTCGTCTTACGTGGTATGGGATTTGATAATTCCACGCGTATATACCTTGCAGCAGGTGAACTATTTGGCGGAGCGCGTTTCATGAAGCCATTTAGAGCACTTTTCCCTCACCTTGACAACCATAATACAGTGCTCCCTACAGAAGACCTGAGCCAAAACAAACAGGGATTGGTGGGCTCTGCTGTAGATTACATGGTCTGTCTCCTTTCTGATATCTTCATGCCAACTTATGATGGCCCAAGCAACTTCGCCAACAATCTTTTGGGTCATCGTCTTTACTATGGCTTCCGGACCACAATCCAACCTAACAGGAAAGCTCTAGCTCCTATATTCATCGATAGAGAAAAGGGCCAAACATCTGGTTTTGAAGGTGCCATCAGGCGCGTTATGTTCAACTCAAAGTTCGGTGGACCTCACAAGCGTGTCCATCCTGAGTCTTTCTATACAAATTCTTGGCCTGAGTGTTTCTGCCAGACATCGGCTACGAATCCTGCTGACCAGTGCCCACCTGATAATGTGATGGAAAGACTCAATACTGGTTTGCACGGGGAAGAAACTGATAGTTGGGAACCCATTAACAGATCAAATGAGACGAATTCTGTTTCGGAAGAGTAACAAATATCTCGAACATACACAGTTCTGACATTCTTTATCCCAGAGAAAATGCAAGTGCATTCGTTGAAGCGGTGACATCTGTGCCATTCTTCTTTGTACTGAGGGACTTGTACAACATAGGGTCTTAGCTCTGCAATCTCAGAACTGATACCAGGATGTATTTTACGGCCAGATTCCTTTTACCTCATGATAATTAATTTATACCTTTTGTAACTTTCTTTTAAAGATGTGAATGCCATGGTCTTGATTTTTGTAAGTGTGAGATTAGACTATAAAAGGGATCTTTGTAATTGTCGTGTGTTGGGGTGGTTGTAACAGAGACAATTTCATATTTTTTCTACACATCTAAAATATAGTATAATAGCGGAATATTGCCTTTAGAAACCAAAATGTTTGCAAATTTCATTCGGTATGTAAATATTGTGCACTCATTGACTACATTTTTTTTGTCAGGCGCTCATTGTTACAAAAAAAATTAGTGATTCTGGAAAATGTATATAAAATTTTAGAGAAGTGACAGATCTTTCGATTTTAATTGCGACTATTCTTCCGAATATAACGTGGTTGGGAATGAGTCAAAGAGATGTTTACGGGAATTTTTTTAAGAGTTCCAATGGATCCAACCACGTTGTATTCGGAGGAAGAGTCGATAATTAACGTCGGAAGACTTATCATTTTTCAAAATTTTATATCCATTTTTACACATTTTCTAATACCATTTTATTCAAGAAAATGTATATATATACATATATCTATTAATTGTTTATTGGTTGCAAGGTAAGAACTTGATATATATATATTTTTTTTGTGTTCTTGTGGTATGGTGATTAACAAAATTGCTCCAACATACTGTGCTTGACATGTATTCAATAGTTATATTTTTTCTAGGAGTCCATTAAAAGTAATAAAACCATTGTACCTTCAATTAATTAATCTAGAGAATTATTATTTTTCTAATTGTTTTTTGGATTCGGTTAGCTAATTCATTTTTATAGATTAAAAAACCCAAAAGAAAAACTCACTTATTATAGGTGGAGTCAACTTGAAGCCTTGAAATCATTACTTTGATTAATTAATAATAAATTGTGACAACTTGATAGAATGTTAAAATTTAACAAATTTTTTAAATTTAATTTTCTTCCTTCAAAATTTGTTAATAAAGAATATGCAACTAAAAATTTCCTTCTCCTTGTAATTATTTTATCTTCAGATTTTATTTGTTTTCATATATATTTATTAGGCAAATTACATTGACTTTCTTTGATATTTGGACAAATTACATTAAGATGGACCGGCCTTTATTATGAATAGTTTATACCATTATTACATTTTGGTCTTTCAACTCACTATCTTGCAACATTATTAGTGACATGTTAGTTGGAATTTTTTTTAGTCATGGTTATATGACTCCACATAATTTCTTGACTCCGTCCCTATTTTTTGGTAATTTTTTTTAATTTTTTTTAAAAAAATTTATTAGTATTGTTGTTTTTGTTCGTGTTATTTAATTGGGGGATGCACATGTAATTTATGAAACTGAAGGGAAATTTATTGGAGTTGTGTCGTGTGTACTTCTGCTTGTTTAAATTGAAGTGGTAATAATATCAATGTTATTTCTAAAATTATAGGAAAAACTCTTTTCTTTAGGATATAATTGTAATTATTTTATTTTATTTTTGACAGACCTCTGGTTCTGTTGCATACAAGAGCCTCCAAAAGAGCTCCACCGAAGCTCGAACTGCTTCTGCGATGGCTGAAATCTCAGAAACTTCGCAAGACGCTTCCGACAAGAAGAAGTCGGAAATATCTGAAAAATCAGAGTCCGCTTCCGACTTCGACCCCAAAACCATGCGAAAGACCAAACCTGGATTGAAGCGCCTCGTCCTAACTATAACTCTTTTCTTCTCTTTCCTCTTAGGTCTCTCTCTATCTATGCATACATACATATATATATTATGTATATCATTTTGTTGTTGCTAATCTATGTTGTGATTTGGTGGTTCGATTCTTGACAGGTTTGCCATTCTTGCTGAAATCCATAGAGATCTACCGATCACCTCTCCCATTTCGCGACATCGATTCACTATCAACATCCATCGAATCGAATCCATTGCTATTCCCTTGTCAATTCCAAGCAGTATTTGTAGATTTCGATCATAGAACTTCCACTAAGTTAAACGCAGAAGAATTAGGGTTTTCAATTCTTGATCACATGCGAAGATTCACTGGCGACGAAACTGTTTGTGGTACTTGCGGTAACAATTACAGTGTCTCGGTGACCCTAGACTCCAGTACTAGTTGTATTCGCAACCAAAATGTTGATTCTGCATGCTCTTGGAAATGTGGCGCATTGAATGAATTTAAAGTACATAGTGATTTGAAGGATGATGAGGTTCTTGATGAATATTTAGAGTCTGTTTTGGGGGAAGGTGAAGATTGTTCGGGTTTAGGTGGCAAGGTTTATACTGTGGTGGTGGTGAATCGGGATGATGAGGTTAAGGCTGTGGTTGGGAAGCATCGGCATGCTTGGATTGTTGGAAAGGTTTCGGAGGTTGATGTGGTAGAGAGGATTGCTGAGATTTTTGTTAAGATCTTTGTGAATGGTGGGAAAGAAGAAGGGGCAATTCATGGGGAGTTTATGCCTGTGGGTGCTGATGGGAGGCTTGTTCTTTCTTTCAATTTGTTGAATGCTGATCCCAGCGATTGGATTTATGTCTGGTATGCAGTTTAACTATCTCTTCCTTATTTACTTGAAGCGCATTTGATGACCATATTGACAATTTTAAATTTATCATTATAAATTGGAGTATATAAATATGGATATATTCATTTGGCGTCTTTTTTAATACAGATAGTTTTTAGATATCATAATGCAGCACAGTGACAAGTAGCAGCAACAATATATGATCATGATAATTTTTACTTCCAAAATGAAAAAAGAAGAGAAGAATTGTTTGACAAAAGATATAATAATGATATATTTGTTGTGAGGTTTGGAAGAACTTGGAAATTGCTAGGTTTGGCTTAAATTTGGAGGAAACTTTTACGCCTACCATCTAATTGGTTGCTAGAAGTAGTAGGCCTGAAGGAAGAAAAGAGAACAAGTTTTGAAATCCTATAATACTATTGTTTTTATTTTCAAAACGAAAGTCACCTCAACACCAATTATATGCTTTAGGCTTGCCTGGTGAGGTTTTTGTTTTCTTACGTCACAAATGATAAAATTCTAAGATATGAATTATTATGACCATGCAGACTCTGTCTGCTCAGCAAAACCTTAGACTGTGTCCTCATAAAACTGTTGTAATACATCTTACATAAAATCTGAGTTCCTCAGCTATTTTTGGAGCTGTTGAAATTGTATTAGTAAACATTGACGAGGCTGGTCCCTGGGATGGTAGGACACTCGCTCAAACATGTGAATGTGTATTCTTGATTGTTTAACCATGCAAGCATGCACACACACATTGTCCATCTAACACTCTCTTGTTCCTGCAGGGATTTTCAAATGATAGATGAGATTCTGTTGTCTCCTATTATTGAGGCTTTGGGAGCTGTGGCAAATATAAGTGTGGAAAGTCAGGTATTCCGTAGCTCTCTTTAGGAGATGCTTATTGCAATTTCTTTCAAGTTTTGAAAAATTTAGGTTATTATTCTATCCTTCAGTTACATATTATAAAATTATTTTGCATGTGCAGGTTTTGTACCACACTCCGAAGTCCTCATTTTCTTATTGGGATGACAAACACGAAAGCTTCGTTTTTAGTACAAAAGATCTGCCTTTCTTTGTATGCTCATTGAACCACTCTTATTAACTGGAGTTTAAAAAGAATTTTAGTAGTTACATCTTTTAAATCTAGTATGCCTTAATGCGATTGCACCTCAATTTATACAAAACTAATACCATCCAGTGTTGATGGCTATATCTTATTATTTGGTACGAGCTACACAAAAGGATCATATTTATCATGCATTTCATTTTTTTGGAAACATTTTTTTGGTGGTGTCTTCCACTGAATGACACTATTAGATAGTTTCTTTCATCTCTTACGTTACATCTATTAAGGAATTGAATTTGATGTATTCCATAAATGCTAGTGGCTTCGCGCGTTGAATATATTTCACTAGTGTCATTGTTTAATTTCTGTAGGTAAATTCAAATGAGTGGCACTTGGATACTTCCATTGCAGCAGGCGGGCGGTCAAAGATTTTGCAAGTTGTGGTGTATATTCTTCTCCTCAAGATCTCTCTTTGTTAGAGTTTTTTCTCTAAAAAAATTACAATCGCTTTGCTCCATTTCATAATTTAATTACCACTAAGTTTAGATACAATTAATATCTTATCAATTAGTTGATATATCACCATCAGCATAATACTTTATGATTTTTACTAAATAGAACTTTTATATCTTTGTATAAAAATAAAGTTGATTATAATTATTGATGAGTCCCTTGAATGATTGTACTTTCGGGATGGAGATGTTCAAGGCTGTTTGGAAAGAAATTTAGTTTTGTATCATAAATACTTTAAGAAAGATGTAATCCCAAGAGTTGTCATAGTTCTCTGTCATCCATTTGAATTCTTTTCTTAAATTTGGTCATTTTGGTGATTGATTTGTCGCTAATACTAGCATAAAATCTATGTAATTGGCAATAACTACTATTTAATGCTCGATACAAAAATGTTCTCTATATTGCCAGATACGTACCATCTGAAAAGGAGTGCCCGCTTCTTTTACAGCTTCCAAATGGAGAGGTTTCCAAGACAAATGGTTTTATTTCTCCGGTGAATTATCTTGCCTTCATCATCTCCCAACCTGTTTGTCTGTTCTTGTAAATTTATATGGCACAACTTAATTAAGTTCGTCACATTGCAGATGTGGGGAGGTGTTATTGTTTGGAATCCCCCAGGCTGTTTGAGGGACTCAGAAAGTATGCGTCCTCTCAGGCGTAAAATTCCCCCTCAGGTTAGAAACCCATGTGTACATTTATCCAACTTTTATGTATTCTAACATATAGTTACTTATAAAAAAAAAACATATAGTTACTGAGAAATGAATGCAATTTTAAAACTAATTAGTGTGCTAGGGCTTTTATGTCCTTTCCTCGCATTCAGTATGCATCTTCAGTAACTTTAAAATTACTTCATACTTCTCCAGTAACGATAACATTCTAGTTGATTGATAGCACTCTAGTTGGGGTTATACATTTTGTGTCTCTCTTCTTCAATGTAAAATGTTTTGCGGCAAAAAAAAGATTCCCTGTAATCTCTTTCATTTGGAAAACAATGATCTTCCTCCACACATTTGGTTATGCTACAAAATTTTTAAAAACTGATTTTATGTATACGTTTCCAGGTACTTTTTAAGTGTATGTACGTTAGCATCCCTCTGTATATGCATGCGTATATATATGAATGAGCATGCTTATAGGTGCATACGTAGGTATTGTATAGACACTCATGTATAAGTTGTATCGTGTATATACGGGCAGACAAAATTATATAGTTACATACATGCATGCGTATACATGTTATCTATATGCATGTGTAAATGCACACATATAGCCTGGCATTTGCATGCATCTTATGTATAGAAAGGTGTGCATATGTGCTTCTATATGAGTGCATATATGTATTTGTGCTCCTATAGGTGTGTATATATCAGATAAAGGAAATATTAATGTGCACAATGAGACACACTCGTCAAAAAGAGGTGCACAATGTGGCTTATATATAGGCATGTGTATAACAGAGTATCTATCTGCAGACATATATAAATTAACAACTTGAACATGCACATACGTATGTACATATATAGAGTGTACAATACATGCTAAAAGAGGGTGCATAACAGAGTATATATCTGCAGACATATATAAATTAACAACTTGAACATGCACCGATGATGCACATACATCTGTACATATATAGAGTGTACAATACATGCTAAAAGAGGGTGCATAAACATGCTCATTAGGTATGTAAATGTGTGTGTAGGCATCTATGCATGTGTATATAGACTTTATTCTTTGGGCAGTGAGGCCCGAGTATTTAGTAAAAGAAGATTAGGGGGAAAAACTTTTAATCCACAAAGCATCATGTAAGGTATTTTTGTTTTTCCAAAAGAACTTGGAAATCATTATACAACCAACCAAATGCCTAAATTTTTTCAGCAAGTACTTTATGTCGAAGAAAGTGGAGCTGTAATGTTTTAAGCTTGCAGTTTCTACTTAACTTGTAATAAGGAATTCTGAGGCTTAGTTGGAAATATTTAAGAACACAACCAGAAAAAGTAGTTGGCTGTAAGCAGGCCAATACGCCCAACACTAGAATTTTGCTGAAATTTTCCAGTTGTGTCCCAACTCCCAAGGCAGTATTATAATTATATTCTAATGGTTAGGTTTCTAACTGCTGGCTAGAACTGCTTTAATTTCTTTAAAACAAGATTAAAGGCTAAATACCCAAAGTTGAAGTTCTAATCGAAATCAAAGAAGGCCTCTAAACAGCTATGGGATGTAATACTAGTGGATTAATTAAAAGCAGTTTTCTTTCTGATTGATAGGAGATGAGCTTGAAACTGGATCAATGTGAAAGTTTATTGGAAGGATGAAGTATGAAAGGAGAATCTGGTTGCTGCTCTCGTTTGATTCTTATTTCTAATACCTGGTTCCATTTCTAAATCCATAGATTAACCCTTTTGTGATTCAAATTACATTTAGAAAAGCTACTTTGGAATCGGATTCGCTTCGTTTAATTATTATTATTTATTTTTAAGACCGGTGGTTTTTTTATCCCATCAGGTTTTTAAGCATATGAATATTTTCAGTAGGAGCATTAATGGATGCAGTTTGCTAATTAAGAAGCACACGGTGATAAGAGTTACTTCTAGTAATTGATTATTTCTTAACCTGAAGAACAGAAAACACAAAGGTGGATATGTTGGAGGAATGAACATGTTTTTTATCTTGTAATTTTTACTGCTATCAATATACCATCTTTAATTCAGTGTAATTGTTCTCTTTTCCCTCCTTTTTACTTAAAATTCATTGCACACCATCAGGTTTACAGTTATTTTATTTTGTGACATCATGTATTTGCTAGACTTAATAATTTGTATTCAATTGTTCTCAACTTGAAATGGCTAGAAATCCATGTGGTATTATAGCAAATGGCTTCTAATTCATTTTTCACATGATTGATGCTTTACCATTCTGATACAGGACCTTCAGAATATTTTTGAAGTTTTTATGGGGCAGTTACGACAACTTTTTGGTCTTAAATCTGACAACCTTTATGTTGGTGCATCCGGCACATCCATCATTTTAGCCAGTGAAAGAGGCTTTACAGAATGGTAAGGCAATGTTCCATTATGATGCATTCAGATTTTTGGGGTTAAATAACTGTCTGAAATGCTTCATAAGAGATTTCATCCTTTTGGTTAGATGAAATTTGTTAAGCAAATATTAACCTGACCTATTAGAAGCTAAAGCCATGATTTTATTCAGATTGCCACAAAGGATTGCAATTTAGTTGGTTTTGTCACACGATTTTTGCCATTTGTTATATAATGATCTTGTAGTAGCGAGTTTTAGTTAATTAAAAAGCATAGGAATTTTGTTGAATATATTGTCCTTGGTAATAATATGTAGCTTTATATGATCTCCTTAACTGGTATATTCTTGTGCGATCATTCAGTCGGTCTGTATTTTTTCTGTTGCATCCTTTGTAGGGAATTGGATGTGTTATCGCGGCAGCATACTTGTTTTAACCTTGTTTCATGTGCTACCACCCTTGGATCACTTTCTCGACTGGTATTTCCTCGTTTCTTAATTTGTTCATAGATTTAACTTTGAGTTTGTGGATTGTGACAAAGTCCTCCATGCAGGTCCAATCACTTCCAAGGATGATTATCATGGATGAGATAGGAAAACAGGTGAGTAGTCAAGATTCACTTGTTGATTGATCATCTGTATTTTTCTACAGCTGCAATTTTCCAACTGCCATAATGAAAGTTTTGGCACCTGCCCTGAATTCAAGGACGGTTGTTGGGGTTCATTGCATCCATGCATGATTAAGAATATCTCGCCGCCTTTATAAATTATTAAAACAAGACAAAGAAAAGGAAAAAAAAAAAAAAAAAAAAAAAACACTTCCCTTGAACATGGATTGTATCTGGATTGAGTAAACTGTTCTACTTCTAATTGTGTTCGATAGTGTTGTTTTTTTTTTGTTTTTTGTTTTTTTTTTTTCCATTTTAGATTGCTAGCTAAAAATTTATTCATCTGAAAACAAGTGCTTTTAATTTTGGATACAGTAGTAGCATTAGCTGCAATTTTAACATTGTGGTTATTTCTCTGTGCAGGTAAGGTATTCTCTCCAGGATGCAAAATTAGCTCAAAGTAATGCGTCTCTTGGAATGTTGGATGCTTCGGCTGGTATGTTCCACTCCTACAATCCTACTTGTAGGGTGTACTTTCAATTTGCACGTGGCTTCAATTATGAATCTTTTGGCCGCGTTCCGTATGGCAGATAAATGCTAACAAATAGATTGCTTTATTTTATTGTGTAGTGTCCTCAAGGCAAGCTAGATCATTGGCAGAGGATGCCTTTTTTCACCCATCCATAATGTCTGTTAGCTACTTCTCAGTTGAGCATTGCTTTGCTGTCTACTCGGTTAGTTACATAACACTCAGACGTGTCTATCTTGATTCAGAGAAAGATGTTTATTTTGTAAAGTAAAGTACGTGGAGCTAGACTGGCAGACCAAATTTCTGACTACTTTATAGGGCGACCCATTGAAAATCTTATCATAAAAACGAGAAATTTGTCAACCTAAATGATCAAAGGATGATCTGAAAAGGGGTCCATTTGCTGTGATACTTGTATGTTTCAATATGAACTATTTTGCACATAAACAAACATGTCCTGTGAAAAAAATAATAGATGATTATTAGTAGATAAATTAATAAACATGCCTATAACTATGTTACATAGACCTTTCAAAATAGGTGAAGTGTCCCGGTCAGACATGTAATACTAGGGCATAGAGATTAGAGATGGGATATGTGTCCGACACTTTTGGTAAAACATGCACTTAAAAATATATATATATATCTAGTGTATTAATTCTAAATAAAATTATGGCTTTGAAAATAGTGAAACGCTAACATTGAATCGTAAGTTACATAAAAATATCGTTTTACTCTAAACAATAAAAGTAATATGAATATTTACTAGTGTTCACATGCCCTGTTTGGGGATTTGATGCACTTCTGCATAATTGCACCTGACATGTGATGACAATTTGATGTAATTGAATAATTCTCACTAACATGTCTTCAATTTTACAGCCATTCTTTCTACCAGTTTCATTGCACGTCCTTCTTGCAACTGCGAAAGAATGGAAAAGGTACAAGCAAGAAAGGAGTAAGTATCTAGCATGGAAAGCCAAAGCTAGAATCTGAATATTTCATAAATTATGTTGACATCAAGCAAGGCTGTGATATGTGGAGTGAGAGATGTTGATGTCAAATAGGCACGTTAACCATTGCGACATAGGGGTATAAGCTTCTGGTGCTGCTATTTGAAAGATATGATTCAGTGTCATCTCTTACCATCTCTCAGATCCAAAGATAATGCTGGCCGTTATGATTAGAATTACTGACAGATGTTGCCACTGTATTTTACTTTAGAGTGGTGAAAAGGTTGGTGAACATTTGGATTTTATGTGAGCTGTTGGTTTGTTGTGAATGTAAAAACGCACCATGTCCGTTGGATCTTGTTTGTTACTTGGTTCAATGGTAAGAGATCCATCGGAGGATGAGAATTTGTGCGCTGCTACATGCATATCTACGGTATACAATTTTCAAGAAGTCCTATAGCAACTGTATGCATATGTATTGATAGACTCGTGACTAATGTAATGCCAATTTTTGAAGTTGGAATGCAGAATTTTATGAGAAGAAATTTTGCCTAAAACAAATTTCGGTTAAATAGGTAGCTAAACTTGACTGCCACTATCAATAAAACTAGTATTACTCCTCTGGGAGTATTCTTTTTAGTCATAAACTCTTTTATCAAAATAATAATAATAATAATAATAAAAAAAAAAAACTTTTAGTGAGGGGCTCAAGTGGTTAGAAGCTTGGATTTGTCTTCGGAAGCATCAGTTTAAGATCGCTAATTAGTGTCCTCGGAATTAGCGGGCGAAGCCTGAATATCCCATTTCCGAAAGAAAAAAACAAGAAAAAAGAGATCATTCCGAAAAAATTAGCACCTTGTATATTTAAAAAACAGTAACATTCAATAAATCATTTCATTAGCTGTGGTTTTGGCTAACCAACTTGGCAATTGGCTAACATTTTCACAACTCTGTCAAACCATTCTCGACTTGATAATAAAACATATAGATAACACGATTTAAATAAGAGACATTTTCCATCTCAAGGGGCCTCTAAATGTCAAAAAGCATGAGGTGATGAAAATCTTAAATACGATGTTGCTCATTTTTAACAGGTGTTCATGTACATGGTACGAATGAATGTGGGTGGCACTAAATAGACTTAACGCCACTACCTCATGAACACTCACCACCGCAAATAGGGCACTAAATAGACTTAACGCCACTACTTCATAAACACTCGTCACTTCCTCCAATGTTGAAAAAAGCTCTCAAATGACTCGGAGAAACAACTTGATAAAATAAAGCATAAAACTCGTTAAATTTAAGTTGCTCTCAATCTTCTAGCTGATTGAAGCCATTTTCAGCAATACAATTGACAATTTCAGTCCCGAAAAGTTACATGCAGACACTTCGTACCAATTAAAACACAGGCCTGCTGATTTGTCGGATGTTAGACCAAAACATTGATATCCAGGCAAACAATCTAATGACCTGGTCCACTTCCAAATGTCAAACTTTTGACTCCAATGCCAACCGTATCTTCTTTCTTGGACCCTGAAACGCAAGGTGAGCCAAAAAGCTTAACATCAAATGTCAGCAAGGACAATAGAAAATGTGCATCTTTAAATGGTGTTTAGCATAAAGATCAATCTTGAAAATTCCTCATAGCAGCTATTAATGCTGATAAAAGTAAAATGCAATCCTTTGCAAAAATTACCAGACCAATTTTTTTTTGGCCATCGTCTTGAACGAGATTACAACTACAAGAGGTTAGAACACATTTATCCTGTAGGTTCTACGCACTACTATATGTACAAGTATATGATTCTAAATCTTTAATTAAAGAGGGTGAGTAGAGCAAATTCAGTGTCTGGCAAGATACCATGGTTTCTTAATAAAGGCGCTCGTGTGAAATAACTTTCAATATTACCAGGGAGCCTAAGAATCTCTAGTACAAAATAACTTGGCTAATACAAGCTTCATGGTAACAGTATTCCTAATCCAGTCCACCATGCCCCCAGCAAAATCAATCTCCAAAATCCCCCCCACACCAGATAGGCCACTAGCTCCAAATATCCTAAAAGTTGGTCTTTGGTGGGTAGGAGACTTTTTCACTCTCTTCCCCATCTCTTTTCTTTAACCCATAACTCCTGCAGTCTCCATTTTCAATCAATCTTAAATCTCCTCTCAAACAATGGATTTTCTGGACTCCCAACCTAAACAAATCCAATAATAAAATTTGGAGGTCATTTATCTCTTATACTTAACCAAGACCTTATATATTTCGAGCAATATCATTTTTTGATAAGTATATCTTAAGAGACTTTCATTGAGAGTCCATGGTTGAAATTCTATTCTTGTAACCAATACTATGTTTCTTCTCTCTTGTTGTAACCCATGAAGTTGAAGCCCTCAGATTTTAATAGTTGCTCCAGATAGGATTAATAATTGAAATTGTTGGACGAAAGAATATATAACCTTAGATCTCTCCTCTAATATTTACCATGTACAGACTGGCTGAGGAGATCACAGACAGCCTTTCCTTTCCCTGTGCTGATGCGAGCAAGTTTGGTTTTCCAACCAAAATCAGGCCAATGTCAACAAGTTTGGTCCTACCAAGATAGAAACTACTCTACAGATGTGTGACCCTCGCAGTCATTTAAAATGATTTAGAATGAAACACACAATATTTTATAATGAGTAGACCTTGCTTAACAAGGTTCAAAAAAATTTTGGTTCACTTTGCCTCAAGCAACCCACATTGACATTGCCTTAATATTTATGAATCACTCTGAAATACATCATGCAAGATTGCAAATGTATTTCAGCTCATACTACAAACCCATGTATCTCTGTCTATTTGAAACGCCCCTTATTTTTTGAGCTCAATGATGAAAACTCCTCTTCAGTTAATCAAAAGGGTATTGAGGGCTGTAATGGAAAGAAAAATTTGTAGCCCGTTCTATTATTAGACTGTAAGAGTAGCTTTGTAGCCAATCATATGAAAATGTGATTTTTCTTGTATGTTCAATAAGTCCATAAATTTTCCTAAAACCTTGCAGATTCTTCACTTGCTTAAGAAGATTATGCCCATGGTTCGAAGTTGTGGCTGAGACCACGATGATTAGTCCAAGACATCTTGGTCTCGTAAGGTTTGATCAGGAGACGTGGTACAAACATCTAAGGGTTCGGACATCGCCTTGTTAGGCATGGTGAGACATCTCGTGCACCACTGTCCCGTGACATCATGCAGGACATCTCGAGATGCCGTGATGATTAGTCTGACACATCATCTCGCCATCAGCCTGCAAAAACAGAGCTTTTGGCACTCTTTTGCAACTCAATCTTGCACTTTCTAAGCACATCCCACTTACCAGTCAAGTCTTTATCCTTCACTCTTAGGCCAACAAACAACACTCATGTCTCTCCTCCTTCATTCTCAAGCCATAAAACATATCAAACCACTTAATACCTGAGGTTTCTCTAAAACAATAAAATAGTATTTGCCTGATTTCAAATTTCAATTTAACTAAGTATCATTTTCAAATAGTAGTATTGTCTTTGTACATCTATATGTTATATCTTTGATCTATGAGTATCTATGCATTTTTTTAATTTAATTATATTTTATAAAAAATAATCAGTATACTACAATTCTGTAAATTCCTTGCAGATCTATATTGTTAAGGAAAAAACAGAATCAAAGCCCTAGGCTAGATTATAATTTATTTACAATGAGCAATTATTTTGAATTTTGTATACATTTCTCGTGCAATTATTTTGAACTTTTTATACTTATCTTCTTTTCTTTTCTTTTTTTAATTCAATAAAATTTATAAGTTACTAAACTAACAACTATATTCACAAATATAATATATATTCAACTACTTAATAAATCAAAGTAAACAACATCTTTTTATTGTTTATTCATTAAATGTTTATTTTGTTATATTGTAGTTGACAAATTCAGTAGTGGTTGTATGATCATTTAGACAATGTTACATGTACCAGATGGTGTATTTTGTTTATTTGCTTGATCCATTTTATTACTACAAATTCTTAAAATTTTCATTTTCTTTAAAGAAATTTCTACAGCAACACATATAGCTTATTTTTAGACAATTTTCAATAACAATCCACGACACTGCAACCAAGTTGTTTTGGGATCCCTCAAGTCAGTCACTAATACCGTGACTTTAGATCATGCTCATGCCTCACAAGATAATCAAAAGAATTCCTAAACCTGTGCCTTTTGAGCAGACTTCTTGGCCATAAGAGAGAGGAAATTTAAGGGAATGCTCAAGCGAGAATTTAGTGCCAGATAGTCTTTCTTATTTATTTAATTTTTTTTTTTTTTTTGGCTGCTTTGTCTGCATTCCTATTCTTTTTGTTTTTTATAGGATGGCCTACTCCTTGTATCTCTTCTATTCCCTTTTCATCAAAGTGTATATATATACATATATTTTTCATAAATAGATAAGAAAAAATGATAAAAACATTAGATGTGTTAAAAGTAATAAATCCTATATCAGAAAGTCCTCAAATCAACTAGCTAAGCAATATATATACTCAAGGCATAATGGTAAAATAGAAACTATACAAACGGCAGACTGAGTTTAGTTAAGATACCATTGGTATTCCTATGGCTTTGAGATCCTCATCACTCATGTGTATAAGGGCGTCCATATCAACCTGCAGAAGCAGCATTAAGTGTCAAAGTTGAAAGTAGTGATGGAATTTCTTAATGTAATGCTTAAAACTTACTATAAATACATGAAAGCGATAAAACTCTCTTACTTCCTCGGCTTGAAATGTAATTGCGTATTTTTCAAGACCCAGGGACTGCAGGAAACCGTCCACCGATTCAGCCTGCACCAAATATATATCACTTAGAAATAGGAAAACTGCCCAGTATCTGTATTTGGTCCCCAATCCCCATTATTGATATTTAAATTCATTTTTTCTTTTTTTTTAAATAAGTAAAATTGTATTAGAAAGCGTTCAAAAGAGGAACACATCCCAAGAGCTATACAAGAACCAAGAGCAAAAAAAGAAAGCCCAAGGATCCAAAGACCCCAAAAAGTCCAAAAACTCCTCAACAGAAGAACAATCTCTCCCCATACCCCAACTAAAAAGAGAGCAAATAATAGAATACTTAAGAGCCCCAATGGGTAACTCCTCCCCAACAAAGGATCTTCTATTGCGTTCTTTTCAGAGACACCACCAAATGCAGAGGGGAGTCGCCCTCCAGCAGTCGCGAACTCGAGCCCCCACCCTTTGTCCCCTCCAAATATCGATAAGACCTTGTGAGGTCCAAGGCATAACCCACTGAACGCCAAAAAGACCCAACATAAGGCTCCAACAGTCATGGGCCACTAAGCAGTGCAAGAGAAGGTGGTCCACAGACTCTCCATCAGTCATACACAGACAACACCGATTAACAATGACATGTCTCCTCTTCCTCAAATTGTCCAGAGTCGGGATCTTGCACCAATCAGCAGTCTAAGCAAAAAAAAGCCACCCTAAGAGGAGCCTTCGAATGCCAAACCGTTTTCCATGGATAAGAGGGGGCCTGAAAACCGGAAAGACAGAAGAAGAAAGACCGGACCTGAAAAGTCCCCTGCGAAGAGGGCACCCAAGTCAAAAGGTCCGCCCCAGTGCCATCCACCTCCTGTCGATATAAAAGGTCCAAGAAGGCAGTGACATCATCCAGCTCCTAATCCTGAAAAGCTCACCGGAACCGAACATCCCAAGATAACCTACCTCTATCAAGGCGATAGCAGTCGGCAACCAAAGCATGGCAATCCACAACAATCCTGAACAACCTTGGAAACCGTCGACACAATGACCGTTCCTCGCACCAAGGATCCTCCCAAAACCGGACACTCCGACCTTCCCGGACTCTGAATCTAATATGCTTAGAAAACTCATCCCAACCCTTCCCAATAGACTGCCACACACCCACACCGATACAGCTAAGATGATGTTAAGAATATACACACACCCCACCCAAAAAAGGGCAAAAAAAAAAAAAAATCCACAACTTCACTGAAAAATATATATATATATATATATTTTGATAAGTAACTGAAAAAAAAATTAATTGGCAACCTTCCAAGAGGGTGGTTCAACCTTTCAAACAGAACAAATAGACACAAGTTTAGATCATTGGTAAAACTGCTAATAAATGGACCATCTCCAGTGAACGCAAGTTTCAACGCAAAAAAATAAAGTGGTCATCTAAGTACATGATCAACGTATAATGACTAAAAAATCTTCCCTTCCAGAAGCTCAACTATTAAATACATTTGCAAATTAGCATAAATAAAGAAATTCAATCTAAATCTATATTGCACGAAAATAATAAAAACCAAAAGAAAAAGAAAAGAATAATAAAAAGAAACTGTTAACTTGAATCGCATTCTTGTCGCCAGCCACGCAAGTTTCAGTACCCGTTGGAATGCTTGTGTTTGTATTACACAACAGAAAAATAAAAAGAACAAAAACTCTTCTATAATTGCAAAACCGCATCTAATATTCATAGACACCTAAAGGATCTCAAACAAGACACTGTATTATCAACCCCCTCCCTTCAGGCGTAAAAACAGCAAATAGAACAAAAATATTGGTGCTGATTAGGACATAATAAGTCCATCACTGGCAGTTGAAGTATTAGATATAACACTGGAAATCCTTTGTAGTATGAAGAATATAAACAAACACATATCATATAAATCATGTGGCACTGCATACGAAGTTTCCAACCACGTGTGGTTACTAAAATAATAATTAAAATTTTATTTATTTTACATCTGAAAAATGTGTGCATAATATAACAGTTTGAATCTAGATATATACCTAAAAATGCACCGGTAACAACTTAGAACCTTATTCTTCATAAAAGTGATAAAATGCAAGGGCAGAGTAATATTTTAAAAGAAGAAAACGGTAAGATTTGTGCCTTTTGCTGAGTCTTTTTTCTAGAAACCGAGCTGGCAACTCCTTTGGTCTCAGGCACAGGGGCGTCAACAACAACACTTTTCTTAGCTGGTTTACTGCCCTCAAGTACTAATTTTGGCTTTGGAGGATTAGTGTTCACAGGCTTTGAATGCATGCTACCAGAGAGCTTTTCACGCAAATCCTTTACACCTCCTGAAAAAGATCCCTTTCCACTTTGAGTTGCTTGTTGGAGATTTTTTCTCTGAAGCTTCAAACGAAGATCTTTGGGACCAACTCTGCGATCTTTACAAGACAGCAACATAAAATCAAAAAATCTATGTACAGAAAGCTGCTATATCTCAAACAGTTCATACCTGAAACAAGTAAGCTGCAGCTTTTAGATGAACACAACTACATCTCAAACAATTCATACCTGAAACTTGAGGTTCATCATTGTAGAGATCGTGTTCCCACTTGTCATCATCCTGCCTCTGCCTGCAAAAGAAATGGCATTGATTCAAATAAAATATTTTAATTTGACAAACCAAATAGAAGGCTTTATGGCTCAATAACTATGGCACTCTCTACCTTACAAATGAATAAATAAATGAAAGGGCAAATTTTTGTAAACCCCCAATACTATCAAAAAGTGATCATAAAACCCCAACCAGTTTTATAAAACCCCCAATAATATAATAAAGTTATCATTTTACCCTGACTCTGTTAATTGGGGCCGTTAACCCAGCACGTGGTTAACAATTGCTTTGACAATTTGACTTTTTTGACGAAAATACCCCTGCTATAACATGTGCCAAACAAGTGATGTGTATTTAAATCTGTTATACCGAAAATACCCCCAACTATGTTATAGTAAAAACCCACCAAAGTTAACTTCACGTTTTACCAAAGTTAACTTCACTACGAATTTACCGGTTTTTAAATTTCAATCATCGTCCTCTTCGCTCTCTCCCGGAGCTATTGCCGGAAATACGATTGCATCTGTTGTATTCATTGTGTGTTTATCTGGGTTTTACTGATTTTGGCGAAAGACTACGAAAGAAGAAGAGGATGAGATTGAAGATTGGGAGCTCGAATACTGGCCGCACAGATATTCATACGAAGAGCTCAGTGAGGCCACCAATGGTTTCTCCAAAGATGAGCTTCTCGGGACTGGTGGGTTCGGCAAAGTATACAAAGCTACACTACCCAACAACACAGTCGTCGCCGTGAAGTGCGTGAACCACGATTCGAAGCAGGGTTTGAGAGAATTCATGGCGGAGATTTCGAGTATGGGTCGTCTTCAACACAAGAACTTGGTTCAAATGCGAGGTTGGTGTCAAAAGGGTAACGAATTGATGCTTGTGTTCGATTATATGCCGAATGGTAGCCTGAATCGATGGATATTCGACAAACCCAAGACGCTTTTGGGTTGGGATGATCGGAGAAAAATCCTCGCCGACGTTGCAGAGGGCTTGAACCATCTCCACCATGGTTGGGACCAAGTGGTGATTCACAGAGACATTAAGTCGAGCAACATTTTGTTGGGGTCTGACATGAGAGGTCGATTGGGTGATTTTGGTCTAGCGAAGTTGTATACGCAAGGGGAGGTGCCGAACACGACGAGAGTGGTGGGGACTTTGGGATATTTGGCGCCGGAGCAAAAATATACAGAAATTTGCCCTAAAGGATGAGAAATTATTGTATAAGGCAGCACCACTCCAAGTCACAGTCGCCATCGTCGGCGAGCCATCTCAGGTAATTGCAGATTCCCTCCCCGTTCCAGTTCACCGTACTCCAAATTCTCCCATTTGACGGCAAACCAAGCAATCTTCGAAGCCACCTACAGAGCGATGAAGATTCACATCGTCAATTTTGGGATTGGGCGATGGCGGACCTAGACTACGAAGCCAATGATCAGCGTTGAACAGAGATCGGCGTTGGTGACAATAGGGGAAGACTCCAGTGAAGGCGACAATGGTTCATACAATAATTTGTCCTAAAGGATAGTATTGGCACTAAACGTGGTCGTTTTGACCTAAAGGATAGTATTGTAATTTCAAAAATATGATTTTTTAGTTTTTTAAATAAAAGGAAATATAATAAGGGTAATTTAGTCATTTCATATACCCTTAATGCCCAATTGACAGAGTTAGGGTAAAATGATAACTTTATTATATTATTGGGGGTTTTTAAAACTGGTTGGGGTTTTTTGATCACTTTTTGATAGTATTGGGGGTTTACAGAAATTTGCCCTAAATGAAATTGGTGGAAGGGAAAAGTGCATCTATAGCATTGTCATCGCTAAATGCCCTATAGCTTTATAACTCAATCCACATTTAACCATATATCTCAAATAAAAATGTCATGCTTTTATTAGGATGCAAAATGCAAAACATATGATACATAAATGAGAACCCACATGTGCAATTATTTTGGGGCCTTTGGGCAATTCATAAAAATAAAAAATAAAAAAATAAATTTAAGTATATATATATATATTTCTTTAGGGAATCATAAGTATTCATACAAAAAAAAGGTATCAAAAGGTTTCCAGTTGGACATCTTTTAGATAGTCTTAAACTTTATTTCTGTTCCATTTGAATTTCAATCCCCTTCTGACCATATATATATACACAAACATGGAGGCAAAGGTAGGCTATGGCCAGGGCCACCCCAAAAAATTTTGAAATTTTAATTCATGCCCCCCGAAAATAGTGATTTTGTAAACAAACCTAACTTGCGCTCTCTGAATAGTGAGTTTGAAAAAAATATATATCTTTTACCACTCAAAACTTACAAAAAAATTCAACTCGAACATTTTTAGCCTTTCATTTGAAACAAAGATATAATTCATTATCATGGTAGTCTTTGCTGCAACATATCAATACTTCATTTACATTTACATACACACAAGTACAAACTATATTATATGAATTCAAGAGAGAGCGAAAAAAATTACACTAACATCCCTTCATATAAAAATAAATAAAGGGTAGTTTACACAAACCTCCCCTATGGTTTGCCATAATTACAGGAACCTCCCCTTCTGTTTGGGAAATTACTCGGACCTTCCTTACTTTTGAAAATATCCTACACGGACCTCCCTTATATGTGATGGACCATTAAATACACTAACAGACCTGTCAAAATTACTGAAATACCCTCTCTTTGGCATTTGAAATTGCTAAACTTCCCCCATAAGTTATTGGGTAGGCATGACATCAGCTTAAGTTTTCCATTAATTTAATTAATTTACCATTCCCTTTATATAGAAATACAGATTTACGTTCCTCATTCAAGAAACAACTGGATCTGTTTTCTTCAATCAGTAGATTTCTTCCGGTTTTGTTGATTTTGTTTACTTTTCAAACTTCTCTTCCATTATTATGAGTTCGATTCATTCATTTTCAAGATAATTGGAGATAGGGTTCCCCACTATGTAATGAGTTTAACTAAATAATTTGCTATGTTACATGGATTAGTTTAAATAAGTCAGGTATAGGCATTCTGTGATTCTAAGTGGGTTCATAGTCTTCCCTCAGACCCATTAGCAACATCATCATCACAAATGCTGCTGTTGTCTTCTGCACAGAGAAGGCTTAATACCGCACAATCAAAACTGGGTGCCATTGCAACACCTCAAAACTCTCTCTCTCTCTAAATTCGTGTGCTGCTTTCTCTGTGTTTTAATAATACATCTCATAAAATGGAAAAAGAGAACATGGGTTTCTTTCAACTGGTTGTTTTAGATAACAAATAGATGAAAAAATAGCGATTTCTGTGTAAAAAGAATTAATTGAGAAACAAAGAGTGAAAAGGAAAATACCTACAGGTGATGTTTCACATACGAGAGGTCCGGAATTATCTTTACTTTACTCTCATGGGGCTGCTGCACCTACCTGGGGTTTATATACTAATATTTGGAAGTTGATTATGAATCAAACCAAATTTTGTGGAAAATCTCATCTATCAGGCCTTTACATAAGAGTTTATCTGAGTGGTAAGCAGGCAAAAGACATCTATTATTTGACTTCCGATCAAATTGAGAAGGAACTGTGGCAATTAATAAATGAAGGCCCAATCCCCATCCCTGCTTGTTCAATCAACGACAAACTATGCAACGATTCATCTATTGAGCATTCAGCTTGCTTCTAAAACCACATGGACCCGTCTCGCTCTGTAACAGAAACGTTGCTGATAAAGCCGAAAGAGGGCAAAATTCCGCCATTGATGAACAGAGCTATATATATATATATATATATATATATATATATATATATAATATCAGGTATATATATATCTTTTAGATATAATATGAAATTATATAGATAAGGGTATTTTAGGAATTTTAGAAAAAATAGTAGATGACGTCATCAATTTCCATTGTTGACTGGCGTTGACCGTAACGGAAGGGAGATCCGTGTAGGATATTTTCAAAAGTAGGGGAGGTCCAAGTAATTTCCCAAACAGGAGGGGAGGTCCTGTAATTATGGCACATCGGGAAGGTTTGTGTAAATTATCCATAAATAAATAAATACAGGAATTTTCCCTAATAGACATTCTTTAATTGGAAGTTTACAAGAAAAACATCTAGAAATATATGCTAATGTTTTATTGAGCGACCGAGAGCACTGGAAAAAAGAGAAAACTAAGTGTTGTGGAACCAAGAAGACAAGATTGCCAACAACGTCATATACGCCAATATTTTTAGTTGTCTAATTATAGGAATATGATGACATTATGACTGCATTGGGCACATAGAGAAAAGTCGTTGCCAAGAAAGATAAGTTTCTTTCACTTCAAAGTTTGACCTTAAATGGAATTATGAAACCAATTCATTTTAGTTGTATCAAACACATTTAATTGAGAATCACTCAATTTATTCAGTTTAAGTACTTAATTGGGTTATCAAACAACACTTAGACAATTCTCTAAGCTTATCCCTTCTTGATGAGAGTAGCCCTGTTTTCCCATATTAAAGTTGTCATAACTTTAGGTTGTCAGAAAGAAAAGCTTCACTTCACAATAGTATAATCAAGCTGTGCTGCGTGCCTTCATTTGTGCAACATTGATGCTCAAGTATGAGTAGTGTTGGGATAAGGGTCTAGATATTTCGGAATCTCAAATTTTCATCTCTCATTGGAATGAGGCAGCAATTTTTTTATTTTTGTTTACGAGTGTCAAAAGAAATACTATAGGATGTAAATTAGTGCAAAATTGTGAGTAACACTCTCTTCCATATAATAGTCTAAGCCTGGGGAAATTGCAAAATTACGGTTATTGTGCATGCATGAGAATGTGTACAAATGAGAAGAAAGAAAGGAGGATAAGAAGAATGAAACAATAAACTGAGTTGTACATTCTAGATTACCCCATTGGAGTAATGCACTTGACCACGAAGCAGGTGAAAAATAAATTTCTCCTAACATCAGCACCCAGTACATCTATTTCCCCAAACTAGTCAAATCAAGCCCCATATTGCAAATTAGGGAGCGGGTTTGATAAAATTTATAAATCACAACAAAGAGCTGACTTGCATCATTCACACCGAATTATGAACAAATAAATTCTCAAAAGTCTATAAAACTTTGCTATCTATCCCCACCCACAAAACCAACCACAAAACTTAGCTGTTTCCACAAAATAAATAACTCAAAACCAACGTTCATAATTTGGTAAATATTCAATATATAAATGCAACACAGTCCAGAAAGGAAAGAGAGATAGACTGATTTCAAATTCAAAAAAACATAATAGAAGTTTAACCTACAGTCCAGAATAAGCAATCAATACTCAAAAAGATCACCGCATGCAGCAAAGAAACGAAACTAATCGAATCATTAAAATCAAGTTAGCACATTCCTATACAGACAATGAGAGCGAAAGAAGTCTAGAAAACATTCAAAACACCACACCAACAAAGAGTAGAGAGAGAAAGCCAACCTCTTGCGGACGATTTGCCTTCGGCGTCCGGAATCGTCTACGCTGCTGCCATTAAGGCGATCCTTTATTGACGTCTTCGCTGCAGCTTCCACTCGATCAGCATACATGGTATTATTATTACACAATCCAAACAATCACCACGCTTTCGCAGTTTGAAACCCTAACCCTAATCCAAAAAGTAAACTTAATTAAATTTAAGAATCGATTTCTATAGAGAGAGAGAGGAAGTTGTTGGATATTTTCCGACGACGAATTTATGAAGAAAGAAAGCAAGGTACATCAAGAGTTATAAACTTACAATTCACTGATTAAACGATTTGGGCATTTTCTTGAAAACGGGTGGCACCGTGATATTTGAATGTCCTTAACCCATCCACCCATAGACCCGACCCGTTCTCTGAATCCTAGACACCTGCTTCTTCTTTTTTTCGTTTTCTTTTTTTCAGCCAAATCAGACGAAAATAAAAGAAAGTTGACGAATGGAAATAAAATATTGCATTTGGTATATATTTTAAAGAAAAAGAAAGAAAATGGAAGGATTCAAATTAGGCTGATGTGTTGGTTTTGTTACCATTCAAAAAAACAAAAAATGGAACAAAGCAGAATGGGAGTATAAATTTTGTAATAAAATTATATTAATTCAAAAAATTTTACCAGGACAATATATATATATATATATATAAAATAAATTCATTAAAATAATTTTTTCATTTTTCTTCAAATATGATTATTATTTTTATATATTTTTTTCAAATTAATCAAGATAAGTAATTATTACTATCATCTCATATCTTTTATTTTTTCTCTCATTTCTTTATCTTTTCCACTCTACCAGACATGGCATAGAGGAAAGGAATAAGTATTGTATTAGTTGATTGCTATATTCGAGTATAATTAAAAGTAAACTTTTATCAGGGGCAACAAAGAGGGAAGGCACCCTTCCCTTCTTCGACAAAAGGGCCTTCTGTCTCTTTTTTCCTCTATTCCAACTATTGCAAACCCGACTAATCGGCTCTCACAAAAAAGTGGGACCTATCACAACCGCAGGTGGTGGGTCCAACTCTACGTGGTGTCGTCAAGTTACAAAATTTCCCCATACATACACACATTGTGATGGGGATTGACGGTCAAAAAGAAAAAAGTTCCATTTTTCCGAATAAAGAAATAATACTTACAGAGCAAAGTAGGCTATGTCATGTCAATAAATGGGTCAGTAAGTCCAGATTATGCAATTCTCCTACAATTCATTAACACAAATAACAAAGTACTTTGATATCACAATCCAGACTCCGAACAAAAGCTCAGACAATACTAATGTTCCAGATAAGTGATGTTGGATCTTATTGAGAGATGAATAAGCTGGAACAACATATTCTACAATCATTTCCAAACTATTGTATAATTTACAAACCCTCATAAACAGGATAGACCCCAACATAAGACTCGAGAACATTATGTTCTCGAATGGATACAAACTCTCAAGTTACATTTTCGCTATAGCCACGTTTTATCATAATTTGAAGAAGTCAATCACCCTGGAAGAACCTTAATCTTCTTTCATTTTGATAGAAGTCCAAAAAAGGGATTCGTTATTGCAGAGTTTAACAAATTCCCAGCTGATCTTAGTACTTCCATGTCAACCTTGTCCCTAGGAAAAAATAAAAACTCACCTCCTTCATCTCTCTCGAACCCACAATGCTCAAGAAACTCAATACCTTCTTTCAATTTCCCAACTCTATCCTGTTATTTAGAACACAAATTAATCAGTTAGTTTGTTATGAAACAGAAAATTCCATTAATTTGGCAGAACTTCGTAAACTTAGTAAAGAGTCACTGCTTGGTGCAACGGTAAATATTAAACAATCACTTTCCCAAAAGTCCCAGAAGCAATTGATTGTACATCATGAATAATGAACAAGCCAGGAACTAGATTAGCTTAAATGGATCCTCAAATTTATCAATCTAAGAGAGCAAACTGTTTACAAACTCTACATCAATTATGATGGTTTGAGGAAAAAGCTAGGGATGATGGTCAGCAGTTATATACTTATTCCTTTATATGTATGGGTCAACGATTGGTGCATGGTAACGCTATGCAGGTTTGACTCTCAGAGCTATTACTGATTAAAACAAGATAATGAAGGGATTAGTCAGGTGGGGTAGTTTATCTTTACGTGTGTGTAGTTATATCTACACATATAATAGAAAAACCCATTAGATTTTCTAGAAATTAAAGATTTTGTTGGTATCCAGAGGCAGCCCAAGAAGAAAGGGTCATTCAAACTCTGCATCTTACGTGTTGAAAATGTAGACACATGCAAGGGACATTTTTGTCAAATTTTTGATGTGCATGCTAACAATAACTCAACGATTGAGCTTTTAGGATAAAATAAATCAATTGTTAGGTCTTTTGGATGTAAAAATATTTTCCAGGGTTTTAGCATTTAAAAAAATTAAACAAATAGAAACATTTTGTGATATTTTTTCCAACAAAGGAAACTACTTTTTATTGATAATGGTAATTATATGCAGTACACATGCATATATATGTCTATATCTATGCATTATTTTAGAATTTTAGTGACCCTCCCTGTTCTTTCCCTTGAAGGAATGAATATTGGATTCACCATTGAATTGAGGTACAATGTTGGGGGCATATTAGAGATCCATATTAGAGGTCCATCCATCCATCCCTCTATCTTCTTTTTCTTTTGCTATATTTTGGAACTCCAAAATACATTGTCAACTAAGAGTTGGCCAAGTGGTCAGAAAAAAAGTTGGAGAAAATTAGCGTCTAGTACCAACCCTAGATTTCCCACCTACTGGATATTTGAACCTTTCAGAGGGCAGATTATTTCTGCATCATTTTTATCAACAAAATCTATAAAATGAGAGACTTACCCTGAAGGCTGGATTAGATAGTCGGATCTTCCTATATTTTTCCTCATTAGGATTATTTGCAACATTTCTGACATATATCAAAAGAGTTAGGAATGCCCTCTTCACTTTTGCATCGTCATCCTAGATCCAACAAAAAAAGAGGGAGGGGGGTCATAGAAAGTAATACGTATATAAAACAAAGCTGCAAAATAATAAAGGATGTTGCACGTTTACTTTGAATCAAAAGCACCTTTCTGCTAATGATCATTGTCCTATTCTGAGTGATTTTATCCTAACACCCTCTAAAATAGGATTTCCAGTATACACATAAGCTTAAATTTATTCAGAGAAATGAACACCCATTTAATTTCTAACAAGCATGCCAGATGAGCAATGAAGGTAAAATGTTCATAACAAAAGTTATAAGAAGGTTGTACAGTTAGAACAAAAGTAACCCCTCCCAGAGAAGTACAAGCATTATATACTGCAATGAGAAAAAGGTTCAATATTCAGAAAACTTACGACTACCTCTTTATCATTCTATATCAATTTATGCTACTATGTCACTGTAGCAACAACAAGCAGCCTATATGCGTTTATATTTTCAGACTCATGATTATCCTACTAGAAGCTACCATGACATGACACAAAACAAAATCATTTACCATGTGGTTGCGCTTGAGAGATCTTAAACAGTCTCTCATAAGCTCTGCTTTTGTAGCAATAGAAGGCAACGTAGCAGACCAAACTGGCACCGAGTTCTGCAAAATGGGAGAACACTTAAAACAATTCAAGTTCTATCGGACTGCTGCAATCTTTGAATAAATAAATATGATATCAAATATCCAAACCTTTTCTTCCTGCATTATAGGTGTGGTAGATTTTAAAGATGCAGGACCTTCTGGAGGCAACCCAAGTCTCCCCCTTCTTTCAGCCTGTGAAGATAAACATACAACGGTCATCTAAGAATTCTAGGGATACATCAAGTCACATGCATGTTGTCCAACTCATATCCAGACTCGTAAGAATCGTACTGAGTTGATAAAAAAAAAAAAAAAAAATTAACGACAATTAAATTGAATGATTAATAGAAAAGGAATATCGGATAAGTTTAACAGTTGAAATTTTCTGAGAGCTTTCCAGTCTATGAGATGGCAGAGAAAATTTATGAACAGGGAACTGAAGAAATCCATTCTAACTGTATTTTTTGTATAAAAGAAAATTCGTCTACTATATTTCACTGGTGTAAACTAGAAAATATCAGTATACATGCACATAGCAACAGTAGCAACAGATTAAGACAATTTTGAGAGAATTATAATAATTAATACAATCAACTGCGCCACAATGCTGTTTTTAGCTGTATGAAAAATTAGAGGTAAAGAAGCCCAGCGAAAACCTTATCTTGCTGCAGTTTCTGACGAATTTTATCCCTTGCTCTTTTCTGTTCTTCTTTCTCTACTTTTCGCAGGGCTAGAAATCTTAGATAACAGAGAACAAACAATAACTATGAGTATACAAAAACAGAAAACATTATAAACTATAAAGAGAATGTAATACTACCATGTAAATTACTACTGTATAAATTAACACTACTATGAATCCATGACAAACCGTTTTCTTTCACTTTCTTCTGCCATTCTCTTTTCCTCAAGAAGTTCCTTACCTCCTCGAATCCTCTCCTGTAAGTGATTACAAAACATTTAAGTTTACTTAATAGATGCGGGATCAGATTGCATGTAAAATAGAAAGCAAAAAGACCTATATTTTTGTTTTGGTGAGTAATAGCAATCTCAGTGAACAGATTTATTGAATACGCTTCAGTAATAAAATTACAGAAAATATCAATAGAAAACACAGGTAACATATTATGGAGCAACAAAGTAAGCAAGAAATCAGAGTTATTCACTGGACTAAAAAGGAACATAGCTATACCAAAATTAAAAATTAGAAATAGAATAAAGCAAAGTGATCTAACATGAACGCAACTTCTTGTTGAAGTGATGTGGAACAAAATCATGAGGTAAATCTCACTAAAATTTGAATTTACTTTTCATTTCTTAATGTAAGCAAAGTGATCCTTACGTTCAGTCTTTTACACTTGGTCACCGCAAATCCACATTTTAGTAGAGGTATCACTTGATAACATAATTCAGAAAACCAATTTCAGTAAATATTATAACTTGCTTGATTGTATTTTTGACATGTGCTTCAATATGTAATACATCCTCTCTTCTAGTTGATAGGGATGAGCAGTGAAGTATTGTTACTCTCCCCAGCACACAAACATCCAACACTGCTAACCTTTGACAACCCAAAGATTTTTAAAAAGAGAAACAGAGATATGTTACACATTCTCCGCGAATGCAGGTTCTAATCTTGAGAACAACCACCTTGTGCAAATAATGTGAAAGGTTAGGTCTATATTCAGTTCACCCCTCCCAGCACCCTTGATTTTTTTAACACTTTCTCAAACCGTTCAGCTTGCAAAGATCAAGATATATTGATAGATCAGACAAATTTCTTGGAAAAATAATAAACCACAAAATTCCCAATCTCAGTTATAGACATTCAATTCGCCACAATGTTAGGAGAAAATCAAAGATCAAACAGCAGAAGGAAGAGAGAATCAACATATCTCAAAAGTACCTTCTCCTTTTCTCTTTCCACTTTCTCTTTTTCCTCTTCTTTTTCCCTGCGTGCTCGATCCCTAAAATTGAGTGAAAGGGGAAACGATCATGATGAGAAGGACACAACCAGAAGTGATGCTATGAACACAGAAGTGATGCTATGAACAGAGAAGCAACTTCATAAGAAAGCTTTTGCAAGTGATGGTTACTAGAGGATTCAGATAAACAATAACAAACAAGACCGAATTAGACGTTAATCGTTAAAGAGAAACTTCAAAGGGCTTCACCATAAAGGAAATGCCATAATCAAACCTTAGTTCTTGTGCTTTTATCTTCACTTGTTCAGTGATATAAGAAGGTTCAGAAGCTTCAATCTCAATGTTCACTGGAACCTGGATGTACTTGAACAAGTAAAACAGTTAATCCCCATTAAAGTAAATTCAAAATATTACATAGTTTTCAGGGGTTGTAAGTCAGATGCAATAATGTAGACTAAGTACCTAAATGAACAAGTATTCTAAAGACAAACATATGATTTCAAATACGCACGTTAGGCAATAAAGCAGAACCCCAAAACATATCTTTGCACATAAAGAAAGATTTTCAGAGATTGTATATGTAGTAATATAGACTAAGATACCTAAAAACACCACTAGTTTTAAGTAAAGCGTATGACTACAGAAACTCATCATGCAATAAAGCAGGTCCCCGGACATATCCTAGCAGACAAAGGCATGGAAATTTTTGAGCTCTCCTCTCATGAAGGATGAGATCCACCAACAACAACAAGAGTGAAAGAAACTAAGGTCCAACATATTTTGACGTCTTGACAAAGCTCATTAAACATTCACAATGGAAGCTCTTCAACAAAATATGAATCCCAAGGTAAAAGGAATCGTGCAGCATAATACACAAAACAAGAACCGAATATCGCCCAATGTAGCTAATAGAGAGATTTTTTCAGATAAGGTACTTAGATGAAAGACTTCAAGATTATAGTTATGCCCCCTGGGAGAATGATAAATAGTGTAGACTCTCCCTCCCACACCTCTCCTTTCCCTCCTCGTTTTCAAAAGAAACATGATATGAGCTCTCCCTCCTCCTTTCCCTCAACTCCCTCAATTCAAACACAAAAGGAAGATAAAAGGAACCATACCAAGGGCATCTGATTGATATCGGGGTCATTCTCATGATCAACAATCCAATTCACAGCAGCCTCAATATTAGAATTACCTGAAGAATAGAAAACTCATATTCACAAAACAGTAGAGATGCATGGACTGAATATAAATGGACTCGAAGTTGGCAGTCTGTGCTTTAGCTATTAAGGCTAAATGTTGCTCACTTCTTAGACCTTCACAAAGCTCAAGTCATGGAATCAATAAACTTGATAACTGAAGGTGATTTCAAAGTCCATTTTAAATAAATGGTTGCTTCGTTTGGTAGAGGAGAAGAGGGAAGGGAAAGGAATGGACCACCAAAGAAGGACTGAAGCATCTTCCCTCCTTTTTTTACATTTTTTATCTTCCATGAAAAGCATATTGTAATTATTGAAAAATGTACTAGTTGAACAAGAAATAATCCTTCCTTTCCTCCTTTTTGCATTTAGTTTGACTAAACAATATAAGGGAATGGTTCCTTCATTTCCTTAGGAATACGTCATTCGTACTTCATACTTTCTCTTCCTTCCACTTGTCCATTCATTAGGGCCTTGGCGATATCCTTCTGTATTTCCCATTCTCCATGATAAAAAAACTTCCTGTCCTATGAAATATACGTACTATTTATTCAGGAAAAAAAGATATACACACTATTTTATATTAATGGACAGACCAGAATGATGGAGTGCCCTCGTTGCCCAAGCCGGTGGAAATCCCATTGCTTCAAGTTCACTTAGAAATTTCTTGTTTACTTGTGGAACAGCCATTTCTGATGTATTAAAAAAATAAAAAAGGATATCAATTAATTACAAATCTCAAAATTAAATTGAAACAAGGTACAAAGAGATCTCCACAGTTCACCAAGCGAAAACATGTTCAAGAAAATAAGTGAAGGTATATAATTAAAACTCAAAGAAGTCGGTATGAGCTACAAATATATATATATATATAGATATATATATTATTATTATAAACCAATATCCAGATCTATCAAGGGTAAAACATAATTAAACATAGAAAATTAGAAATGATATGGGTCTATGCATTGGCGCTATTATGTTTTACAATGTAATATATAGGGATGCTATTTAGAACTCACCTGAATGCATTTCATATTCATATTCATATTTCTTGTCATTGTCTAAAAATTCCTTGATATAGGCTATTGAATGTAGCTTTTTAGAGATACCCAAAAGATAATAACATTTAAGGTGATAATAGCTTAAGACCTACCTTGGGAAAACAATGACCAAAACAGAATTGGTGGGTTCTGCGATAATGAACAACAGAACGGAGAGCGGCAGTGAAAGAGTTCTTGATGTTGATATAGATATTGTATTTGCTAGAGGTGGTATTGTGAATTTAGATCAATGGTAGCAGTTTCGTAGCTGGAACTATTTTTTGTGGTAGTGGCGGAACTGGTTGTGGTAACAATGGTTAACATGGGTATAATAATGGGAGCAGGCCTGCTATGTTTGTGTGGCAATGATGATGGTACAAGGGAATAATAGTCCGATATATGGACAAACAGCATCTAATAATTTAGTCTACACACACATATAAAAGAAAATAATTCAAAACTACGTTCATTTTGCTATCAAGAATAAAAAAGATAAGACCCAGGGATGGGAATAAAAAGACCATAACCATGAGAATGCTACCAACACAAATGTAAATAGAATAAGACCAATACATCTGCAAAAATTGACCAGACAAAAATGCCTGAAGATATAAGAGAAATAAATATAAAAATCTTCACAATACAAATCAAAGTACACTAAAATAGTTGAATCTCTACTTATCAAAAAAAAAATTATCAATAAAAATAAACCATTAAAGAATGAAAAAGAAGTTAGAAATCATACGGATATGGACACAGAAGGCTGGCGATGAAAAGTGGAGAGTTGTCAAATGGCGTCTCTGGTTGAATTGGGAAAAAATTGGAATGAAAATTGAGGAATAAATATTGTTGATGCTTGTCCGCGGACTTGGGTAGAGCCCTAGTAGAGGCCAAGAACCTCAAAGAGAAAACCGCCATTAAAGATTACCAGATGCTGATTCTTTACCGAGTCGAGCAAAAATCCCTAGAAGCAACCTTCTGGGTTGGTCTACACACACTCCCTCTAATTCCTGAGAAACATTACTAATTCTTCTATACTAGAATTTATACATTTTGGCTACGAAAGGAATTTCGGTCATCAGGGAGCAACGGATAGGCGCGTGCTGAGCAAGCGGGATTTTTCTTTTTAAATTTAAAAAAATAAATAAATAATAAAAAAAACTACGCACCCCATTAATATTGGTCCAACTGCAATAAACTTCACAAAACTTCCGACTCACAACTCGAGGCCTAACCCAAATATTCAACTCTAATTGCTGAATTCAAATTTGATCTATCTTTTTATTGGGAAAAGTGCAAAAAATCCTCTTAAATTATTGAAAAATTTACAATTAAGCCCCTAAATTATCAAAATCACATAAAAACTCCCCGAACTATATATATTTGTTATAGATCACTCTATCCAGCCACCGGGCTTCCAAAAATGAGCGCGTGAGAATCACGCTACAGACAAATTAAATTTTTGGGACAATAATGCCCTTCCACCGTCTACTACATCACCTCCTCCGACTTCAACCCGTAGTCGTCGCCCCAACAGCACCACCACCCACTTCTACAAACCCATAACCACCACCACCACCCATCACCCCATTCTAAATCGATGACCAAGTAAAACCTCAAACCCATAACTACCACCCCCTTCAACCAAAACCATCACCGCTTCTCCACCCAAAACCTCCACAATCACCACTTATCCCCATTACAAAGCCAACCCAATTGGAAAAAATTAATTAATTAATTAATCATATGCTCTCTGCAAAACCAAGCCCATCCTCCACGCGCCGCCGTCATCACCCATCATCGTCGTCACCAATCGCACAACCCAATCGCCGACGTCGTCAATCGCCAATCGATGGCCCAAACGCATAACCCAATCGCCGTTCACTTAACCCGTTTTCGACTGTGATGAGAGAAGCGACGGACAACGACTTGTAAAGCCAAATCATCCTATTCTCTTGAACGAGGCAGCTTTGCTTTTCTTCTGTGAGTCAATTTTTCTCTCTTTGGTTGCTCCAAATCGTGATTCCGGCGATAACAAAGCAGGCAGTGAAGAGGAGATGGGCGAAGACTGATCCTGATCGGCGGCAGAGTTGGGGTGATGACGGTAGGCTTTGCACAGCGGCTGGGATGTCTTACTGCGACTGTAGAAGTCGCTAATCCATTGCAAATGGATGGGCTGTGAGAAAGAACTTTTCGACGAATAAGGAGCAAGTCTGAACCGGCGATGGAGTGGGTCTGGATCGAATCGGCGATGATCGGGCTTTGCACAGCGAGTCTGCTAGTTTCACTGTAGACTCTGTAATAGTTGGTCTTGCAACTGGGGTGTGGGTATTGAATTTAATCGCAGAGGTGATGGGTTTAATTGCAGAGGTGATTGGGTATGGAGCATCTCAGTTGGTGTGTCTAAACACAAATTAATTTGGGGAAATTTGGTTAAAGCCATGTTTGGCTTTGTTGCTTATAAGGACTAGGAGGTGTGACCACCGCCTTTGACTCTGGTCCTCATGTCGACGCCGGCGAAGCGGTGGCGACCCAGGAAGAGGATGGGCTCGTACGCCTTAGAGCGGAAAATAAAGAGAGGTTGGTTAATTGAGGGTAATGTTGTCTTTTGGCTTTTTCGGCACTCTACTGTTTGTTCAAGGGGGTTAAATGCAACAATTTGTTAGTTTAAGGGGATTTTATGTAGTTCAAGGGGGTTAGTTACAAAACCCCAATAGTTCAAAGGGGAGTTTTTTACACTTTTCTCCTTTTTATTTTTAAACTCGGACTCGGGCTGAACTTTAGGTTAATAAGTCACATGTTACAAAGGAAATTTGTCCCACATTGAATTTAGATAAGAGAATGATTGCATAAATAAGCAAGCGCCCACTTATAGTAGTTATAGTTGTATTTTTTAAAAGTCATTTATCTAGCAATTTTACCCATCTCCAAGAATGCAGTAAACACAAAATGAAACTCTTCCCTCATCCTTTAAACCCATTAACCCTTCATTTCCTCCACATTAATTATTTGTCTAAACCCATTAACCCCGCAAGAAGAGCAATGGATTATATATATATATTGAGGATGCCAAAAACGGCATGGGCTAGATACGATCCAGATATGACCCGCGAAAGGAACATCGGATTAAGCGATTGGTTTCAGCCCACATAGAGGCACTGCAGAATGGGCTAAGCCTCTGAGATCTACTCGGCAAAGTCAGGCCCATTAGGAAGGAAGCCCGAAGCTGGGGACCCAGCATAAGAAATCAGTTATGACATCCCAATAGTGCTTGTAATTGCCTATAAATATACAAGAATGTTGCATTAGAAAAGGCAATTGGAATGAAACTCTAAAGAAATTTAGATAGATATTTTCTTGCATTTACAATTGGCGTCGTCTGTGGGAAACGTTGAAGATTGATGCATGTTTGATCAACATCATGTTGATTCAGACTGATTCGTGAAGACGAAGCTTGATTTTTGGAAGTTGAATCCAGATCTAAGGGATTGCGGTTTGCTCTTGAGAAGTTCTTGATTCTTGATTGATTTTGAGAAATTGGCGTCAGATTTACGCAATGGTGATTCATTCTATTGTAGCTTGATCTGACAAGTTCAAAGCCAAGAAAGCTCAGATTTAGCAAATGGTGAACGTAATTCATAAAATTTGAGTCCGGATATGACGTGATTCGCGTTAGTGAAGCTCAGATCTGTGATACCCCCTAATTTCGGAACACGGGTTGATCAAATCCGTGCACAAAATTAAGGGATATCAAAACAATTAAAGTATTTCAAACAAGCACAGAGTACAAAAAGAAAATAAAAAGAATAAATAACTCGCTGAAGGAAAATCTATTAAATAATAAATTTCCATTAATAATTCTCCAAATGTTACAACTCGGGAATTCCATAAATCAAGGACCCCTTAACATAATCCATTAATCCAGTGAACTCTAAATTAAGTCTATCATCTAATAATAAGAAAATATCCTATATTGAAATAAGAAGAAATAATGGATAAGTCCTCCAGCTGCGGATTCTCAACCTTGAGACTTGAACTTTTAATAACTTGAAAAACAAATCACGAAAACCCTACGAGCAAGCTCTCTCTACCTAGCATCTGAAACCCAATAAAAAGATCATCTCTGACCAAAGCCAATCCTAATAAAGCTTTTATCTTTAGTACACCATGATATGCATATATACATAATTATATATACTACATTAGTTACATCTATTACTAGGTTCATTAAATTCAAAAGTACTAAACAATGATTAAATGAACAATCATTCCTAGACCAATCTACAATTCATATTTCTTTTAAAAAGAAACTCCATTGACCATAATTCCATTATAGTCAATTGTTGAATCATTTAAACAATCAATTATAATAAAAGGAAAATTATATTAAATTTCAAATCCCGATAATGATTTTTATTCACTAAATCACATAGCCAATATCTAGGCTTTGACAAATCATCCATGTCTCTCCCAGTATTATTTTATTGCTATACATAAAATAATATACTAACTTTTAAACACTAGATTATTCTAATGTATTCCTAATCCAACTGATACACACAATAACCCTATATAAAATTTTAATCATCTAGCACATACCAATTTAATTATGCTTTGGCAAATCAACCATGCCCTTATAAATATATTTATTTATATATTTGCAACTCAATCATGCCTCCTTAAGTATAATTATTTATACTTTGGCAATTCAACCATGTTTCCATAAGTATATTTATTCATACATTTAATTAGTTACTCATCCATACTTCCCATGTATGTATTCTATTCATACAAATATTTAGGTAATATTTTTAATCCTTTGACAATTCATCCATACCTACACTTTAACCATGAATCACTTTAAACTTAACAATACGCTAAATTATACATAACCATCTCATGCATATTATACGCATATCATTAATTTAATAATCAACCTATCAAGATATACCAAATAAGAATGATAATATTAATCATCTTAAATGGTATATATATATATATACATATACACCTACACATATATTATTTAATATATATATGTTTTTAACACCTTCCTTAATAATCCTTAATTATTTAAAATTAACATCCTTAATAATCCTTAATTATTTAAAATCAACATACATACATATATATATATATATATATATATACACTTTCTTCCATAACAAATTATTAATTTATTATATTTACACAAATTAATGCTACTAAATATGTCATAAATAATTTTCCAAAAATACTCCATATCGGTTTAAATAGTTTTCCGACACCATCTCACTAAAACGTAAATTACTCCTAGTAGGATGGGAATCTAATAATAAAATTGGAACCATTGGAAAGAGGACGAAAAATCCTTGAATTTGAGCTCAAGAATGACCCAATTTCGATTTAAGATGACTAAGTTATGACCTTTTTAATTTTATGTCACAAACAAGAAAAATAATTGGCTGAGCACAAACACTACTGTGAGCGCGCCCACACAGGATTAACTCACTTGAGCTCACACAAATGCACCCACACCAGATCATTCTTCTGTTGACCAAACCTAATCCATGGTCCAGATTCACATGTGCACTCTATTGTGTACACCGTAATGCACCGAATCATTCCACTTATATTTAAACTATTCCAATGGCCCAGATCAGTGATGTAACCCCTTACCATGCATACTACCACACTAGATCATAGAATTAATTTAAAATTTAATAAAAATAATTCTAAAATAAATTCTAGAATATAAAAAAAATTACAAAACAAATTCTAAAAATATTCTGAAAAACACAGAAAAATTCCAGAAAATATAAAAACCAAATTAATCCCTTTGGGTCACAGTTCCACCTATACATTGATTTTAAAATATATATACAACACCTACATATACAAATAAAATCCAATAATCCAAAATTTAAAATATATAATAATTCATACTTTTAAATAATCATATCTAAACATGATTTAATCAAATAAATTAACTTGATGCTTTAATTAAGCCAAATTAATAATTTAATTAAAGTCTTAATACTCAAGGTGAAATCATTATGGGTTATAAGAGGAAAAATAGAGAAAACTCGCCTGAAAGTTTCGAAATGAAACCGACGTTTCAAGCCTTGATTGTTTCTTCCAATTTCGGCATCATCTTTCTCAGATCCAGCATTCTCCTTGTCAGCCCTCTCTTCTTCTTTCTTCGCCTCTCCTATTTTTCTAACGTGACAAATTTTTATCGATAAAACCTTCAGTGTATATTTATACACATTAATATCTAATCTTATTCCAATAATGACTATTAAATAAAAGGAAACTAATAATCATTAATTAATATATATATATCTAGACACACATATTATATATAATATATTTATGCATATTACATTCCATAATTAATTATTAATTAATTAAATCATATATACATATATATATCCATAAATATATATATATCTATATATATAGTCTTCCATAACACTTATTAATTAATTATATTTATATATAATTAAATATATATTTATAATTATACAAAAAATGATAATTTAAATAATCATAAAATCATGGGCTTTATTAATTAACCTAATAAGGCTTCATTCAAGCCTAAGACCATATCCTTTGATCCAACTTTCCTTAAGCCTAATCCAATTAATTTAAATAAATAAAATAATTAAATAAACACTTAAATTAAAAAAATTAATTACACTAAGCACATAAACAAAACAATAAATTACAACCAAGTCATACCATACCAATAAAATCAACACGCCAACAATTCAATCAATAATTAAGCACACACACAACAATCGTCATATCAATAATTCACAAAATATAAATAAAATAAAATAATTAATCTAAGCACTCAATAAAACAAATCAATTAAAAATTAAAATAAACGCAATTAATTCAAATTGAATCAAATAAATTATTTAAAAATAAAATAAAAGTAATTAATTCTAATTAATAAATCCTTTAAAATATCGAGGTATTACAAGATCTGATTTAGAATTTGTAATTCATGCCTTTGCTCCGTTCCGGAATGATGACTGGGGGTGAGAATTCCAATCCGATAGAGAATGCCCAGCAGATGAAACTTGATGAGTTGATGAACATGATCGAAGCTCTCCGGAGAGAGAATGCAGAGCTAAGGACTGAAATGCAGCGTCAAGAAGCTCCGGTGATTTCGCGACCGCTTCCGGCAGGAGAAAAAGTTCTACGTCCCAGTGCTGCACATCACGGTGAGGAGGTAGGAAACAACCAGACAAATTTTCACCACAAGGAGGTCCGGCCAAATGATTTGCCTCCAAATCTTCATCATGTTGATGATCGTGAAGGATCAACTCACGTGGATCCATGGCGTGAACAGATCAGGCGAAACGAAGCCATGACTTTTGATCCATATCAAAAAATGCACAACCGAGAAGAAGTAATAGAGTTTGATCGCCACAAAGCTATGTTGCCGTGGCACAAGGAGTTTATGGAGGAAAGATCATTCGATCCGTCTTATCGGTCTTCCATGGCGACGTTCGATTATCGAAGCTCAGAAAGGAGATCTATAGATCAAAGAGCTACCGCAGGGCTCCTGAGGGAGAATGAAGCCCTCCGCTCAGCGGCTCGAATGGTTGACTCGCCGTTTACCGATGAAATTCTGAATGCTCTGAGTCTGAGGAAATTCT